TTGATCAAATATAAACAGTTGATGTTCTCTTGGTTTTGATATGTTTCACACTGTCTTATTAATAAGAAAATCCAATGCCTACTGGAGAAGCATTGAAGAGAAAAACCTATCACAAACCGTCTCTTTAAATTTGGCAGCGAAGGTTTTTTTTTCACTTCATTCAACCGAAAGCTAGCTTCGTGGAAGAAAAACAGGAGGAAAGTTCGTGGTCCGATATTCTACCACAGAGCGAAATAGAACCCCATTGTGAGAGACTGGGTCATGGACTAAGTTTATACGTTACAAACGTCCTGCATGTCGAAATGGTCGGCAATTTCGGAGGCATTGTGAGTGTAAACAGAGAAAGTTGGTAAGTTTTTAGCTAAATGAATAAAGGGAGTGAGTTTCTAAAGAAACTGTGGTGCTACGTCGGTGGGAGAGTATAACAGTGTCATTAAGTATTATCAAATGAGTTGATAACGTAGATTGGCCATGGTAAAGAATTTAAACGGCTGATGTTTCGAGCGTTAGTCCTTCGTCAGAGCGAAACTTACACAGGCCCTTTTAACAAAATGCTCTGACGGCTTAATAGACACTCGAAAGTGTCGCTGATGGCAAGGTTCAATTTTTCAAAAATGAGCGTCAGATTTCAATTTTGGATCGCAGATGGAATCGCTTGTTTAATGCATGAAGAATCCAGCCTACTTGGAAACGTTTGAATACTTGAGGGGGACAAGAAAGTCAGATGCTTAAATTAAAAAGTAAATATTTAAATCATAAGTCTACTTTACTTTTCAATAAAATTTTCAATACATGTCACTGGTTTTTTAACATTTAATGCAGTATTTACAATTGTTATTTTTTTCCACTGCCTAGGTTAAATTAGATTCTCAGAGACAGCACTGTTAAGCTTCCCTGCTTCAACTTATCCTCATCATTTTCCTTTCACGACATTACAGGTGACGAACGCGTACAAAATCTGCGTCCTAAAATCAAACAAAACGAGGTTATAAAACATATCTGTTTTTCTTCGTGTAGGGGGCCCTTAAGCTGCAGGTGGGCATGTAATCAAAGGAGGAGAGGGAGCCTGAGGGGGAGGGGTAGGGGCTTATACCTGGATTACACATCATTCAAAATAAGTAAGGAAAAACAAAAATAACAACAACGGAGTTATTGTTTATTTACCTCTAAAGCGATTCGACGGTTTTCTGTTTCATGTGGTTTATCACTTTTTCCTCTGGACAGCTTGATCAAAGAAAATGGAGACGAAAATACATATTTTCACACAGTGTTGTTATCAAGCGAGCAACGCAAGTTAAGTAAAGTGTGATATGCATGATTTAAAATAATCAATCCAGAGATAATATGCATGTCGAATGAGGACCAAAAAATACTTGCTGATTTGCTACTCGTATGCAAATGAACCCCGACCTCTCGATCCGGTATCCAGCACGTTTTCCATAAGACATCTAGGTTTCGCATATTTTTCCTCTTCAAAAGAAATTATTTTTAGTGCATGCAAGAGTGTGCGTGTAGGCGCGCGTGCCTGGGAGCGTGTGTGAGGGCGTGCGTGCGCGCGAGTGTCCGTGTGTTCTTCCGTCTGATTGCTAAACTCTCGTTCGTTCGTTTTTTGATCGTTCCTCGGTTCGTTTATTCGCAAGTAGTTCGTTTACATCCATTTACATTTGGAAAGAACCTTTTGCAGCCCTCTTGTTTTTCAATGATGGAAATGAGGAGTTTAGTCACCAGGACAACGCGTCTCGGTCACCCTTTTTTTTTTTACAAGTAATAATTTACCTTCCCAAAGAATCTTTTGCGTCCAACACAAAATGGCGGCTTGCAATCCCAAAAACATTCGGCTCGACCCACTAAGCAAGCTAGGAATACAGCAGTTAGCAATAACATTTGTAGTTTAGAGTTCATCTGAAATGAATCACAACGGAGAAAATTCATGATAGGAGATGGAGTTTCTACTAATTATGTTGGGTGTCTTGTATAAAGCAACTGAGCGAGTGAGCAAGTAAGAACGTGCAAAGTGTTTGGCAAACGTTTCCTCGACAAAAATATTCAATTGAAATTCAGAATGATCAATTCGATCCTCCTAAATTCTTGAAATGTTTAAGTCATTTTTTCTCGAAGCCTTTCCAGTGTTCTGAGGGATACTGTTACTTACAGTTATTTATTAAGAACATTTCATCTATTTAGAAATACTTGCCGCCACTTAGATCGAAGTCTCCTCCTAAACGAAATGTTAGTCCATTGTAAGTCTGCTCTAGCTCATTAGCCTTGACTAAGGAAGGTAAGGAATAAAAATTATTTCAAACTTACTTTTCCTGACTTGTAGAATTATCTTTTTCTCCAATGCTTAGGGCTCACTAAACTCAAGGAACATAAATACTGTTCCCTTCCTCTTCGACGGATCACGATTTGCAGGTTTGCCAAACATGACAAAAAATCAAAATAGCCCTGTAAATATTTATACCCGAACTGAACGTATGGTTTAGAATGAAAGACAGTGTTAGCAATTGTAACAGTTTAATTTCCGATCTAAAATGTTTTTCTCCGATTTCCGAAGTGAAATGTCTCATTCACCAGCTAATTTCCGTTTGTTGTTGCTCTAAGAGGAGATTTGCAAAGGCAACAGTTAACACAGTCATCTAACTACGATGAGTACACTTAATTAATTGTGACTGTACTATTTGCTCGGGAGACATACAGCTGCTTTAAGAAAAAGAATAGTAATAATCTATATCCGAGTACTTCAGTTTTCAACTAGTTTTGTTGTCGTTTTCTTTTTGTTTTTAAGAGGAAAAGAACCCAAGTTGAACTGTTTCATTATAAACAGTGATGAATAAACGAAAAGACGATCGATCTTTTCTAGAATTGACTTTTCAGGAAATATTATTTCAGAGAAATGTAAAGAAAACAAACAAGATTTTGAAATTAGACATTTACTTCAGAACTCGGTAGCTTGAGAATCACCTAAAGATTTTAAAAATTGTGATAAACGTTGCTTGCATTTTTTTGCTCTCGTGTTTTGAAGTTTCTCTGCTTGAGGAATTTCTCTAAGAAATCTCGGTAGTGTTTCTTTAAACTTTTGCTTGTAAGCTCCGATTTTGTAAACCAGTTATTCAAACACTAGCCAGTATCTTTCCACCGCTTCCTGGCGGTCAAAACTTTCTTGTCTGTCCGAGTTTGCTCTGAAGGCGTTTTGTTTCCGTTCAAAGGAGAGACGTCCACGTTTCAAGGAGGGCTTGTGTAATTTACTTAAAAGGGTTTAATTTTGTTTACACGAAACGTCTGTTGGGCGACTTTAAATCTTTAGAAAATATTGATATTCATTACTTTCTGTTATGGACCTCCAGCAAGCAGATTTTTTTTTGAGAACTTCAAAAGATTTTTATAAGAACAGGCCAAAGTCGTGATACCAGAGCTGTATCGTCTGTCACAAAATCACCTGTACTTCACAAGTGAGACTCTCAAAGACCCGTTTGCTTAGTCGATTTAGAGCGTGGGGTAAGTTCAATTTTTTTTTTTGGATTAAACTAGTGTCGTGAGGGAGGGAAGTGAACCATACTTTTAAATGAAAACAGGCATACTGTTCGTTTTTGAACAATCGAAAAGCATATCGGTACTGTGTACTGGAGATGAAATAAAAGTGGACACAGTTTTCGACTTCTGAAACATTAGAATACTGCGCATACACGAGAAAAAAGTGCGCTAAAATGTCATTAAATAAAATTATAAAGGAAAAAAGTGACGGCTTCAATAAAAAAAAACGGGGTTTAAATTAAATATGACCTCTCACGGAAAACATGATCTGGCGTTTGTTCAGTAACAGGAGATAATAATTAGATTTGTAAGCAAGTTACAATCCCATTCGCTCACCTTTTACGCCTTTATATCAGTATGCATATTCTCCATACTTGTCCCTATATACTTACAAAGGTGCCGACAAAGAGAATTTATGACGATCAAGAGGTTCTTTAGGTGGTGATCATTTCTTCTATTCTCATGACCTACATATTTGATTCAGAGGTGATATTGTAAGGAGAATATAGATGTGATTCACTCCTAGGGATCAAAGGGTTGTTGAAATTCCATTCAATTGTCGAAAATAATGTATACTCAAGTTGATATGCGCCTTAGTATTATCACTGAATGCAATAGGTAGCCGCACATAATTTCCAGATGTTTGTAAAGAAGAGAAAATTGACAGTTGACTTAATATTCTGTATTAGATTTATGATAAAAACTTTGCACGTGTTGATTTCACTCTGTTTCTGAAATTTGTGTCCATAGTCAATAGGCCATTTTACAGTTGTGTACTTAGTTGCCAAGCCTTTGATTTGGAGTGAGGCTGAAGGTGACCTTGTTGTGATAGAGACCAGTATCTAGTTAGCATGATAACAAAGTAATTTGCATTTGAAAAACAGTAAGGTTTGTATCATAACAAGGTCACCCTTAGCCTCATTCCTGTTCAAAGGCTTGGCAACCAAGCACACAACTGTAAAATGGACTATTCATTGAACTGTTAACATGTCTCTCTCCCAAAATGGTTTAGATGAGTTATAATCCCTTTCTGTCGTAGCAGCTCTTTCACGTGCCTCATTTCGACCTTAATGCATTGTTTTGAAGTTTTCTTGATAATGATTTTAAAGAAGATCAAAGTTGTTTAGTTATGTTTTCCCATAAAGGCCTCTTACTTCTCAAGTTATTATCACACACGCGGCGCGGAAATGACGTTACATGAGATGTAGTCATGTCTCGTTGTGAGATCACAACGAGACCACTCACTTTTTATGGTCGGGGAAGGGGTGGGGGAGGTCGGCGGATTTTTTAGGGGGGATCACATGGTAATCAGGGGAGGAGGGGATCAGTAGAGTACTATAAAGCCTTAGAGGGGATATCAGGTAAATTATTTTCTGACACAACCAAATTCCTGGTTTGAACAATGCTATTCTGTAATTTGAATAGAATATTCAAGACCTTACGTAAACCTCGAAAAAAGCACGCAGAATTGCATGAGTAACTCAGACTGAGAACTTTAATTGGATATGATCATGTCATTTTTGAGCTACCTGTTTTAATTTATCATAGACTGCTGCTCAACATTATCTTGAACACGTGTAGCTTACAAGTTATTTTTCGAACTAACTAGACGGGTGATGTAGCTTAATTTTAAAACCTTAATTATTGACATTTCTAATTTACAGCAACTCCGAGTTTGGTACAGTGAAGCAAAAGACTACTATAAAGTAACGAAAAACGAATCCCAAAAAATATATATAACTTTGAAGTCATCTACTACTGAAAGAGGTCATCTTGAACAAAACTTTCTGTGGAGTTTTTTCTTGGTTAGCTCTCATTCAAATTAATTCCCCGTTGTTGGTCAAAGTCTTTATCTTGCCTGTTCCATAACTGTGTAGAAAATAAGATAAACTCTATTTAGATATTATAGACCTCTATAGCTTGTGTGTTTTGTGTGCTCTTTTCAGGTCACACGATAATACTCTAAAAAACCGTTTAAATTTCCTCTTGCACGTGTTTTCCCACGCAATAGGCAAGAGTCACGTGTATTTATTTTTAGTGTAATTAATTAGTTTATAAGTTTATTGGCGGTTAATTGGACTTCCTAAAGTTCCCTTTTATACTAAAAACCGTTTGATCCCCCAACCCCAAAAAAATTATTATATTTTTCACATCATAGCGACTGATAAGTTAATTTCAAATTTTCAACTCCGGTTAATTCATTTCTGGTGTTCTGATTGGTTCACTCAACTCTGCCAGAGTTGAGTAATCGGGTTATCAGCTCATGTTGCGAGTCACCTTACATAGAAATGCATTACGCCAACTGTTGCGGTTGCTGAAAAAAGCTCCGATCATCCAAACTTTCAGGATTTAATGAAAGTTATTCCATTCGCGCTTATTAGATTCGAGATTGGTTAGAGCCAACTCGGCGCCTCGCGCCTCGTTAGTTATTTGCCATCTCATATCCAACGCGATTACGCAAAATATTGTTAAATATCAACTTCTGTCCATTGAACATCCGGCTATATAACAAAAGATCATGTTTCAATGGGAAAGCAACTACTCAAAATAACAAAGAAAATTAATAAAAATCCTTGCGAATGCGAACTACAGGTGTCAATGATATGACAGAGTGGATGCTGAAAATCCGGCTCTCAAAAGCAAATTGTCCACGTTATCAAAGAAATTATCTCTTATAATGTTTAATGCTGTCTTTGAAATCATTTCCAACTGGAGTATTGTGCATTTGAAAGTTAAAAAGTGAAGAGATAAGAAAGAATTTAAAGTGAGTCAATAAATGTTTTCGTCCATTCTGGCGGTCCACTTTATAGACGCCTAGAAGAGCTTGGCTTACTTAATTTAGTAAAGACATTCTTCTAACAAAATGAGCTGACCTTGAAAGTTATCAATAGCATTAGAATTATGACTGAAATGAAAATAAATAGAGATCTTATTTCAAAGCCCATCTTACCCACATTTTTGTCCAAGTTTCGTTTTAAGAGAAGTGGCTTACAAGACGAAACAAACTGTATTAGTGTGCTTCAATAGCTTGTGAACAGAATAGAGTGATCGCCTTACTCGAAACAAACGGATGTTTAGAGAGTTATTATGGGCAATGTTCAGTAAGTCAGTCGTTTTTGACTTTAAAACAATGATCTTTGTAAATTCTGACTGAAGATCTTACCTTGTCAAAGAAATTATTATCACTACGTTTACCAGAATACCATGGTCTATGCTGTAACATTTTGACTCCTTTGTTTCGAAACTTATGAGAGACAAATTTCTCTTCATCTACGTTCGCTACAAACGTCCAAAAAAAGACAACCAAGCCTAGGATTGCTACAACTTGAAATAATCTCGACATTTTAAACCTAAACAACAAGAATCTTAGGCAACTCTTCAATGAAAAATTCTCAGTTGCATTTGCTATTTATGACATCAGATCATAAAGACAATTTTCAGACGATGTTATCGGCCTTTATGATATCCGGTTTTATTTGACAGTCTTCAAGGAAACCTTTGTCTACTGATTCGTTCGAGAACAATGGGGAAAGAAGGGAAAGAGTTTATAGTTAAGAATAAAGGAAAGAGAACACGATTTACAGGTGTAAATTAGAAATGTCGCTTTGGTTGAACAATAAAAAATTTAGCGAAAAGTATTATGATGTATCCATATAATTTGAAGTATCGAGGACGACAACGTTTTAAAGACTTTTGAGAATCAAATTCATAAGCATGTATATTTATCTGAGAAAAAGACATGATAAAAATTAATCTCTTAGTGTCTTTTTTTTAAACACTTTTAATTAAAATAACGGACATATCACCCACGAGTTGTTTGAAGTTCTAGCTTATGATTTATTAATAAGCTGGAGAACCGGCCTTTGTCAACTGGAAATAGGCAAACCAGGGAGATTTTTCTGGGACGTTCGTATTTTAATAATTGAAAAGTAAAAAAAAACCACCAAATCTATGATCGAAGTTGATTTGATCGTCGGAAATAAAGCAGGGAAAGATTTATTTCGAAGACGGTGGACGATTCAAAATTTTCTGGGCGCAGAGAGAACTCCAAAGTACTTTTGTAAGGAAGTTTCGATCCTCCAAAAACTCTTTTTTAGCCTACTATCATAGTGATCGAGCCAATTCACAATATGTTCAATTTCTAGGGAAGGTAATGATTAATTCCAAATCCTTGGTAAGAAGAGTGAATTAAACCCAAATGGCTATTAAAGGTTTCATACACAATAACTCCAACCTTCTTCCCACTCTGCGCGTAGGTACCATATATAGTTCTTTTAAAAAAAGGAAGTAGTTGGCAGTCAATGTGATTAAGCTACCATAATCTTTGATAAAACAATGCTTATCATGAAACCGGCTGAACAATATCCTCCCTTAAACAGACAATGATTCTTCCTCTAAAGACACGTGGCCAACGTACGACTGAAAATAATTCAGGATTTGTTTCTACTTTGGTAAGAGGAACCCTAATTTATCAGGAACATCTTTAAAACTTCTAGCTCTTAACAAACACTTTTACTTGATATAATAATTTATACTGTGAGGAAATCCTTAACAAAATTTAATGATTTGAAAGACGCGATTTCCTAGACGTTGGGAACAAAACTGATTTGTAAACTTCCGTTTCGCAAAAAACCGCGTGCTCAATATTCATCATCTGAAGACGTCTAAGAAAATTAAATTGTCTAAAACATATTTGCAACAGATAAATAAACCAATAAAAACGCCATGCTCATAGAATTATGATGTTTTGGTCGATAAATGTACTATAACATTGGCGATAGAAAGAGGAATAGAATTATCTTCCCTGAATTGCCTCATGGAGATAAAAAAAATTGGTTTCAAACAGGATCGACCGGACAGCGGGATGACTTTTGAAATGATTTGATTAACAAAAGCCCCCTTAAAAATAACATTAATGATCGCATGTGTCCTTCTCAAGCTCAGCCTACTTTTATGCGTTTATCTAGACAGCCTTTTTGCTCTTCTATTGACATGTTAACAAATTGTAAGAGATTTCTTGATTCTAGGAGGTCTACCCTTGCATTCCGCCTAATATTTTAACCTGCCTCTTAATTGCACTTGTTTCCTTGAAACTTTGAGGTTCCATGTCGTAATGAAACTGCGGTGTTTCAATAATCACTGTTTAAAATTAGGACCTTGTAACTGTTTCCCGATGACCATAACTGTATTTTGAGAAGGAGAGAAAAAAAAAACTCTCTCTCCATTGTCTTTAAAAATGGACAGGTTTTTGTCGTGTTCACATGATTCAACAACTACTTCGGTAAATATTGTTTTTTCTTCTTCTAAATTGGATCACCCTTCTTCCGCCCAAACTTATCTACAAGTTATTAAGGGCGGGGGAAATCGGGAAACGGATGAATAAAATACGACAAATGACTAATAATTAAGATAAAAACATGTCAGGTAGTTTTAATTGTTCCACCAAGAATAATGATAAACGGATGACTTTGACTAATTCAGAAATACGTTAACTTCTCTATCACGAGTGAGATTACCGATGACATTGACAAAGCCACGGATGACTTTAATAAACGCAAAATTTTATAAATTTCACATTGTAAATAACATTGAAAGGGTAAATTTTTTCGTCCATAACATGTTTTTACTTTAGTTCCAAACAAAGGAGAAAATTCTACAGTTTTCTAACCTTCAAATATTGCACGCGACATGAAAAAAAACTGTGGAAAATGTTTGGTTTATGCGGTCAGGCGACTTTTAAATTGGCGATCCAGTTGACCTTATTTCAATGTTAATCTTTGTTTTTGACAATCTTGATGAGACAGTTAAACCCATGATTGAAGCCACAATTTGAACAATTATATTCACAAAAAAATTGGTTATTTATATGCTAAACATTTTTCGTACTCAAATTTTGTCCTTGTGCAATTCAAATCCAGTGTATAACTTCCTAGAATGCCAGACATCAGTACAAATATGATATCAGTGGTATTTTATTTAAAAGTGAAATTATAACGCTCCCATTGCTTAATTTTTTAACCAAAATAACAGAACGTAAGACACAATTTAAGTGTTATGCTGGATTATTTCCAAGCACGGATATTTCAAACTGTTTGAGCTTTTCCATTCAAGTTCCTTTTTGGTTAAGAGGCACAATTTTTCAAAGCAAACACCCTTTTTTCCAATTCAGTTTTTTAGAATTGTTCCGTACTACTTATCATTGTCTCGTGACGCGGAACACTTTTATTTTCCAGACAGGGAACAAATTATTAGAACCATTGCACTTCAACAAAATTATTTTCTATACTTTTTTTCAAAGTGACACAACCTATCAAAGCAAATACCTTTTTCTCTGATTCAAATTCACGGCGTTTTCCATACCACGGTCTGTGAAACGAAGAGTATGTACCAAGAAACTCTCCGCCATTATTTGGAGGTAAAATATCCCTTGTCCAGCGACTTCTTGCAACAGCGGAATTCGATGCTAAAAGTGTTGCTGCGATAGAAACTAAAAAAATAGTTCTCAAGATGCCCGTCATATTTTTACTTTTCTCTTTCGCAACTTCTAACTTGGATGAAACACGATTTGTTTGAAAACTGACCGCTTTGATGGTTAAAAAGAACTATGGTCTTAGTTATAACATGGTATTGGTAAATACATCTGAGTATTCATTGACGCCAACCAATCACGAGCGAGGAGGAAGTGCCAGTCTTATTTGCCTTGAAATGGCTTCCATTGAGCTTAAAAAACGATTGTAGACTCTGTAAGGTACACAACGTGGTTCTGTTTGGCAACAAACATCCAATTCTAGTTTAAATAAAAACTATCCCAGCTTTACAAAAAATGTTTTCTTGAACACTTTTCATGTCTATATCAACATTGCCAAATCATAAGACTTTAACGCTCTTATTAAGGAAATGAATTGTCTATGGTAGAAATTGAGAAATTTAAGTCAAATGAAATAAATGATTGATAATTTCCTAACTCAATTTATTTGACTTGCTATCATTAAATCTGCGTAATTGCAAGTGTAAATTACGGAAAATTACGGAAAAACAACCCACAATAAATTTCTGGCAAACATTCTTCGACCACGTTTTAATCTAACTGTCAACATAATCATTTAATAATTTCAACAGGTACTGAAGAAAGAGTCGAAATGTCAGCGGTAAAATCTTCTCAAAAAAAAGCACAGAGATTTAACTGGTTTCAGTCTCCCTTGAGATAAGCGAAATGAAATGTCAGTGGATTTATTAGGAGATATTTCCTTCGGTAGACATATTCTGTGACTTTTGTAGCCTATTAGAGAGTAACCCTCTTTAACCTTAGGTACTAGAATAGTCAACGTATTCTGCGCAAGCTTGAAATTAGTAAAAATCATTTTCATCCGGTATCTAAAGCGGTAGAAATTGCTTTGGCTTTGTGATTGGTCGAGATCACTCTCGTGCCACCTACTAATGCAACCAATCAGATACAAACCTAAAACTAATCGCGGCATGCCCCCCGCGTTTTCCCGCGCTCCGTCTGCCTGTTTTCGCTTTCAGTTCTAACTGGCCCCTTGTGATACTCCTGTTTTTTTTCCAATTGGCTATTTAAATAATTTTCATTGCAGTGACGGTAAGTGGAAACTCGGCGGCAATTCGAGAATTTCCGCATGAACTCCCGAGAATAAAAGAGTTGAACTGAAAAGCAAACCAAAAAGGCAGTCGTTTCAGAATTAGGAAAGACCGAGATTGCTTATCCAACAACAACTGACTGCATTAGGATATACTTCAAACCCTTCGAGAAGCCTTTTACTGATTTCATCATGGTTTACATGGAAATCTCATTTGGGGCGCTGAGTTTTCATCTCCGTTTTTAAACTAATCCATTTAATTTCTAAGCAAAACCCTTCAGGTTTACGACAACTGTTCAAATAAACTGAGGCGATTTCGCTATACTACTGCAAGTCGCAATGGCTAAAAAAATCAACAAGCACATTACACTTTCCTGTATTATGTCATTTGCCAGATAATTATGACCAGCGGACCAAATTACATTTACAAGTTTTATTACCCAGTAAACTATAACCCACACTTTCCGGAAGATGGTGGGTGCCAATCAAGGATTTAAGTTCAAGTTTGGTTTTGATGCCTCTCCCGTCATAAGCGTGTTACTCTGTTAACGTCTTGGTGAACAGCAGTAACTACCTTGGAAAGGGGAGGGGCTTTGGGTGAGTGACGTCAGACCGTCTAAGAATTAGCTGGCCTCTACGAGCGCAAAGTACTTCCTGTTTAGAGTGACTAGCTATTTTGTTTCGATGTCATTCACTCACCTTACTTTACGCAAACAAAAGCGACTACTCTATCAAAGATATCCATGTATTTAAGTCCAAGAAAGAAGGGAATTTCGATCCATGACTGCAATTCTTTTCAATTCAAACTAAAGAATTTACACTATGGATTACATGCGCAGACAAATTCTTTTTCATTTTACGGCAACAAAGCTCTAGGAGTCAGAATTGTACAATTTTCCAACAGAGCAACGCACATTTAATCAAGACATTGCCTTGAAATAAAAGCAAAAGAAATATCACTTTAAAAAAATCTAGGTTTGTACAAAGTCAGGTCAGTATCTCGGGTTGAATATATCGGCCATTGTGGAAATCTGTAATTTAGTGAAATATGAATCCTTACAATAGAGCGGTTTTCAATTCAGTGTCGCAAAACCAAAGCGATCCCACAGACCAATCAGAAAAAAGGTTAAACATCAGCGGCCAATGAAAACGCAAAGTGAAAAGTGAAGCGCGGGAAATCGCGACCAAGTCGCGAGTGTTTTTGTTTTAGCATCTGATTGGTTAAGAGGATGGCGCGACTTCTCTGGACCAATCCCAGAGCGAATTTAAGTAAAATCAAAACAACCGCGGTCTACTTTCGACAATCCATTAAAAATCGCTCTAAACTGAAGAGTTCCAAGAGTCGAGGAAGTAATTGAAGAAGAATGAGAGGAAACAACCATCTCGTTTTCAACAACGCAAACTTTAAACGTCGTTAAGGTACACCAAGTCTAAATAATACATTATGTTATCGCGTGAGTATGTTCTGAGTGCACAAATAATGGAGGAATTCTTGCAAATCTATCGGGAAGACGTCCTTGATATGAATACTGTTGCCGACACGAACCAAAAACTGTGCTTTATTTCCTGCACGAAGCTGTTGTTAGTAGAAGCATTGGACATCTTCCAAAAGTGAAAAATAGCTTCTTCAATTCATATTTAAATTTCTGTGTGAGAAAATAAAGTAGATAAGGTCATTAACAACACTATAACCGGTATAGAGAACTACAAAAAGTTGGAGGGGGGGTGAGGGGACAAGACACCAACCTACCACCACCAAAAAAAAATTCTGGTGCAAGACATTTTCTTTGTGACACAGATTGCCTTACTTTAAAATGTCATTAACAAGTCTCTAAGTCCAATAGGAAGCTACAAAAAGTTGGCGGGGGAGTATGAGGACAAGACGTCAACCCACCACCAGCCCCACCCTGAGAAAATTCTAGTTTAAATCATTTTGCTTTGTGACACAGAATGCTTTACCTTATATTTAACCACTGTTTTGACTGGATTGGCTGTTAGATCTCTCTTTCCCTTTCTCATACACGTTTTCATCTCTTGGTTTTGCACCACCAAAGATGGCCATCTGTTGAACACTTGAGGCTACGTCATTCACAGGATCTTTCACAGTGCGGGGTTTGAGTTTTAGTTTTGGTCTACCTGCTAATTCCTCTGTTGATGGCAACCAAAAATATTTATTAAAAAAAAAAAAGAAAAAAACTAAACTGACCTAAACTTCTTGTGTTCTTTCTTCTGTCATTTACCTTCAACTTTTTCTTATCTGCTCAGCCATTAGAGCAAATAATAATAACACTCATTTCATCTCACAATAGCAACATTAACATGCATGACTCTCTGAAACAAGTTTTGGCTGTGGATTTTATCTCCCCCCCCCCCCTCCTTTCCTATTTCAATCATGAACCTAACACAATCAATATCACATGCATAAGTAGATAATCTAAACCCTTGAACTCCCAGAAGTGATAAACATGTAACTTCTTCCTAAAATATCTACACATTCTCTAGCAAAGAGCTAATGAGAATATTCAAACTTATAATCAGGGAGAAGTTGTTGTCTTGATCTAACACCAAATTCTCATAACTAATTTACAAGGAAATGTGTTGCAGCTATAGGGGAGAACTGACAGTCAGATCTTGAGGGTTAGGAGTTGAAGACTGAAACTAAAAAATATTATTAAATTTCCCTCTTAGACTTCACCCTTTCCCTATTCCAAGGTGCATGTCAAATCTCAAGTTTAAAAAGGACAACATTGTTCCTCAGGGTGGGAGTGGAATTCATAGGACAATGGATTCTAATTGTTCAACATCCACAAAAATAAAGAGGCCTCTCAACCTTTTGTTGCTGACTGTAAGTTTAGAGATGAAATTATAGGTTTAAGCTATAAGACATTTTGGTGTTTTCCTGTGCAAGAAGTTGCTCAAATTAAAAGGAACTTGTAATTATTCTCACCAGCTGTTGGTTCACGAAAATTTTCTTGTCTAGGAGGGCCTCTTCTGTCTCCATAGCCACCGCCTCCACCTCCGCCTCTGCCACCTCCTCCCCCATATCTTCCCCCTCTTCTTCCTCCTTCATCCCTACCTCCCCAGCCACCATCATCTCGGCCACCCCAACCGCCTTCTTCTCTTCCACCCCAACTGCCTCCTCCTCCTCCTCCTCCTCCACTCCAACCTCCGTGACTTCCTCCCTTGTTACCCCAGTTTCCACCACCTCCTACAAAGAATAACCCAAGTAAAGTTAAAATCTTGGTCTGGATGGGTGGAACTTAAGTTTACATTTTCCATCTAATTCCCTTAACTTTATTAACTTTTGACTCCCGTGAGTGACCAAGACAGAATTTCTCCTCACAATATCAGTACAATATCAAGTAGACAAATGAGGAAAATAAAGAAAAACATCAATTAGGGGATAAGTTGATCCAATACCAAATTCTCAAAACTAACATCACAAGAACTGAATGGTAAACAGTAAGGAGAATTACTAGTGAGATCTTGGGAGTTAAAGGGTTAACTTGATTAACTTTGAACTCCCATGAGTGACCAAGACAGAATTTCTCCTTACTGAACTAGCACTATAAGAATTTCATGACAGCAAGTATGGAGAATTACTAATGAGATCTTAGGAGTGAAAGGATTTAACCATTGTTTCAATCCTCAGATCTGATTTCTGGTAATTCCTCTTCCAGTATACAAATGTGCAAATTGCTTTTTATTTTGAGCCCAAACACTCTACTGAGAATCAAGACAACATGCCGTCATAAACAATGTTTTTCTGTTTCTATTCCCCATTTGCTGGTGTTGTTGTAAGAGAGAGGTTTCATTTTGATCACATTGGCAACTTAAGCTGCACATCTAGTTAGCAATTTTTTTCCTTCTCCCTATGGATCCCAAAACAAAGTAAAACTACTTACCATCGCCCCCATATCTTCCACGTCTGTCATCATAGCCGCCTAAAAAAGTATGAAATAGATTTATTTGAATGGCATAAAGATAAATGAATAGTGAGCATCAACTCTTTAACCTCTAAGAATGACCAGCATTTAATTTCTCCATAGATAGCACCCCTAAATCACACATTAATGTCACAAGAATAAAGGAAATGATCAACAACTTAGGAAACTCTTGATTGTTAAACAAATTCTCCTTGTCAGCACCATAAGAAATAAATAGAGATCAGTATGGAGAATATGCATACTAATGTAAGGGTGTAAGGGGTTAAGATGAAGACTCCCTAACCTCTGCCTCCTCTTTGTCCACCTCTTCCACCACCACGGCCTCCATCTCGACGTCCCTCAGCAACATCTACTCTCAATGTTTTTCCATGCTCTCCAATTCTCTAGTCAACAGAAATAGATCACACCAAAATTAGGGAGCAAGAAGCCCTGGAATGCCTGGTTTCAGTGACTGTCTCTATAAGCTAGCTAACAATTCCATAAAACAATGATGCCAAAAAAATAGGACTTTCGTTTTTGGCATTTGCTATAGAAAATGTTGTTTTTTGTTTGGTTTTTTTATATAAATGAAAATTCAATCGCTTGCCTTGCGATGAAGAGTCAGGCTATCAATAGTGTTGATCACGACATTTGACCGCTATATTGCTAGTGTCTGCCAGGCAACGAGGTGGAAAGTTTACTTGTTGCTATTTATAGCACCTTAGTTTGCTGTTATTGGTGTGTTCTTGCATGCTGTTATTAGTTGATTTTGATCTTAATTATTGTCTTGACTTCTAAATGTCATAATCTCATAGGGCCAATTTGTTACTAACAAGTTGTTGTGCTTTTTGATAATAGGTACTTTTAGTAGTACTAGACAGGGACGTAAGCATAGCCTGCTGGAAAAAAAAAAATTGGTTACTTACAGCCCCATCATAAGTCAGTGCTTCCTCCAGTGAGCTCAGGTCTTCAAACTCAACATAACAAAAGCCTGGTAACAATACAATTGTAGTTGTTATAATAATAATAATGACGATGAAAGGGATAATAGTGATAAGTATTAACTGATTATGATTAATGATAGTGACAATGAAAATGTTACAGTCAAACCTGTATTAACCCCTTAATCCCTAAGAGTGACCAGCATCTAATTTCTCCTTTCAATGTCACCCTGAATCAAACATTAAGGTCATGAGAATAAAGGAAATGATCACCAACTGAAGAACCTCTTGCTTGTTAAACAAATTCTCCTTGTCAGCACATTAGGAAATGTATAGAGAACAGTATGGAGAATATGCATACTGATGTTAGGGTGTAAAGGATTAACGGGGAATAGCGGGGTGACCACTTTGTACAGGTAGACTGTTTAACCCTTTAACTCCCAAGATTTCATTAGAAATTCTCCTTAATGTCCACCATATAATTTATGTGATGTTAGTTTGGAGAATTTGGAATTGGATCAACCAATAATTCCCTAATTGATATTTTCTTTATTCTCATTACTTGTCTGCTTGATATTATATTGATAGTGTAAGGAGAAATTCTGTCTTGGTCATAAGTGGGACTTGAAGGGTTAATATAGGTTTGAAAGAATAGGAATAATATAAGAAACAATAAAAACGCCATGGTATGCCATAGTTGACCTTTTCGTGCATAAAAAAATTGCTCAAATATACTATCAACTTTGATTTTGGGAGATAAACATGGAATAGGTATTATTTGAAAGATTATTCTTAGTTTTATTTGAGTAGTTCTGCTTTAAGTGACTGTTCAAAACAAATGCAAGACATTACAAACAGGCTGTTGGGATTCACCTGAGCTGACTGCGACTGCTTAGTAGACTGTCTAATAGAGGTGAAAATTGCAGTGATTAACCCTTTAACTCCCAAGAGTGACCAAGACAGAATCTCTCCTTACAATATCAATACAAAATCAAGCAGATGAGTGATGAGAATAAAGACAAATCTTAATTAGGGGATGATTAGTTGATCCAATACCAAATTCTCTAAACTAACATCACAAGAACTGTATGGTAGACAGTATGGAGAATTACTGATGAGATCTTGGGAGTTAAGGGGAAACAAATTCTGGACTTTGGAAACTGACTGCTTAATACAGGGTAACTGCTTGACACAATGCCATATTAAGCAGATGCTGTATTAATAAAGATTTGACTGTACTGATGATGATAATGGTCATGGTAATACAGTAATGGCAAAGGCAACAGTAACTGTAATAGTAATACATAATTATGATAATTATGATAGTAATACATAATTATGATAATTATGATAATTATGATAGTAATACATAATTATGATAATTATGATAATTATGATAGTAATACATAATTATGATGATGATGATAATTTGTATGTTGCCAAAAATGTTTCATTACCTTTGAATTTGTCTGTTTCTTTATCTCTTACGAGACGGATGCTTCTGATGTTGTCCTGATCACAAAATATGTTACTATTAGCTTCAGACTAAAACATTAAACTGCCGTAGAACACACAAAGCTGAATGAACAGGAAGTCTGGTGTTGCCATTGCTGTCTGTTAATGGTAAGCAGGAGCATTCAGACTTTTATCTCATGTTCCAAAGCATGAACAGTACAAAAATGACGATGACAAAAAAAAACTGGACAGTAAATTCTCTCAATTTTGCCAAGTCAGTTCAAATTTACAGAGATGATAGATTATTTAATGGGTTATTCAGTCAACCAAACTGGTAATCCAAGATGGATTTTAAGACATTGACAAAGAAGACGTTGAACACATGAGATCACTTGAATTTTCAGCTGGGCCACCAAGCTATTTCTTCCTCTGGTTTCACCATAAAATTGAAAACAATTAGTTCATTACTTCTCCCCCTGATTTACATCCAATTAGCCTCCTACCCATTCCCTAACTTTCAAACCCCCCCCCCCTCACCCCCGCACCCCCTCCTCCATTCTCATTTAAAGTTAAACAGCTGCACCATTGATCAAGAAACCTTACCGACAATTCAGACCATACTAAATAACACATTAATTACGTGAATGCTTCGATAAAAGCTAATGTTTGACCAAATAATAACACTTTTAGGTGTATGATGTTGGGCCTGGTGCATAAACAGAATAATGGGAATCTCACTAGGAGACAAGCGCGCAACCACTTGTAAGTCCTCAAAAATAGAATTAGGTTAAGAAATTTATAGTTTCAAGATCGAATTTCTCGCTAAAGCCAGCTACACCGTTGATTTTTCTGCCTTAAAGCGCAGGGCCCATTCACACTGATCCCTAAGATCTTTTGCACCGGAGGCGACGTGAAGAAACAGAATACCACAAAGCTTTCCCGAAGTGGTCGATGTACACTGCCATGCAGCTTTCCTAATGATAAACCAAGCCATGTGCGAAATCGTAAGCTGGCGGTATTTGAAGTGCCTTTGATCGTGATGAAAACATACCTTGATGTCTTGGAAGATAATATCAAGATCTCCCTGGACTGTATCCGGCGGAAGTCCACCGACGAAGGCAGTAAATGGAGGTTCCTTTGGAAGAGGTTTCGGTGCGCGATCCCTGTAACGATCTCCGCCACCACGCCGTCTTCCGCCTCCATGGGACGAACCATAATCCCTGATAGAAACAGATTGAGCGTATTTTAGTACCAGAGGGGAAGAATCGAAAGTGAAAGGATTAACATGGCTCTACTACCTTGGTCCATCTCCGAAACTGTCGAAAAATCCACCACCCCGGCCACTACCACTGCTATCGAAATCGTCCGCCATGTTGACCGAACTGAATGCAGTCCATAATTTTTTAGCTGCACAATGAAGCGATAGGACAAGCATTAGAAGCAGCGGCAGATAAACTTCTAAATTGTTTGTCAAGTAGGTCTCACTTAAGTGTCCTCTGAGAAACTTACCATGGCCGCCATGATGGACACCTCCGAAACAAACTCACAAGGTACACTTTAAGTTAGGTTAACTTAGGTTGTTTACTCGAAATTTTCACCTTATATTCTAATTTAAGACTTTTTTATTTTTTCATGACAAAGAAATTGAAGATCGGACACAGCTGAGGTTTCAAGTTGAACTGGAGTTTGTGCAATGTCTGGCAAATCCTCATTATTTGAATTGTAAGTTTTCCTTTGTTAAACGATATCTTTGTTTGCCTTTTCCCTAGCTTCTTGATCTTTGGTATCAAACCAGAAAGAACTGTTGGCGAAATTCATTCAAAATTTAGCGTAGATAATATATTTTGAGTACTTTTCTAGATCTTTGTCTATTATTCATTGAGAATCGAAGAGACTGCCGGTAGTTGCAACCTTGATTATTGTACCCGATTTGAGGCCATAATTGTATAGTTTCCAACCTTTTCCTCGGACTAAAATGCCTCAAAAATCATACCCTTCCAGGAAAAGTGTATTTATTTCAGTGTTTGGCTTATGTAATTATTTGTATAGGGGAGTATGTTACTCACCTTCTCAGGGGTGAAACAGAGCTCTCTAGTTGATTTACTGGCAAAGAGTAAGACGCCATGGGCATCTCCTACCTGGAAGGGTATGGGAGCATGCTCCCCCAGAAAATTGGGAAAGAAAGGAGGAGAAGAATTGTGGCTAAGATGAGCATTGCTTTATTCTGAGTGAGAAGTTTCATTGTTGAAACATGCTCTAAGTGAGTACAAAGAGAATCAGAAGTAAATTTGGGAAGGATAAGTAATTTTTTAGGCACTTGAGCGGAAGTTTGTATCAGAAACCTTAAATGCGAGAAGTAATGGCTTTAGCGAGAGAGCACAAGATTGAATTCCTTAGTGTGAATCTTGCTCTCATTGCATGAGACCAAGAGAGCTCTGGGTGAAGATAGCACTGAGTAATGGCTTTTTAAATTCATCTTGGTCTAAACACCTCATAATTAGAATAAGAAATTTATTGAGTCATGTTTTCTACCCTTCTTTGTGGTGTAGAGCTTCCCTTTTTTTAATCAAGTCATTGCTTAGGGTTGCCTTCATATATGAGAGGAGGGAAAAGAATGTTGGGAGGTCCTCACACTATCTTGAATATAATTTATTTTCTATTAGTCACTTCTGAAATCTTTTGCAGTTCTTGCTCAAAGAGGGTACTTTAAAGAACAGTCCTTCATTAACTATCTCAAATATCTGCTTTATTGGAAGAAGCCAGAATATGCAAAATTCTTAAAGTAAGTACTATTTAATGTAAAAGTTGTGGTGATAAGTAGTATAGGCAGTGTTATTTGATTATAATAATTCAGACTTGTGTTTACTGTCACAACGATATGTATCAACTTTGCCAAAATTGGTTTTTCCCCTTTATTGCGTTCTGCTCTATTGGGTTACTAAGATAAGCAGTAATATTTTCAGCCCCCTCCTCAGTGTTTTGTGAACCCGAAAAACAAATCCCTAAATTTAAGAAATATATATATTTTTTTAACTTTTCTTGAGCACTGGAGAAAAAAAAAAGAATTTCACTTTGACCTTTGCCTTGAAGAAAATAATAACATCTTTATTTCTTTGATTGCTTTTTTCAAAATGTAACAAGTTTCCGAATATTTTTTAAACTTTTTATACAATGACATCAGTACACATATTCTCCATACTGCTCTCAACACATTTCCTAAGGTGCTGTCAAGGAGAATTTGTTTAACAATCAAGAGCTTCTTGAGTTAGTTTTCATTTCCCTCATTCTTGTAACTTTCATGTGATCCAGGGGTGATATTGTAAGGAGAATTTAGATGCTAGTCATTCTTAGGGGTTGAAGGGTTAAATAAAGATGTCATGGGTGTATTTTTTTTATGAGCAGAGGAGAAGAGAACTTTTCCAAATCCCTCAGATTCAGAGTGTTTCTTTGTCTCATGCGGTCTAAAAAGAATTAATTATAATATCTTTTTGTATCTGATGACTCTTCTCAAAATTTACCATCTTTCTCGTTTCTTTAAATCCCATTATTCTTTTCATTTACTCACAGATATCCCCAGTGTCTACATTTCCTTGAGCTGCTCCAATATGAACATTTTCGCAGAGAACTTGTAAACCCTGCCTGCGCAAAGTTCATTGATGAACAGCAAATTCTCCATTGGCAGTATTATTCCCGAAAAAGAATGAAGATCAATTTACCAAAATCATCAGGCCAAACAGGCTCTACAGCTGAGGGTGAACCATCATGAAATTGCAAATTGTGCAGAAAGAAATGTGGACAAGATGTGTCTACAGAGATGGCAAATAATTAAGAAATCTGGGTGGGCTCATTTAACACCAAGCTAAGCAGTAGCTCCTTCACAATTTTCTTTTTTATAAAATACCCTTTGCTTAGTTCATTGGCAGACATCAAGGTCTCTGTAATCTTAACAGGGTACAGGAGTAGGATTTTCCTTTGACAAAGTTGTGCAATGTATAATTTGCTCAAGCTTGATCCTGACAACAACTTGGCAGAAGATCAGGAGACTGAATATTTTGGTGAGCCAATTGTATACTGTGTCGGTCACATTTTTTGGTAACAAAAAATAGGGGAGTATTCCAACCCCCAGCTCCACTGCCTATGGTATTTAGAACATGCTCTACAAGATCTCAAACCAGGAACACACAAGGCAACAGATTCAAACAGGAGAAAAAAAACTAGTTCATTTGTAGCAGGTTTGATGGTCTGATCCATGTTTAAGGAAGTCGTGTGGCTGTTTTCTCTATTCAGTTCTGTGAAAAATCAATGGAACCATGTTTTATTATAAGAGCAATATTAAATGTAACTCTACTGTACTGTACATTTGTAAATAAAATATTGAGCAAAATTGTTTGATATCCTAGACTACCTTCAGGTTGGTAATATTACTGTAGTATTCTTTCTTGTGATGGTTTAATCCCAGCCACTGTCCTTAGCCTGTTTTGCTTCAGTCACAATACTGAAACATTGCAAAAAGAAGTCTCCCTCTCTTAATTCCCTCCATGTACTAAGCCCCCTGCATTTGAAGAGTCAAACATTCCCCTCTCTGTAACTTGGGAGTAGGGCCTCGTTAGCAGAGGTAAATTTAAGCCAAATGACCAATTTTTCTTGCGGACTGTATGAAATGTTAGAGAAAAGCCTGCTTTCAATCCCATGAGGGGGGAGTGGAAAACCACTTTGTGCTCCATAATCTTAAACAACCTTATGCAGTTTTGCCATCTAGTCTTGTATACTGACTGCAGACATGAATGGTTTGTATATGAATAACATAAAGAACAAACACATAAAACAATCAGAATCCCATAACTTGAATTAAAATATTTATTTTCAATTAAATAGACAAAAGGCCTGAACACAAAATGCCCTTTTTGCCTAAGTTTTGATTAGAATAAATTATATACAATTTGAAAATACAAATATGTAATATAATATAAATAATAATTCCACTCCAATTTAGAAAATTTAATGATGAATGATAAGTGATTCAAACAGATGTAACACTCATCTAAAGAGGCAACAAAGCACCTCTAATGGCATATCTACCTGTAGCTATACCATGGAACTCTGACATCCAATTTGAGAAAATGACAGCTTTATAACTCTACAACCTACTAACACTTTCACAACGTTTTTAACTCAGATAAAAATATCTGACCAAAGGTCTACACAAGAAGTTCAACATATCATACACAATGTACACAAACTGTAAAATAATTTGAACTGCTGTATCATGCAAAGCAGTAACCCTTTACACCCTAACATCAGTATTTCTATTTTCACACTCTTCTCTGTACATTTCCTTTGGTACTGACCAGGAGAATTTCTTTCACCCTTTAACTCCCATGGATGACAAGACAGAATTTCTCCTTACAGTATCAGTACAATATCAACCAGATAGGTTATGAGAATACAGAAAAATATCAATTTTGGGGATAATTAGTTGATCTAATACTAAATTCTCTAAGCTAATGTTATAAGAATTGTATGGTTGATAGTAAGGAAAATTACAAATTTGATCTGGGAATTAAAGGGTTAACAAATAAAATTCTGAGGCTGGCAATCATTTCCTTCGTAGAAATTCTCATGATCCTGATAAATGATTCAGGGGTAAATATTACTGTAAGGAGAAATTAGGCACTGACCACTCCTAGTGTCGGTTATTTAGACAATCTGAAGATGCCATCTTCAATTTAGCCAAACCTTTTATCTGAACATTTAATTTTTGTAAAGAGTGTCTAGACGGCCAAAAGCTAACAATAGAAGGACATTAATTTAATTAAATCAACCTTCTTAAAGACAAAGCCTGAAGCCCACTGCCTGCGTAAAGACAAAGTTTGGATTATACCTCCTGTAAAAAACCAGCCCCTAAGGGTTAGAGGGTTAAAATTAAAAAAACCTTTGTGTGATCACAAAAGGTATAATATGCAAGTATTGATGAACTGGCAGCAACGTAAACAATGGAAGTTCATTATGCCTGACCCATACTGATGATGATTAAATAAACTTGTCGAGGATAAGTTGTAATTACAATAATGAATGAATTTAAGACACACAATTAAAAATCTATCCAATTCAACTAAATGAACAATAAATTAACAATAAAATAACATTTCTCATCAATCCTTCAATACTTGTAGAGAACTAAGAAGTTCTATTGCCTTGACAGCTTCACTCTCAGGAACCTTGAAATTGAAAATAAAAACAAAGGCTTATCACAATCACAAGAAATTCTTCCTTCCACATTCTGGTAGTACATTTCCCAGGAACAATTTCCTGGTAAAGTTTTCTTGCAAATCTGAATTTCAAATGATTTTTGAAAAAGCCAAATTTAACTCCTGTGGAAACAATAAGCAGAAATTCCAATGCTTTAAAATAAAGAAGGGATATTTTGGGAACACCACAAACAAATGCAAACCTTGCACTGAGTTACTGTGCTCCAAAAATAACCAAAGGCTCATTCGAAGATGCCACAGAAAATCAAGAGAGGATTGTTCCAAAACAACTAGTTAAACAGGGGAAACTGTCTACCTTTGCCAGAGGAAAGTTACAAAACATGAATAAATGTTATATGTGAATATTAAGCTAAAAGGAGAGGCTGTGCAAGATCACTGAAAATGGAAGATTCTTAAAATAGGAGGGCTACAAGCTATTTCCTGATAACTTTCAGCGATACTCAATAAGAAAATTCCTCACTGACCACAGAGGACAGAAAGATGATCAACAAGTCCATCTGCAAAACTCCTTGAAGAAATAATATTATTAACCAAGATAATATTACCAGCATTAACATAGGTAATGGTGATGAAAACCAAATTTGTTTCATGTTAGTGGATTCCCAACTCTTAGTCATGATGCAGATAAGATTAATTCATCAAAGGTACTAATTAAATGAATGATTAGCAATTAAAAGTACATACCAAAAGATGATCATAAAGGAAAGTACAGATGTAAAAAGTACTACATGAAGCTTCAGTTAATGGTTCAGATAACTGAGCAACTATGCCACTCTCCTCTAAAAGTAACACACAAACGGCTTCAAATTAATCCAGGGATGAATGGAAAGTAGCTGCAGGAAACTTGCCAAAAGTAGCTCTAAGATTTTGATGGCAACTGGACTACAGGCATCTTTGTTATTCAACAACAAAGATAAGCCACTGATACGAAACACCAATATGAAATATATCATTTGATAATATTCCAAAATGCTGGAGGCTGAAAATCAATCAAAGATCCCCCAAGAGATAAGAGATAAGCCTCTTATTCACATACAAATTGCTTTGTTATCCTCCACAATTTTTTCTTGGGGGTTTATCATTAAATAAAATTTGAGTTTTTATGCCCTGTTTTCAAGAAGGGAGATTCAACAATTTAATGTTTCCTGGTGTAACTGTTGTTGCCAAAGAAAGCTTTAGTACTCTGTTCAAGTTTCCCACAACACCTCTATGACCCAGAGGTTTGTACATACCAGTGTATGACCAAGGCCATAAGTACTGATGTAATAAGTAGGCATTTGAACATCTGCTAAAGGTTCTGCGATCTGGGCAGCAACGCCACTTTCATCTACACAACACACAACAGTGCAGTGTATCATTACATATTTATAAAGGAAGCCACTTAAGATTACAATGATAACAATAATACTAGCAATACTGATAATTATAAAAATAATAATAATATTAATAAAATTATGATCACTCTTTGGGTTTGCAGGCCACACCTCTATTATGACTGATTTGTATCAAATGTTCACACCTTTCTAATAACCTTTGCAAAACAAGTGACTGAGTAGGTGAGCGAATCAGTCAGTGAGTCAGTCAATTTGTCATGCAGACTGTCATTCTGTAGGTCAGATGGTCAGTGAGTCAGTCAGCCAGTCTGAGTCAGTGAATCAGTGCACCACTATATCCACCTATCTGTTATCAGTTAGGCAGTCACCTAAATCAGCAATTTTCTCGTTTCTTATACAATGTCTGATGTCTGGTTGAGCCACATGCATAACAGTGTCAGTCTGTTGAGTGTCTGTTTGTATGCACTAGTCTTAAGCTAACATCTTATTCACCAAATTTTCACTTGCTCATTTCAAATCAGAATAAAAAAAAGACAAAACTGACCAAATCCTAGGGGGTCATCTCCAACACGAATCATTCTCCATCCCTCATCATTGGTGTTTGTGTATAGTGAACCTTCAGGAAATCTAGATATTTAAAAAAAAAGCACATCGAGACACAAATTTTCTACAAATTCAAGCATATTGATCACAGACTATGTTACCATCTTGACAATTTTCTATCACTGCAGAAAAGCTACAATTTAAGGTATCAATTTTATCAATATTAGGTGATACTGGACAGTTTTGACTGTAAAATTACAATGTCAACATGGAAACTTTCCTTGTTTCCAAAAGGTAACTGAATCTCAAGAGCCATTATTCACCAACCCTCAAACATAAAAGTTGGGAAAAAGAAGTAAAAATGACACATTGTCACTGGAAACATAGCCAGCTGAACATGACAACAACAGGATTTTTATGTGTCAAAATGTGGTTGCCAAACTTCTGTTGTGCTGTACTAAACACAAAATCTTAGTATGACTGACATAAAAACCCAGTTCAGTGGCCTTGTTACCATCATGATGGTTTGTGTAGCTATTCTTTCAGTACAATTGGTTGCACTTTTCATGTCAACATCAAAAAATATAATTCATGCACACTGAAAATAACTTTACAATGCCAGAATTCTCAAAATGTAAGTAAAAGCTAAGAGACAAAACATATACAAAATTTTCACCTTTACCTTGACAAAGCCTCACTGTCTAAAACTAATGAAATGTCTCCTTCAACAATTGAGATGTGAAAGAAAGGTTCATATCGTCCATCATCAGGTGTTCTGGGGTAAAATGAGCCATATAAATTATTGAAAATATTCAGTGATTCTACACATCAAAATGTCAAATAAGATATATGCATTTGTGCTATGATCAGCCAATTCATCAGGCTGTATTTCACTGAACATCCACAAAATTAAAAGGGTAGTTGGAATAGAGATCTTATAACTCTATTTGAACTCAGGGGTATAATAAATATCTTACTGATCTTGTTTTCTTGGACTGTACTGTAAGTTACAGAGCCTCATTTTTTCAGCTGGGATTACTAGTGTGCATGCTTTGCCCTTGGGTCATAAATCCAAGCAAGAAAAACTCTCCTTCAACTTACAGTATGGACTTTGAACTTGCTTAGTAAGAGGTATGTATCAACTCTTTTGGGGGAAGAAACTCTCAAAGAAGTAACTTGTCAAGAGAACAAAATTACCTGTGTAAGGAGGTGGATTCAATACAAAGTCTACACCTAGAGAGCCAGCTAATACACTTAGAAGTTAACATCTAATCACATATTTCATAGCAGTAGAAGAACAACAAAAAAATTTACTCAGAATAGAACATCAGTTCAAGAATGGTGGTAGTGAGGCTTGGTAGCATTCGAAAATCTAGACTGGTCACATGAAATCTGTTCATTGGACATGTGAATGGGTGAATAATTGGTCTGTGCTCATCTGCCAAACAAAGGAAAGAAAAAAAAACCAGTTACATATCAGTATGCAAAGCACACAAAAACCAAATAGCTATAAAATCAAACTGAGGATATTACAGCGTTAAAGAAAACCACTGGAAATTTACCTGCTTTCCTTTCATTCATTTGGTTCATTCCAACCAATCTATCCTTAATAGAAAGAGTCACAGGTTCAAGTCCTGATCCACTGTCTTTAAAAATTTTATAATTTTCGGAAAGACACATCATGGCAGTTTCAAGATCTTTCTCTCTCACCTGACAGAAAAAGAGGAGTTCAACAAAATTAACAAAAAACCAAATTACAAGTTAAATTTGTTTGCCCATCAACTCATTGTTTAAAGGTTAGAAAAATAATAATGAACATTTTAGCTCCCAGGATCTGATTAGTACTTCTCCTCTCTACCTGCTAGACATTTCCTTGTAAATTAGTCATGAGAAATTGGTGTTCGATCAAGACAACGTCTTCTACCTGATTAGTTTGAATATTCTTATTACATCTTTGCTGGATAATGCAAGGATATTATAAGGAGAAGATTTATGTTGATCACTTCTGGGAGTTAAATGGTTAAAAAGTGAAAGACTGCAAGCTCATTATTAATATCTGGATCAAACTTGTATCAATCAATCAAAAAATTGTTCAATTAGGTTAATTAAACATCATTCATTCACAAATCCTGACATTCATTACAAGATCAAGGAACAGTTTCCCTCCTAAAAAAGAATAAATACAGTTGATTGTATGCTTACAAAGAGTAAAACCATAGTTTACCAGTTGAGGTAAACAAAGAGAACACTCTAAACCAAATAATCATTAGTTTCAGCGAGAATGATACTTGACTAAAAAACCTACCAAGACATAGTCTGACTGATAAGTTGAAATGACCAGAACTGAGATTTTAAAATCCGCCAAGGGAGAAATAACTGTTTTAACAATTCTACTAATTCCAGTCAGCTGATGGCTTCCATAGGCTCCTGCAGACACAGTCAGAACTCGCCAGATAAGGTCAGGCATGTCAATGCTCTCACTTTGTGGAAGCTCTGTCAACAACAGCAGAGACACTTTAGCCTTAAAGCCTTGTGAGGCGTGTAATAATAGACTTATTAGCACTTAATTAGACTTTTTGTTTATCATTTTATAAGAATGAAGTTATATTAATACAGTTGTAACACAAGTACAAAGTTGCAAGTGCAAATTACAAATAGCCTGTGGGCTCTTAAAATTTTGTCTATCTTCAGCGTACAAAGAAAGTTGTGTCTGATAACCCGGGGCTAGTGGATTTTGTGATCGGGCTAGTGAATTCTGTGATTAACTTGCCTGAAGGGCAAGTGAAGAGTTTTTGGAGAATTAAAATTACATAAGTACTGTAAGACAAATGTTTTAAATTCCTAATAAATTCATGTGGACCAAAAGTCGCTCCCACAATGTGAAATCTGCATAAACAAGACAAAGTATTGCATTACATGTCAGACGAGATATTTTGAGATCTCGTGCATATATTATGTAAGCAGATATTGAAAAAACTTTGGAGGTAAATGCTGCTCGTAACTAATTCTTACTTATTCAGAGAAAGCTATTTGTCTGAATTTTGCTTCATAATCTTTTGTAAGGAATGTAAACAAAAAATTTTGGTCCTGAACTCCAGTGAGAAATATTTTGTTTCAGAAAATATTGGTCACGTGCATTACAATATGGTAAATTCTAAACAGCGATACCATAAGTGTTTGTTGATTAAAATATGTAGACCACATTGTATTGTTTTCACTTTTCACAAAAGTCTTTCGGATCAAAAGTTGCCAGAAATGAAACAAACAATTTTTGAAACCTAAAATCTTTGGTTACATGTAACAAGATGAACCACAAATTTGCATAATTTGTTCACTGATGCATGACTTGGCACTTTCCGGTGAACTTGAAACTTGACTTGGGAAACCAATTCCCAAACAAGCCTTCTTTAGAAAAATGATCTTCTGAATGCACTACTTTTGAATGAGAAGCAAACTGATGAAGCTATCAAATTTTTATCCCCTTTAATAATATGAATATCTCCCCTATCAGCTGCTAAGAAATATTACAGCTGGAAATTTTTTTGGCGGCAAATTGGAGAATGAAGTGCTTTCACCGGCAGCTTTTTGCGTTGTCGATGTTATTATTCAATGTGTCCATTGAGAACTTTGGTTTCACTGTTTCAACACCATTTTTTCTCTTAAAAAAAGTGTGTTTCTAAATACTAAAATGTCTAAAATGCATGTTAATCATTCATGTGTTGTGGAGGACCCAGCAAAAATCTACAGTGTGGCAGCCCTAAGAGCAAAACAGCTCTTTTTTTTCTGCTTGCAAAAAATTTTTTTTCAGGCTGGTTAAAATGACTTTCGGGCTAGTAGATGTTAGTAAAACTGACTTTCTTTGCTCCCTGGTCTTGACTTTCTGTGATACATTTTTTAAGTAAATTATTAACAAGTAACAACATGATTTCTTGCCCAATTTGGTGCAATAAGCATTTGTAAATTTTCAAAGTTGCCCTATAGGTTCATGAAATTTTGTTGTCTTTGAAAAATTTACGCATGCTTATCACCACAAAATTGCACTTAAAATCATGTTATCACCTCGACAGATATGTCTTGTCAGCTGGTTTTTTCTGGCAGTTTTGTAAATCAGTTTGTATAGTTTAAAAAAATAAATATCTCCAAAAATTTTACAAATGCAATTATTAATACATTTGTTTTGTTCAATGAGCTGGTGGCAAATCACCATGTAGTTTTGAGGCATGTTATGTTTTTAACTTTTTTTTAATCAAAGTAAAGAACAATTCCTGGTGATAATTTTCACCAAGTGAGAATATGTTTCACACCGTGGTATAGAATATCTGCATATTTAACGAAAGGTATTTTCTAATCAAGTTTATCAAAAAAAAGCATGAGGTAACTTTCTTTAGGAAAAGTTTTTCTTCTCACCAAAAATGCATTATCTAAGAAGTGTTCAAAAATGAAGTATGCTTGAGAAAGCAAAAGAATAAAGGGGCTGATATATCTAACCCTAAATAATTACTATGCTTATAAGAAGGATAGGAAATGGTGAAGTTATTTCACAGTAATTTATTTTTAATATTGATGGCACCAAGATTCAAGTTCTCTCTTGGTCGTAACGTAAACCACTGGATAAAGTCATTAAAATTACATAATGAAACTGTTGTTTTGAATTCAATTTTTTTCATTTGTTCAAATCTCTTGTGCTCTGTTCTTAGTCAGAACAATAACAATACTGATAACATTACATCTCAAAATGACTAAGATACCAGTTCTAATGTAACATCCCTTTTGGAAAAAGTAAAGAACCATCCCTTTGGAGAGGAACACCTTGCTTCAGTAAACAATTTTATTGCCAATATATTGAAATTTTCTGAGACAACACTTACAAATACATCTCACTGCTTCAGTAAATTAAAGTATTATTTATTCATTTCACCTGTTTAAAATAATTTTGGTATAACTCATCACTAAGAAAAAGAAAGACCTTGATACAGCAAATATCATCCCCTTGCATAATAATCATAACACAATGCATAGTTCTCTGGCTGTTGGGCAAAATGATTGGACTAAATTTGAATGGTATCTTTTCTTTTTAAATCCAGCTTAGATTTCATAACTGATCTCCAATACATTATCAACAACCATGAGTATTTTTCTTGTTTGTTTTGTTGCATTATGTCTCTTCATGACGTTAGGAATAAAATATAAATTCAGGCACATTTTCATGTTTTCTTTGGTATTTTTGTTACTCAGCATGAATTTCTGAACCATGGAATGAATCAAATTTAGTTGACTTATATGTAAACAGGAAGGTACAGCATAAATTTGATGCTAAATTAATTATGACCCTATTGTTTGTTGTGAAAAATTGATTTAGAAAACCCAAGAGTGTCCACTGATGAAAATGCAAATGTTTTGAGAGGGTTATCACAAAAAATGAATTTATCAAATTTTTGTAGCAAAACAATTTTATGACCATATTTACATAACAGGAAAAAAATTCACTTCCATAAAATAAACAGAAGGAATATTTCTTAAGAGTGTTCCAATTTACCTTTTTGGTGCTTCTATAGAAAAAAAAATTATACTCAGGCAAAACAAAGGTAAATACCACCTAATTTCAACGACTTTGAAATGTGAAAATGAATGTATTGCACACAGTTAGGATTAATAAATTCATCGATAGAATTTGTATGGGGTGAGGTTTTCAAAGTCAAGTCCGGTATTCAATCTCGAAAGAAAAACATAAAATAGGAAACTTAATCTTTAGTTTCCACTCTGTAGGAATCTGCTCGGTCACTGCATCAAATTTGGCCCTCATGCTATCAAGAGATACAAGTGTATAATTATGCAATTCGTCCTTGCTGTGTACGCATGCGGCACTCAATATCAGTTATTTTACACTTCACAAGTACATTCGCAAAAGCAGTCTGTAATCAAAGGAAACAGACTTTCTTTTGAGCCTCAGTGTTGTGCTCCATGTAGTGATACATGATCCCCTTGTTTCTCGCATGATCGCATTGTATACAAACAGCATATTTCTTAGTAATTACCTTTGCAAAGATCATCCTCCACGATTATTGTGTAACCATCTCTGGTCTCCGTAAAACTGAAAAACTTAGGTCTGTTGAAAGCGTAAAGGAGAATAAAACACAATAAATGAGTTTGTTATTTAATTTAAAATCACACCAGAAACCATAAGTTTACGCTGGCAAAACCAAACAAAATATGTCTCAATAAAACACATGGCAGTCACCCTTGATCAAATTACAAATACACCGGTAGGACGTGACGCGCAAAGAATCTCACAAGATTGTGCAATGATGAGCGCTTCACCAAAACTATGACCATTCTGTGAATAAGACTACGATGATCTTGTGATGAATGGAAAATAACGTTAAAGTTTTTACACAGTTACATAGGAGTTAAGTTCTCCGCATGGACCGCGCTAAAATTTGAACTTACCTTGATCGAGGTAGCAACGAAATTTTTATTAGCGCGTGAGTGTATAAAGAAATTGCATCTTTCTTAATGTTGGAGACGCGAAGCTTGTGCTCCAAAATGTGAAGTTCCGAAGAGTGCCCCAAATCTCCATTCATCATTGTTATAAGATACAAAAAATCCACAGAAAAACGCGCGCAAATTGAAGCAGAGGTGTCTCGTACCCTTCCCACTATTTACGACTTCCCGCGGTTGGCAACGTGATTCGTCGACTCGGCTATCTCACATGGAGAAAATGCTCCGTGGTTGGCATTTCCTGTCAACTCATCTTTTGTGAACAGGATCAATTCCGGTTCAAAATATCTCTGGTTATAAAAATCGAAATAACAACAACTTCACCGCGCTAGTTGGTCAAGTAAACAACGTGACTGCAATCCAGCAATACCCTCTTTCCGGTTTTTCCCGATCACGAAGGCTTTGCACGTGTAGCAAGACTTTGACAATTGAACAAGATACCAGCGCACTTCCTTCAACGGAAAATCCCAATTATTGAACGAAAACAAATTATTGTAAGCTCATTCAATAGCGATTCAAACAGTATGCAAACTCACATTATTGGTAATTAACGCTCTAAAGTAATTATGCTAATGTAGGGGAATTGGGACAACATTGAAGCGTGGTTACAATGCAATACAAAAATACGACTGAGTAGGGTCCTGTTAGATCACAAAACATCATAGAAGTCCTTATTTTAAATTGAAGCTGTAATTTTCAATACTTATCTGAGGTAATTCCTCAGGTATAGTTTTTCATCAATTCAGCGGAATAATTTTGTTTTGGAAAGTTCAAAGTGGACTGTCGCGACAATATTTGTCTCTCTATCCCTCCCTCAGTGGAAGCTACTTTAGTCAGTGAAAGGTTTCGTCTTTAATCAAACTGAAATAGTTGATACAAAATGTCGATTTTTACGCCAACCAATCAAGTAAAATTAACAAATGTAGCGGTGGTAAGGTTGAAGAAATCTGGAAAACGTTTTGAGATCGCCTGCTACAAGAACAAAGTTATGTCATGGCGAAATAAAGTGTGAGTACCTGTACCTTGAAAAGAATTTCACTCAGTGCTGACATTGCAATTTAGTGATTGAGTTTTAAACAATGAAATATGCTCAAATTCATGTTACTAGTACGTGATTGAGGAACACCGACATATAATGGCTTCTCGGATTTTAATAATTTCTCGTGCAAAATTTAAAGCATAGTTCAAAACAACCCTGCTAGGAAAGGGTAGCCGAAACAAACTTAATATTCATAACGCTCAGAACACTATTATTTCTGGATGGAAAGTCATGATGGTGACATTTCAGTGACTTAATGTAAACCTTGAGGCTTGAGAAGGAGTCGTACAAACCCCTCAGACTCCTTAGAATCTGGCTTCCTTTCTTTAAGCTCTGTACACCCCATTTTCAATACAAATTGTGTAGTTCCACATCTACTTTAGCATAATAATTTAACCCCTCTTATTGGAAGACTACCAAAAGGTATTTTTCCCTTCTCTTTGCACAGGGAGAAGGACATTGATGAAGTTCTTCAAACACATACAGTATTTACAAATGTTTCTAAGGGACAGGTAGCTAAAAATGATGATTTGTCTCGAGCATTTGGTACCACAGATCAGACAGAAATTTGTCTGCAGGTGAGCAATATTTATCTCCAATTTAAGTTCCTTACAATTTTTCCTACTTGTCCTAATTCAATTCAAAAGGATGTGGTAAAATATTGGTGTGCATTGTGAACAGTCATATCAAAAGCAGACCTGACATAAATGTTAAATAAAATATTACCAATAAGTAAATTTGGTGATGTCAAACAATTATGCCAAAATTCACATTTTGCATCTGTTATATAGATTTTAGCAAAAGGAGAGCTACAGGTATCTGAGAAGGAAAGAAACACACAACTGGAATCAATGTTCAGAGACATTGCAACTATTGTGGCTGACAAATGTGTGAACCCAGAGACAAAAAGACCTTATCCAGTGGGTCTGATAGAAAGAGCTATGAAAGATATTCATTATTCAGTTATTCCAACCAGAACCACTAAACAACAGGTATGGGAAAATTTTTGATTTGTTTAGGGACTTGTCATAAATTAGCAGGGGGGGAGGGGGGGTGGGAATTTTAAATTTGGGTTCGGAAATTAGGTGACCCATCCCTGCAATGGGAGTGAAATTTGCTAACCCTCCCCTTGAGCTTGGCCTAAAATATCATGACCCTCCCCCTCTTGTATAAATGATAAAATCTAGTTCTTGCAATACACTATTATACACTACACTTATGAAGGAATAAGTGGGCTCCTCAAAACACAAAGGCCATACATCCAATATGCCTTTGAAAAGGGATTGTTCACCAAAGAATCACAGGACATTATCAAGCAATATCTACGCTTCAACTTAAATGAAAATCATGATGACGATGAAAGTGATTGTATCAATGCTGATGAGATAAATGATGATGATCAAGATTCTCACAGCAGCATTGATGGTGATGCTGAAGACAGTGATGAATAGGATAGCCAGAACTCTACTAACATTATTAATAACAACATTATTCATAATTTCAATAAGACTATATAGCATTGTTATAAATGAAAAGTACATGTTTGTTAAATTCTTGCTATAGTACTTCACAGTTTATATCCATAACGTTCCGTAAACCGTTGTATTTTTCTCTTTTTTTTGCCAAATAAAGAACTTCCTTTTTCTTCTGTGGGTGAACCTCTACATGATCACGGGCATATATTTGCATGACCCTCCCCCTTTTAACTGCCCATTTTTCATGACCCCTCCCTTTTCTGAGGCTCAAAAAGTTGTGACTCCCCCTCTGTTTCCACCCCCCCTCCCCCCCTGCTAATTTCTGACAAGTCCCTTATAACAAAGACAAGATTTCATCGCAGTGGGGAAGGGTGAGGGGGTTATCTTTGCATCATGGTTTACAATGTTCTATAAATCTTTCCTAATTTGTCAGAGGGTAGTAAAGGGGGAGAATCCTCATCCTGTTTTATGCATTAATTTTGGAAATTAAAATTCATGTGTCATGGATATGAAATGAAAAACTGTGAATCTCTCTTTTTGTATACCAGGTTTCAGGATAATCTTGAGGTTTTTATGAAATAGAAAAAAACTCATAGGTCAGGTATATTTCAGGAGGCAAATCACACCTCTTGCTGGTTAATGAATTCATGAACCACTCTAACTTGTCTCTCTGTAAAATTCTCACCCCACATATTAATTATGGCCTTCATCACAGGCTCTTGAAGTCATTAAACAACTCAAGGAGAGCATGGAGATCGAACGAGCCCAAATGCGCCTCAGGTTGATCATACCAAGTCGTGAGGCCAAGAAGGTTCACGAGAAACTGAGACCACACATATCAACTGTTGAATCTGAGGATTGGCAAGGCGGGGACTTGGAAATGGTGAGGAAGACTGAAGAGTGTGATGAATCAAATGAAAAATTACTGTTTACAAATTAGTGGTGTCAACTGGTAAAGAATAAACTCATTTATTAAATAAACTGCATTGTATGACAAGAATTTCCAGCCTTGACAAAAGCTGTAACTACACTATAAAACTACAATAGTTTTTTATGGTATACATGTTTGATTTTGCCAATCAGCTGCTGACATGTTACTTGCCTCTCTCATCACTCTGTCATAATAAACATGTTTTAATTTTTGTTCTCTTTCCTAGGTTTGTCTCATAGATCCTGGTTGTTACAGGATAATTGATGAAACTCTCAGGGCTGAAACTAGGGGACGAGGAACATTGGAAATGATCAGTTTAAAGGATATAGAGGAAGGAGATGAAAGACTGGAATGATACTGAGGACAGAATTTTATACCAATATGCTTCAGCAGGTTTTAAATAAAACTAAAGCGATGCTTACACCAACTAAGAAGTAGACTCGTGTATATAAAACAGGCAATCCAAAGATGGCTAGAGAGGAAAATAGTATTGGTCTTCACTTGCTTGATTCTAGAATTTTTTGTTTGAAAATTTTTTCACTTCTGTGCATCAAACTTTGCAGAACTGTCTTCTCATAATGAGGTTGATTTAGGCTCTTTTTTAAATTTAAAATTTCTTTCCACTGGGAAGGAGAATGTATCACACATCTCTTCAAAAATCTGAGTCAAACTCTTCATCGTCACATGCAATGTTAGAGTGTTTCCTTCTATTTTCTGTTGTTTTCCTTTTCACTTTAAAAACAGATAGTGAAATCTCCTCTTTCTCTGCTTTCTTTATGATCTTTAATACCTTTTTCCTTTCAACTGAAATAAATTTTAAATGCAATGGTTACTACTTTAAGTATGGCTTAAAAATGAAAAATTCAACACTAGTTATTTGTGTTTGTTGAAGCACTAATTTTTTCCTCAAAAGTTCTTTCCCCTCTATAGTAATGATATGAAAAAAATCTTTTCTAAAGAATTATGGTCATTTTGGCTAGGATTCGTTTTACTAATGGCCAAATTGCTAATGTCTGAAGTAGTTGCACCAATTTCTCAGGTCAGTTCACTAACACTTGATTGGCTGATTCCCTAATGTTTTAGGTCATTTCACTGGTCTTGTTTCCTTTGAAATAGCAATAAATGAAATGCTATAAACATATGTGTAAGATTGGCTGAAAATGGACTGGAATTGGTCAAGTTCTGCTGATGGAATCACTAAATGTTTTAAATATGGTTACCGTAGTGAAATGACCCATGAGATGTTAGCAAATTACCTGAGACTTTGGCAAAATGACATAAGATATTAATGAACTGGTTTTTGGTGAAATGATGTGAAGGCAACAGCACTGGTTACCATTGTAATAAACCCTGGATGGTCAAAATCTGCATAACTACTAATAGTTGTTACTTAAGTCTCAACCAATTGGCTTTTCCTATTGCATGGTATTATTACAAGTGCAATTCTGCAGCCTGAGATTTGAATCTGTTTTCTGGTTACTGTTTTGATGAGAGAGTTCAGACAGAGAATTCAGAAAAAAAAAATCTTTCAATAATTGATAAATTTATTACTCATGATGTTTATATTGCTACCATTAATAATAACAGAGAAAAGAAACCTCTCCTAACCTAAACAGTGTCATCTGTTGAAACCTCTTGTTATCAACTATGCAGGAGCCTCAGTTCAATAAAACAACTAACCTGGTGTTTTGCAATTCTGCAACAACTGAAGGAGCTGGTCTTTATTATGACGTATTAGGAACTTTTGACAGGAGAGAATTGTACCTAAAATGGAAGATATTAAATTTAAATTATTATGAATTCCTTTACTTTAGGTCAAAATATTTTTATATAAGTCTATAAGCCTGCATGACTTCTTGAGCCATCAAAAATACCACAAAGTGGGTCCACTCTGCTAAGTCAGTACTAGTTCATTAAATGAACTGCAAATCTAGCAGAGGGCTGATCTTATTTTGCTCACCAGTCTCCATTTCTGAACCTTTAGTAGCATCTAAATTCTCCTTACAGTCTCATCACGGATTCAAACACAAAGGTTATGAGACTAAAGAAAGTGATTGCCATCTAATGAAGCTCTTGATTCTCAACCAAAATTCTCCTTGACTACATCTTGGGAAATGTAATGCCAGTAGTAGGGGGATTATGCTTAATGATGTTGTGATGTATTTGGATGTGAACAATGAGCCACAAAATCTCAAAGCCACCTTAATGACAATGTGTCAAATTGAATAGATGAGCAAAGATTTGATTCCACTATTTTCTAGAGTTGTGTTAGTTATAGAAATCCAGTCAGTGAAGGTTACTTCTAAGCTGTTTTAAGTTCTTTGCTAAAATCTGAAATTTAATCCAAAATTTTCAATTTCAGTCCTTTGAACACTAGATCATGATGTGTTCTGTGTATGCTGGATTTCAACAGAAACATTGCCATACTTTAACCCCTTACGCATCAGTATGCATATTCCCCATACTGTTCTCCTATGTTTCCTAAGGTGCTGACAAGGAGAATTTGTTTAGCCATCAAGAGCATCCTTAGCTGTTGATGATTTCCTTTGTTCTTGTGACCTTAAAATTTGATTCAACTGCAGTATTGTGTGAAGAAGGAGAAAAGAATTAATGAAATAACATCATATTACCTCCAACATGAAGAACGCGGAACACACATGGATGAACATCATTTTTTATTGTTATGGTTCTTATGAAGGTGACTGCTGACCAAACCATCCTATAGTAATCTCTGGCACATGCGATAAATGCCACTCCAGTGACAGAGTTTAAATACTTTACTGAAATAAAATACAAAGCAAATTATACAGAAAATTAGAACTATTGCAAGCACTGTAGTGTTGACTAGTTCTGCATTTTTGGGGGCGGGGGAGGGGTGGGTACTCTACAAAGTTTTGAATGGTTCTCTCAGAGTTCTCCACCCTAACCATCTCCTCTACTAACTATGCCCTAATGTCCAAATGCATAATCTTTTACAAGAAATATACACGATTGTATTAAAAGATAACCTGTAATATACCTATCATAGATCTATTATGGGAAATACCTTACGGCCAAGCAAGAAGCTGGGCTTAACAAACTCCTTGCCCTTTTGAGAAAGCGTCTCGAGAAAATTTTGCAGTTTCTTAGCTTTCTTCTCTCTATTTATTCATTCTCCGTAAATGGGTAAAACCTCTCTCACCTTGCAATGAACGAGAAACACAAGCCATTCCATAATCTCCATGAGCTGAGATCACGGCTTTCTTCACAGTGTCAAAGACTACTCTTCCATCAATTCTCTCATCAACTTGGCCGTCTTTACAAGAAATTTCCACCAACAAATACCTAAAAAGGAGCGAAGAAGAAGGAAACTTTTTAGTTTTAAGCAATCAAGAATCCATAACTGAGACTGACGTTCTTGCACGTGAAACTGACCTTTTTTTAAAGCGCACCATTCTGTGTACTTCCTGCTCCTTGCCCGTAACAGATCAAACGTTCTGTCAATATTCGCCAGGCGTTCTTCACTTTCTCTACTTAGTAACCGAGCTCTTGGTCTGAAAAGTACCTACGTTGTATAAGAATAACTGCAGATTGCGCAAAAAACATGGCGGTCAACGAAGCGTGTTCCCAGATGCGTTATTTTTGTATAGCAATTACCTTACTTTTGGTATCGATATCTGTTCATATAGATGGTAAGTGTTATAAATATTGAGTTGTCGTCTGAGCTTTACAAATGCAGCGTTCTCAAAAGAAACATTGCATCAGAACTTATCCTTTCAGATCCTCCCCAGTTTCGAGTAGCCTCAGCGGAAGCACGCATATTTCCACAACTTGAGAGACACACAAAAGGCAAAAGGAGGATATTATTTTGTTGGAAAAGGGTTGAAATACACTTGATATTTCCCCTTTTTTAGGAAAATCAAGAGATATTGAACATAAAAGGGTCAATTAATTTACCAAGGACTAGTATTGTGTTCTTATATGGCCTAACCTACTTTTTCGGCAGCACATTCTCCGATTGATCCAAGTATTTTGAGGAAGCCAAACTGGCAAGATCGTCTTATTACTTGGTGGATGTCGGTGAGAGCGCCTCTAGGAACTCTGATCCTCGGGGGATTAGGTTTGACCTGGTTGATAATTAAGATCACAGGCAAAGAAAAACACAGGGATGAATATTTACGTTGGAAAGCCAGGCAGGAGAAGGTTTGATAAATTTGTTATTAAGTTTCAGTGTATCCATCCTTCCTCCCTTTTTGACTTTCTTTTATCCTTCCTCTTTCCTTTCTGGAAATCTTTCGTTAGAGAGAGAGTTACATAATTATTAACTTGTGAATCCAGAAAGAGATTTAACTCTCTGACCCCAAAGAGTGACTAGCCTTTAATTTCTCCTCAAAATATCCCCCTGAATCACACATCAAAGTTATGAGAACATAGGAAATGATCAGTAATCAAAGAAGTTCTTGATTGTTATTCAAATTCTCCTTGTCTGCAAATGTATGAAGAATATGCATAATGATGTTAGGGTGTAAAGGGTTAAATCATGACTGGGAGTTGTTCTGTGACTCTGTGTATATTATTAAATGAATATTTTATTGTGTGCAAAAGCATATGGCTTAAAAGGGCCTTTTTTTTTGGCAGGAAAATAAAAAAGTTTTGAAATCTCCAACTGATGAGACAGAAACTACAGTGTCAAAGGATTTGAAAATATTCTTTGGAACACAGACTGGAAAGGCTCAGGTACATCAGCAGGAGCTGTATTTGCCTATTAATTGTTAAATCATTATTATTGTGATGTATGCATTGAGCTGTGATGAGGAAAAGGGTATCAGACAGATAATATTTTTAATCTTGTAGGTTAGCTCAAAAAATTATTTAGTTCATAGCCAGTGAAAACTTGAAGCATATTTAACTTTTAGCTATGTATTACTAAGTGAAATACTGTGGCCAAGTGAAAGTTGCTGTGTTTAGTTTTAAATCTGTTTGGCAGAAAAACTGCATGTGTTTAGTGTTTTAGGCCCATCCTAAAATGCAGTAAAGCAAGACTAATGCAGCAATATTCCATGATGTTGGACACTCACTTAATATGTTTATGATCTGACTCATTCCAGTACCCTACTGATTCACCTCACTGAAGATAAGCTCTGACCCAGACTTTGGGCTAACTAGAGCTGAAAAGTAAAGTGATTGCCAAATGATTGAACAGTTGGATATGGAACCTTTTTTAAAAGAAGATTTTTAAGCGATTCATTGATCATAAACATTTTTTTAATTCCAGAATCTTGCAGAGTTGCTACAGTCTGAAGCACAAGAAAGTGGGTTGAGAGCTGAACTTGTGGATTTAAAGAATTATGAACCAGAAGACAATCTTTCTGAAGAGGTATTTCCAAATTTCACTTTTTTTTTATTTCTATATATCTGTGTAGCATGCAAATAAATTTCACTTTAACCCTTAACTCCCAGAATTGATTAACATGAAACTTCTCCCTACAATATCATGCATAGCTCAGCATACAGGTAATGAGAATGTTAAAACTTATCAGGTAGAAGCTGGTGTCTTGATCCAGCACCAAGTTCTTACAACTAATTCACAAGGAAATGTGTAGCAGCTAGAGGGGAGAATTTATTTAATAATCAAATCTTGGGAGTTAAAGGGTTAAAAATATGGGAAAATTTCTAAGTTTTTGGTTCATCACCAGATTAGTTTTTATCTGATGAAGGAAAGTTTATTGGAAGAGAAATATAGTTCTTAAAGGGTAAAATTTTCTTGTGCTCTGTATCTAAATGAATGTGAAAAACAGGGCAGTGGTTTGTCAGGCACTTGCCAGAAAGTGACCAGTATCAGTTGTGTGAGCCAAAGGAAGGAGAGTGTTCAGGTCACTTGCAGTCCCATACAATTGGGATCTACTTTGCCTACCAAGCAAGGGAGATCTAGGAAATTTTTAGTAGAGGGTTGGAGAGGGGGGTCCAAACTGTGATGCACAAAACTCAGAATTCTCTTGAATTCTCCAGCCTTGTAAGCATAGAAATATTTCAAGACTAGTATGTAAATTCTAGATACTCATTCTTTGCAACACTTTTGGTATTGGTCAAGCACTAATAAAAACCACATATAGGGGGGCAGGGTCTGGACCCTACTCGACCATCCCTCTGTAATCACAACTGATAAATTTTACTGTATGTTTCAAGTGATTCTTATTTTCAATTCTCTACTCCACAGACAGCAACTTGTGTATTTATTGTTAGCACATATGTGGATGGAAAGCCTCCAGAAAGTGTTCAGTGGTTTTACAAATGGCTAGAGGAGGCTGCCAATGATTTTCGTGTGCAGAAATCCCTCCTGCAAGGCTTAAACTATGCCGTGTTTGGCCTTGGTAATTCACTCTATGAAGACAAGTTTAACTTGGTAAATAAATCTAATAAGTTATATGTCAGTAAAACTTGGATTTAAAAAAAATTGTGATAAATGGTTTTAAGGTTGTATGATTATTTTTGAAATGAGTACCTAGTAATGACTATATTAGATCTCTGTTATCATGCATCCTTGATTGGGCATTTACCCTTTTACTTCTAAGATCTCATCAGTAATTCTCCCTACTGTTTGCCAAACAATACTATGATGTTAATTTGGAGAATTTGATTTTGGATCAACTGATAATCCCTTTTTGATATTTTTCTTTAGTCCAATCACTTTCATGCCTGATATTACATTTAATATTGTTAGAAGAAATTCTGTCTTGCTCATATTCAAACATTCTCTTTTTGTAATGTGTCAGGTTGGGAAAAGAGTTGATAAATGGCTGGAGTTGCTTTGCGCAAGACGTGTCTTTCCTTTTGGAATTGGAGATGAAAATGTAGCCAACAGCAAACATGGAGGTATGGAGTTGTCGAAACAATCAATTAAAAGTAATGGGTTAAACAGGTAAAGTAGGTTTTAGGTCATTTTTTGCAATTTCTGAAACATGAAGGTAGAGTTTGTTGTGTTAACAAGGAGGATAATTCTGAAAGGAATGATGAAATTTTCAGCAACAGAAGCTGACAGAACTTTTAAAATCATGAACAGAAGCGATAAACAGAGTGAACAGAAAATTATTTGGATTGTCAAATGTGTCCCTGAAAGCTGAATTTCTTGACACTCTTGGTACAATGTATCTTTGGTAAGTTTACTGTTTTGACACAATTCTGGTACCTATTGGTATTTGCCAGATAACAGGAAATTTCTGTAGAGGGTCATACCATAAATTTCAGTTTTAATTTTTTCCTTTGCTTTCAGGTACAGAGGAGGATTTCAAATTCTGGAGAACAGATTTCTTGTCCTTCATAAAAGGCACAAGTGGAAAATCAAAGGGAAATGTGTGTCAGTGTTCCAGTGGATCAAACTCTCAAGTTGATGAAACCTGTTGTCAGAGTGATGAAGGTCCTCAGGAAAATGAGGGTCAAGATGATGAGGTAACATGTGAAAGAAAGAAAAAGACACATAAACATAATATTAATTTAATTTAGTCTGGTCTAATAAATTTGAAAGGGAACTAGTGTTATTACACAATTACTGGGGACTCAAAAGATTTCATTGTGGTCCACAAATTAAAATCGAATCAACTGTAACATTTATTTAACCCTTTGATCCCTAAGAGTGACCAGCATCTAATTTCTCCTTACATTATCACCCCTGAATCAGACTATAAGGTCAGGAGATTAAAGGAAATGATCACAATCTTAACATTGATTGATTATTAAACAAATTCTCCTTGTCAGCACCTTAGGAAATGTATAGAAAACAGTATAGAGAATATGCATACTGATGTTAAGGTGTAAAGGGTTAAGAGTGCAACTGGCAGGAGGCAAACCAGTTGGGTTTTTTCAAATGGCCAAGGAGTTGTACTTGGGATTATGAAGAAAAAAAATTGATCTGGTGGTCAGTGCTGTCAGTGTTATCAAGTGGCTGAAAACCTCATGGACACTTTGTCAAATAACTACATTTTATTACAGATTAAAGATTAAAAGGTTCTGTTTTTGGAAATGTCTTTGTCATTTATTTAGTTGCTAGGTGACCCATGTTTTCTTGTTTCCTTTGTCAAGGTTCTGTATGAAAGCACAAGTGAGGAGTCTGCAGGTGAAGGTGAAGAAGAGAGCAATTCTGGCCTGGTAGATTTAGAAGACCTGGGTCCTATGATGGATAAAATGAAAAAAGATAAGGTAAGAATATTTTGATAAACATAGCACTCTATTTGAAGTGAGTTGGAGCATAGCTTCAAGCACTTGCAACCACAAATTGATAGTTCTGTCTGTGAGAATATTGAAGGTTTATTATTTGACACAGGACTTTACACAGGCTCAATTCCAGTTTGATTTAATGTAATTTATAATCATGCAAGTGTTTCACACCATCACAGGATTGTCTTTTTTGTACACTTGAATGATATAAATGCATCAGAAAGCACACAGAACTGCACAAAGGCTATGTGACTCCTTGGCAACACAACTCACAGACAACGCTCGAGGTTCTGAGATGGTATCTGGTGGTAATGTCATCAGTATCTAACCCAGACAGCATTTACATGTACATGAGACAATCAAGACCAAATCATGTACAAATGAGTGTTGCAAGTGATGTTTTGAAAGTAAACAATAGTTTCTTTTCCTCATTTGGTCCATTTGTAGTCACAGTTTCTGTAATCATTTCGTTTCATGTTAATCAATGCAGGAAGAAAAAGCAGTCACAAGCGTGAAAAGCTCAAAGAGAGTTGTAGGTATGTTAACTGTGTAGAGTCATTAATAACACGCGGTATTTGTTTTCCAAATATTAAGTTTGATTCGTTTTTAAATATTACTTTCAAGACGAACGTGATTTGTACAAAGTACGGTTGTACTTTGTTTTAAGCTCTCTAATGATCCGGAAGCTATTAATTGAAACTGTATTTGAAAGTAAAATCTTTCTTGAACATGACATTTTGGCTTTGGTGAATGTTGGCGTTTCTCTGCGCGCGGGAAGATTTGGGACGATTTGGGGAGAGGTTTGTCAGGGGTCTGGCACTAATAATGAGCGCGTGTTCTTAGGCAATCCCAGAATCCAGAGCTTTAGCAGAGAGAGAAGTGTGCTGACCTTCTGGTCACAACTTAAATTAAGGAGACTGAATTGCTTCCATGTTTCTTTGCTGAAGGTAACAAGAAAAAGGTTAAGACAGAACCCAAAGAGATGATAACACCCGCACTGGAGAAAGCCCTGACAAAACAAGGTACTAAATAGTGAATATAGTAACTGTCATTTGTTGTTTTCGATGATAGTCCTAAGAATGAGGGCATGAAAGCTTTTATTGGAATGGGCGCTACCCATTGTCAATGCTTGTAAAGTTTTTTGTTACTAACCGTGTTCGAGGTCCGTAAAGTCATTTATGGACCGAGGTTTTTCTGCTCGGAGTTATGGCCCAAGTGCGGAGCGCGCGGGCCGTGATTCCGAGCGGATAAGACTCGGCCTGTAACGTACAATACAGACCTCGAACTCGGTTAGTAAGGGGTATTTATTATATGACCTGTGTTTGAAAAACATTTGACAAAAATTTATGTTTAAAGACCGTATGCGTTGGCGTGAATAGGGACGGAAAATCCCATGCGGCCTTGCGAGATACGAGCTGAGTAAAAAGAGAAAAAGCACCAGCGGTAGTCACATGATATGACGCTTTTTGACTGAGTTTAATAGATTCGGACTGGAAAATATTCAGCTCTCTTTCGTGGCGTGCAGACCTTGCGTTTATGATTTGGAGCCAAAACATTTTCCCGTTCGGTCCTCCACCTCAGTCAATAATAGTACAATCTCACCCAGTTTGTGGGCTAGATCAATATATTTCCATCAAAGACAACCGAAGTTTTTTTTATACCGGGAATTCAAGTACCGTGATTAGCCAGTGCTAGGCCCTCGATCTGTAGCGTCGAACGAATGAGCGGGCGAGGGAAATCAGTGGGCCCTGTATGCCTGGAACAAGTTAGGATCTCATCGAAAGGTTGCTTTGCCAGTTTTTACTATAGCTCCAGCTCTCCTTGATTTCAGGAAATCAAATCTCAATCACTCTTTCTTAAGCTTGTTTCCTCGTTTCCGGTTATTTCCTAGGTTACCGTCTGATCGGTTCTCACTCCGGAGTCAAACTATGCAGATGGACGAAGGTATCTAGAATTGATGTTATTCCACTTTCAAACGAGTTAGATACTTTTCATGCGTAGTGTATTGTGTCTGTCGTTATCACGCCAAGTCACATAACCTCGTTTTCAGTTTTGCACCTCTTTCTACATCAGCCATCAGTCAAGTCAAGTGATATTCTTATCACTTCTCCCTTTGAAGGACGCACTTTAGGCCGACACGTCGGTATTGTTAACTCTTAAGTGTTATACACATTTTTATTCACTAGAACGTATTCATTTGTCATTACGAATCCACCTGGTTACGGGTCAAATTTGACAACCATCTCATTGAAGCCGAAAGATTCAGAGAGAAATTTTTCACAGTGAACCCAACTGTTAATGTCCTCTCAGCTCTTTATTGCATACTGGGGTTTAACTCTGCAACTCTCTTTACCCGCTTTGTTACGACCTCATTTGCATGACACTATCACGTGGTACATACACGAGTGCTAGGTTCGACTCAGTGATACTTGTGTTTTGTTCGCAGTCAATGTTAAGAGGTCGTGGTGGTTGCTACAAACATACCTTTTATGGTATAGAGAGTCATCGTTGTATGGAAACAACACCAAGCTTAGCTTGTGCTAATAAGTGCGTGTTTTGTTGGAGGTCAGTGTTATTGACTTGAAGAGTCCATGCTATTTGTGAGGATGTAGTGTACAGGGGGAAAAACCATTTCTCTACAAGTGTCACTTCTCTGTCAGAGTGATTTTAGATTGAGTGCCTCTGTTTTGCTTTACTACCCACTTTGATTGGTTTACAAATTTCTCGTCACCCTCCTAACCAATCAAATGAAAAGTAGAACCAATCGCGACTTGGTCACACGCGTTTTCCCGCGCTTCAGGTAGTTTGCTTGTTTTTACGGTGGGTTATCACCGACTTCTTGAGATACTTTTCCTTTGCACTGATTGGCGTTATGATAAATTTGGTTTTGCGACACTCGATCACAAATCTGATTTCCCCTTTGGTGTTTTATTTTGGGCAGCGTCGGTAATCTTTAGTGAAAATGCGAGATACTTTCATCTCAGTTAAGTTCGAAAATCTTTGGAACTGTTTGAAAGATCAAGGATACCAGGTCTGAAGATTTTGGTTTACTTAAAAATGCATGCTCGAACGTTTTTAAGGGAAAGTACGTTCCTGAAACTAAACAATTTCTGACCGCGCCATTAAAAAATATTCGAGAAAGTTTGAAACTTTTTACCGTGTCTCGAGAACCCATCGAGTAACTTGACTTTCCGTCATTGTTTTCAAATATGCTAATAATTCGACCACAGACGTCGCCATTTTGAATAATGCTTGGTAACCTGGCCGCTTGCACGTGACGTCATAGTATTTTTTTTTCCCTCTCCTCATCAGGCATCATACAAATCCTGTTGGAACAGAATGGAAATGGAAGATGGACGATCCTGACACGATTGTGAATGGCGCCATGGAGAATCACCGCAACATGATCAAACAGTTCAGAGGTTAGTTGCATTAGTGACAGGTTAGGACCTTTTGAGCTTGTTTCTGATTCATCATTCTATTTTAATGCACTTTTAGGTGTTCCTGGTGTGAAACCTGAGAGATTCGAAGAAGGAATGAAAATAAGACATTGTGCTCTTTCTCTTGTTGGTACGTAATTTTTCGTAACTTTAAATTTTTGGTAATTTTTACTCAAGCTTGGTAACACCCTGTAAATGTGTGCTTTTTCGTTCTGTCCAAGGTGAACCTATCATGTATCCAAGAATAAATGAACTCGTCAGGATTCTGCACGGACATGATATCTCATCTTTTCTCGTGACGAACGCACAGTTTCCTGACGCTATAAGGTTGGTCCAAAACGATTTTTACCCTCCCCCCCCCCTCCATCTCTTTGGTTACTCTGTGCAACATGGTTCTTGCACGTTGACGAATGAGTAAGTAGTTTTTAGTCTCAGAATAAATCATCCGGCCTATTCTAAAGATTTTTTTAACCAATGTATAAGCACTTAGATTGAATCCGAAACAGTCGATTCTTCAGTAAACTATCACCGGGTCTGTGATTTCGAGCAGTATTATATTTTACAGAGGGGGTTCCACCGAGAGGAAAAACTGAGTGGTTCTGCGTTTTGAGTTATAGTATGTAGATGATTCGTTATAAGAAACTGTTCATTCACATTTCAACCGGAAAGCAAAAAAGAGGATCGATGAGCTTATCGCCTTCTAGTTTATCTCCTCCTTAAAATAACGAAACTTCGTCAGCGCACAAATGCATATGTGAAACCAGAACGAGTTATTTGGAGGACACGTTTAGGTATTTTAGAGCGCATTGTGTACCTTTCCATTTTCAATACTGCTATAATCTTCAGATTAATCATTTGTCACTCACGAAGGTCGAATTTTTTACCGTATTTATTCGAAATAACGCCCAACCTCAGTTAAGCACCCACCTTATCGGTTGGAAAAGTTGATGAGCGCCCAACCTCAATTCAGCACCCACTGCTCTCAAGGTGAGCGCTTAGGACGCTTAATCGAAGAAATGCAGTATTCCTTTGTGTGGCTAGTGTTTGTCGTCCTTCTATGGTGGGTAGTTTGGTGTTTTGTTACGGCTATGAGCGAGGAAGTATTGAGCAAAGTTGTCGACAACATCAATGTAAGAGAGATTTTTTTTTCTTCTCAGGAACCTCATTCCAGTGACTCAGTTGTATGTCAGTGTGGATGCCAGCACTAAAGAAAGCCTCAAGAAAATCGACCGACCCTTGTTCAGAGATTTCTGGCCTCGGTTTTTGGACAGCCTTAAGGCTCTGTCAGAAAAGGTTTGAAGAGGCTTTCATCTCCGTTTTTTGCTTTGTGTCATAATGTTGTGATTATATTAGTGGCGCTGTTCTAGTTGTCTTGTACATGAAAACCAACTCACCCGACCAGTTTGAATCGCACCTTGAGGAGATTGCTGTTTTAGCAATTTGTGTTTTGTTTTATGTGTCTCTGTTGCGTCAAACTCATTGGATAACCTTTGAAGTTATCGTGAATATTCGTAGCGTCCTCTGATTGGATGGTAGTATCGGAGCCTCTTCGGTTTCGTCAGTAAGTTTCGGAACTATCGAGCTCTTTTTTCATGTAAATGGAAATAATATATATATATATGTGAAAGTTACCATTTCTTATTGTGTTTTTAATTTCAGGGTCAGAGAACTGTGTACCGTCTCACACTGGTTAAATCCTGGAACAATGAAGAAATCAAAAACTATGCCGACTTGGTATCTATTGGCAAACCAGACTTCATTGAAGTTAAGGTACTGTTACGTTTCTTTGTTTCCTTACGAAACATCATTGTGCGCTGAAGAATTTACTTATAAAACAGATATAAACAATGCCTCCCAATGCTCTGTGTCGCCTAAAAGCTGGCTTTTGAACTGTCACACATTTTCTCTTTAGATGAGGTGTTGTTAGAATTTGGATCGTGAGATCTCGGGTTGAGCCTTGGCCGAGTCACCATGCTAAACAGTTTACTCCCATCATGCCTCTCTCTCTCTCTCTCTCTTTCTTTTTCTCCAAGTCGGAGTGTAAATTGATACCAACAGACTGTCACGGAAACCTGACTTAAATCTGGGGTAGACCGAAACATATCGCATCTCATCCAGGGGGAGTAACGATAAGTAAATATACCTCAGTCCCGGGAAAACGAATACGCTCCCTTACCAAAGTACGCTGGTGATCACTTCCTTTTTTCTCATGAACTTAATGTGTGATTCAGGAGTGATATTGTAAGGAGAAATTATATTTTAGTCACTCGGAGGGTTCAAATGGTTAACTGCTATGACAGCATCGTGGCTGTGTTCCTTTGTAGCTCACTTAGGAGTATTGAACCACTTGTCCTTGGGTGGTTTATATAGAATATTATATTTATTATGTGTTTCTCGTTTCTTCCTCAGGGTGTAACCTATTGTGGGGAATCTAAAGCATCCACCCTAACGATGCAGAATGTACCATGGCATGAAGAGGTAACGTTGTTAAAACTTTTAACTCTTCCTACTAATTCTGACTCATTTGATTAGGCTGGTTTTAATAATTTGGATTGTTGTCTATTGGATGTTAACTGTCTTTGTCCGCTTATCCTGTTACATTTACATTGATTTAGTTTCAGTGGAGAATTTGCTTGTCCTTCTTCATCGACTGAGTCATTTTTTACATTGTTCCAATGTGTTATCATTTTCTCCTCAGGTCATTGGGTTTGTTCAGAAGCTAACAGATTTACTACCTGACTATGAGATCGCCTGTGAACATGAACATTCCAACTGTCTTCTTATTTGCCACAAGAAGGTGAGAGTTGAAAATGGAACTTTTTTTTGACGTCTCCTCACAAACTGGTCGAACATATATCACAAACATATCCCCTAGTTTGTATCGAAAATGACAGATATGGCAGCAGCAGTACACACGCTGATGCGAGGCTTTAAAATCGAGAGAAAGATATGAAAAAGAACTTGGGTACTAGGATCATCGACGCACTTTTATTGGTGTTTTGCTGTCTTTTTTCTTACCTGACAAAAGGAAAAATTTTATGAACACTCATGGTGGGGCCTGTAGATTTCCTTATTGTTACTTCGGGTTTTATTTTTTATTTTTTGTACTCTTAGTTTAAGAAAGAAGATGGATGGTACACATGGATTGATTACCCCACTTTCCACCGTCTGGTAAGGGCTGAAATATTCTTCACCAATACTGTTTATTTTTCACAACCATCATCTTGTTTGATGAAGGTAATGCTTTGCTTAAAGTGAATATTACAGCCATGGTATAAGCCCATAATATACAACTATCGTTAGAACAAGTCGTAAAGCGTTCTTGGTGGCCATTACTTTTGTATCCCCAATGGGGGACCAATAATCATTTCTTCGGAGCGGATTATATGTACGCATGGCCATCATATCATCTTGCGTGACTTTTCACCCTGATTCTTCTCACTGTTTTTTTATACACTTGTTGTGGTACTGACAAGGAACGTTTGTTAAGCAAGGGCTTCTCTAGGGGGCGATCACGCGCGGATTTAGGGGAGGGGTGCAAGGGGTACGCACCCCTCCCCCCCATGACCTTTGGCTTTCTAATATGACTAGTATTCTGCGGAAAAAGAAAAAAAACTATGTGGTTTATTGGTGTTGAAGTAAAACAAGCAGCAATTCTCATTATGTGATTGCCCAGTCCTACGTCTTTTTCCTCGTTGTTCTCTTTAAAAGCTGGTTTATGTCATTCTTTAGTGGTTTGCCCCCTACTGAGAAAAATCCTGAATCCACCCCGCCATCATCGATTAAAGTGTAGCATCAATTTATTTCCTGGTGCATTGTTTGTGTAGATGCAGCGTTATGAAGAGAGTAACGGAACCGAAAACTTTACAGCACTGGACTACATGGCTAAGACACCTGAATGGGCCTTGATGGGCCATGAACAGAGAGGGTTCGATCCAGAGGAAACTCGGTGGCATCGCAAGAAGAAGAAGGACATTAGTGGCTGTTAAACATTTCCGATGGACGAATTTGTGTGTACTTACCTTTGCTGTTGGGTTAGTCCGCTCTATGCGGTTCGAAAGAGTGACGTATTTCAAGTATGAAGTGGAGGAGAGGTTTCGATTTCATTTTTGGAGTGCGTGACTTTTTGGGAACATGATGGCAACATTTTCGAGGAGCAAACTGGAGGATTACATTAATGTAGCTTGTAACTGAACATTTAAGCCCAAGAAAACCATTTGAAGATACGTTTTATCCTAAGTCTTCAGCACCTTTAGCTAGTTGGCAAACAGGGCCACACTTTAGCACCATTAGACTTGCGTTTTCCTGCACCTGGGAATATTTGAGACGTGTCGGGGAGAGGTTTTCTAGGGATCTGGCTCTAATTGCTTGTGTCAGACCCCAGACACCCTCATACCTTCCCGCGGGCGGAAGAAACGCTCGTGCCGGAGCGCTTATAATAAGGACCAGCTAGTAAGCTAACCTTTATCCTACTTTGAAAGCTGGCATATTTTAAAATGCCCCGTAGAAGCTTTAGTTACTGTTGTTACAAGAATCTGGCAGGAATGCCTGTTTACACGCAAGCTTCCTGTAATTTATATTATTAACTGTGTGTAATATTGATAGACGCAATCTGAGTATGAAATGCGCGTAAATTACGCAGAGAAAATAAAACGGAACCCGTCAAATTCGTGTACTGAGGTTATAGTGTGCGAACTAGGACAAAACGACTTTTATGACGGCTTGAAATTCCAGTCTGCAGTGCCGTAAGTGAAAGAAGCGTCTAAACAATGTTGAATTACGAATATCGTCAGTGATTGACGATAGGAATTTTTTTCCTTGGCGCGCATCAGTCTATCATAACTGCGTAAATGTGCTTCGAGCCAAACTTTGACGATATAGTATAACTCTCTCCTTTCGATCAATACTCTAAATATGTTGTAAAAATATTGAAAATGATAAATAAATGAAAACAAAACAGAACAAAACAATATAAAAAATAAACCCAAGACCAAATAGAAATGCTCAGTTCCTCATATTAATTGCTCTTCCTGAAAAAAAAAACCAAAACAAAACAAAACGAAAAAGCGATGAAATTAAGTTTACATAGTCGGCGTCTAGCCTCTCTAACTTTAAATCATGATTCATGTGCTTGACAGGCCGAAGACTGCAAACTCTGCATGTTAGCTTAAACGCAAGGAAAACACATGTAAATAGAGCGCATATGCCTGCATAACAAGAAAACTCGCTTTAAAAAATACATGTAAGCGATGCTTTGCTTTGCAATATTAATTGATTCCCCACGCAATCTTCTTCATTTTTCCTGATGTTTTCAAAGAAGAAATATCAAAATACGGGACCGACAGTTCTAGTTTACAGTTAATGAAGCGAGGGTTTCATTGCGTACACCATAAAATATCATTAGGCTGAAAGGATCCTCTCTCCATCGAACTCCTGGGTAGGCACAATGGGCCGCTTTTGGTAATTACGTCATGGAAGACTATTGGGTTTACATTACACGACATAAAATAGAGAGGCCATGTTGGTCAGTGTTCAATGAGTGTTGTGTTCGTTCGCCGTTGGCTTGTGGCTTTTTTCATAGCCATAGGAATTATTTGTATAGCTTTTATTTCCCTCAGGAAGGTAAGGCCTCTTAGTTGAGCTAGTCTTGACTTAAAACGTCTGGTTAAGAGGGAATTTTGATTTTAAAGATACTACGTTTACCTGGTGATGAATGCCTCAGTGGAGACTGTTTACATATGGCGAGCACTGTTATGCTGAAAATTTGTGACCCCTTTTTGTGTACTTGGAGGTTTCAATATTTTAGTGCTGATTGTGGAATAGGTGACAGTGACCCCAAAATGAAAAGAATTGTGGAAACTTGCGAAAGAAAATCTCAACAGATGACAATGAAAGGTTGCCAGTAACTGGCTTTTATTGAAAGCTGTTCGAACTCTGTTAAAAGATTGACCCTTTGTGATATCTCTCAGTTAGTAAGTGCACCATGATTGGTCAATTTAGTGGGCTATATTTCACTGTGCAGCCTGCTACAGGAATATGACTGGTCAATTGAGTGGGCTATTAAAAAATGTATTTCACTGTACAGTCTGCTAAATTCAAACATTTGTTTGAAATGAAATTCCCCCTCTCACTGCATTGAACCCAGAGATAAAATAAATATCTTACTAACCTTGTTTTCTTGGTCCACACTGTAAATTATAGAACCATGATTATAGAACCATAATTATAGATTGGATTTACGGCTTGTGGGTCTCGCAGTAGGGCAATAAACCAGAAAAAAAACTTTCATGGTAACTTACATTATGGACCCTGAACTCTGGTAGTGAGAGGTGTATATTTAATCAATTTAACCATGGCAATGCTAATATGTGCTCAATCTTTACCTGCACTCCAAGTAGCTAAATACTTGGAACAGAAAATAGCTTTTGCATGTTTTTTAACAATTGTGTAAAGAACTTGGTATGAAAATACCATTTGTTATGTTGGCTCCTTTTTCAGTCTTATCAAGAGTCATATATCCTTGAAGTTCCTACCACTGAGTTTCAGTGGATCAATATTGAGAACTTGACAGAGTTTAGAGATTGCAGAAATTCTATCCAAGGAGCTCTATTGATTGTTGATGAAAGAGGTAAGGAATCATTTTTTGTTTAAGTTAACAAATTGTTTTGAAAGGCAGTTGCACTGACTCTTATGAAGGAGCCTCAATTCAAGATCATCATAAACTTGCATTCAAAAGTTAAATATTAGAAGACCAAAAGTTACAGAGGTAAAGGCCAGTTAACCCTTTAACTTCCATAAGTGACCAAGACAGAATTTCTCTGTACAATGTCAATACAATATCAAGTACACAAGTGATGAGAACGTAGAAAAATATCAGTTAGGGGATTATAAATTGATCCAATGTCAAATTCTCCAAACTAACATCACAAGAACTGTATGACAGACAGTAGGGAGAATTACCAATTAGATCTTGGGAGTTAAAAGGATTAATGTTCATTTCCAAGGCCAATTCAGTGAGAAAAAGCATTCTTACAAGTGCAGTTTTTAATGTTGAATTATAACTGACCTGTTCATTGTAATAAGAAGGCTTGACAGCCTTTAAATTACAGTTGAAATTAACTTCAACAACTGTGTTTAGGAAGTAATCTGTTGAGTTCTCTTTTTCCAGGATTTGTCTGTAATCGTAAAGACCTGTCTGCTAGTGGGTGTTGTCACAGTGGAGGAGAGAGTACTAAACGTTACGAGTGCAGATATTGTCAGAACAATAACTGTTGCAGCATTTATGAACACTGTGTTTCCTGTTGTTTAAACCCTGACAATGTGAGTAAAGTGATAGCTTTCCTCCAACAGTTCATTTTTTAATTTAGTAAAGGTTTTGTATTGTAAAATGTAGTACTGTTGAAGAAGAAGGGCATAAAGTAATAGGGTGATATACATGTATGATATTATGATTCCACTTTGTAATAGAAAAAGGACACAGGTCATATATGAAATTTGATTGGAGAATTCTCTGAAGTTGCTGAAGAATGCTTCAATTCTCTATGATTGCCCTGAATTTTTCAAGAAATGCAAAAAGAAACAAAGAGAAACACCTTAACATTCCTTGTGTTTTTCTTGTCACTTCTTTATGCTATTGCCCTTACCTACATGCATTGCATCAGAGCAGAGTGCAGTTGAGTCCTCTTTATTTGTCACATGAATGACTCTTGATTACCCTGCAATAGTTACAGTAGCTTTTGAATGATAGACTTTGGAATTGTTTTTGTATTCCAAATTTATCTCTTTACACCCAAGACATGATTATTACTTCTTCCCTCTAGCTGCTACACATTTCCTTGTAAACATTAAAGTTACCAGAATTTGGTGTTAGATTAAGATAACAACTGATACCTGTTAATTTTGAATATTCTCGTCTCCTGTTTGCGGGAAAATGTGTGGATATTACAGGGAGATATCATTTGTCAATCAATTCTGACAGTTAAAAGGTGAAATAATTATGGACCGAAACATTTTCTTTGTAATTTAACATTTAGTTGTAATTGTGTATGTCTGACCTTTTCCAGAGGAGATTACTGGAACAAATTTTGATACTTGGATCATCAGTACCTAATGTGATTTCCAAGTCTGTTGGTGACCAGTTTGAGCTGTGCTTGGTCAAATGCCGCACTTCCTCTAAGGTGCTTGTTAATCAGATTTTATTAAAAGTCATCTTTGAGATTTAAAAGTTCAAAAGTTCAAAATACAAAAGAATCCTTTGTGTTTTAGACACAAAAACCTCAAGGTTAAAATACATGTATAGAAATGGCCTAAAGATCTCAGAATGTTCTTTCAAAAAAAATTTTTTATTTGTCTTTTTGCTTATTATCTAAAACCTTTTGACCCCTAAGAGAAATTAGTATCTCATTTCTCCTTACAATATTATCAGCAAGTCAAATATTAAGGTCACTGGAATGAAGGAAATGATCACCAACAAAGGAAGCTCTTGATTTTTACACAAATTCTTCTTGTGAACACATCATTTTTTTCAGAGATGCTTGTTGAAGGGTTACAAATTTATTACTGATTTTTTAATTTCATCATTTTTCAGAGTGTGTGGCATGAGAACTCATACAAAGACAAGACATTCAAATACTGTTTTGGCCTGACTGGACCAGAATTTGCTGGTGCTTTGTAGATATTTAGTTAACTTGAAATTAGCAAAGTCAGTACAGAAAAATATTCTTGTAAATGAAAAGATATCTATTTTTTTGAAATTGTATTTTATTTGTGCAGTATTTGAAAATGTTATCATCTCATAGGTTTGTCTTAAGGATATTAGGTTCTTAAAAATTTTTCTCAAATTATCTTGCATTTCATATACCCACATAGGTATGCAGTATTTTGAAGTTTACATATTAGATTCTCATCTAGTCAAGACTTTTATTGCATCTCTGTAATCTTTTTTTTTTTATATAAAACCTAAGAGACAGACTAGCTTGTAAATATTGATGAAAGATTCTATTCTTTTATTTATTTCAGAATAGTTACTGAATGATGTAGATATCAATATTGAGGTGTACACCTATAGAGATGTAATACAAAATTGCAACACTTCAGTTCTTTTCATTTTTGTTTAATTTATTTATAATAAATTACAGTATATCAGTTTATGGAATAAATACATTTTTATTTAGTTTATGTAAATTTGAACAAATAACTACAATTATAATCATTGTTGATATCGTTATAACCTTTTGCTGCTAATAAGTAGACAGTTTTAAGATCTATCAACTCTTTGGTCTAGAAGTAAGGCAGAAATTAAATCATTAAAAACTGAATCATCAAGTGATGAGCAGTGAAGTTCCCGGCCACTACCATTTAGTGTGGTTAAATTCCTGTCTACAAGAGACACTCCTACCAGGTTCTTCTTGGACTAAGGTATTATTACACTAATCAATACCAGTAATATTTATTGATTTGGAGTATACATAATCCCAAACAGAGGACTTGATTACTCTGTATAAATTCTGCATGATGGAGAATGGGTGTACAGTTGTAGTTTTAAATAATTTCAGGTTCAAACTGGTTGATAGGGGATGTTAATGAGCCTAATAGACATCTTTTATAATGAGTAGACAATCTTGCTCCCTGTGTTACAGTCTGGCCTTGTTTCCAAAAATTTCTAAATTGGGCTCATCTGCAACATTTTATCTCAAAAATTTTGAAAACGGCTCAGTGCAAGGCACCCTGCAAAGTGTTGTAAAGTGCATTAGAGCATTTGATCATGATCGTCATCATCAATATTTAATCCTTTGACCCCTAAGAGTGATTAGCATCTAATTTCTCCTCACAATATCACCCCTGACTCAAACATGAAGGTCATGAGAATATACCAAATGATCAGAAACTAAAGATCTTAAGCTCTTGATTGTTAAACAAATTCTCCTTGTCAGCACCTTAGGAAATGTATAGAGAACAGTATGGAGAATTGTGCATACTGATGTTAGGGCATAAAGCGTTAAGGATTGTTGATGATAATTGTAATATTCCCAGAACAAGAAGGAAACAAAATGTAAAATAATGTAGCTTCAAATGTTTTTAACCTGAAATTTATATTTACCTTTAACTCTCAAGATCTGACTGTTAATTCTCCCTTCCAGTTGCTATACATTTCCCTGTAAATTAGTAATAAGAATTTGGTGTTAGATCAAGATAATAACTTCTACCTGATATGTTTGAGTATTCTCAATACCCATTTGTTGGATAGTGTATGGATATATTAGGGAGAAGTTACATGTTAACCACCTCTGGCAGTTAAAGGGTTAAGATAGAATGGATATTTTGGAGTGATTATTTTAACACCCAAGACTCATCATTATTTCAAACAGTGAAAATGAATTCAAAACCTTTGAAATGAGAAAATGAGGACTGAAATGTGATTAATCCAAAGAGGAAAGTGGGATGGACATCATTGAAAAGTAAATTCTCACTATAGTAACAAGTTTTCACTTGCCAATTTTCTTTTCAGATAAGAGATGCAATCAATGCAAGGCTAGTCACCAAAGTGGAAGCATTTTGCAAAAATTCTCAAACTGAGAGGATTCAGTCTTTGTTGCATCTGCTGGGAAGACAGTTTGTAGAGACATACCTTGGCAGTTTAGCTCTTTATAACCAGGTGAATCCTTTAGATCAAATGAAAGTTATGAACAATAACATAGGCAGTTGCATATTTAAGAAGTGGTTCTTTGTCCAATGTTTTTAGGGAGAAAGATGAAAAGGATTCCTTGAATCAGAGAATTTGACTCTTTCAAATCATTTCTTTTGCAGACAGTTTTTTGCATTCTAAATCTAAACTGAAAGATATTTAAACTAAATAGGCCACCCAAGACAAGTGGGATCTCTCAGATTCTAACAAAGAGGAAGCAGAAGCATGGCTGAAAACAGCACTTCATGAGATCACAGGAAGTCTTGGGCTACAATGGAGAGAGAGCAGAGATGCTGTGTCTAGGGATATGTTAGAGTTTGTTGGGTTTGCTCAGCAAACAGTGCATAGAGGAATGGAGAGAGAATTGGCAGCAACAGAACAGAAGGTTGTTCATGATCAAGAAAAGGTAAGAGGTTTTTTCAAATTTAGAATAATTTATAGGGTCAATTGCAATTTGCAGCTCCTTTCCAGGTACCTGGTAATACTGATTAGATCAGTGGAGGAGAGAAAAAAGGGTGCTTGGAGTGACCCAGAGTACCTTTTAAACTTTTAAAATTATTTTTTGCTTTAATTTCTGCCGTTCTCAAGCTGTATGGTTTATTATCTATACACTGTGTAGCATACACAAGGAGATTGCAGGGATTTCAAAACAAGCCAATGACTGGTGTTGTTCCACTGGCTATTTGATAACATGTCACTGGTTACTCTGGTCAAAATAATTACCTCTTGGCCCTTCATGAAATTTTCATGGTCACTTACTTTTGCCGAGTCTGACACCTACTTCAAAACATTTTGAAAGCCTTGGAGTGATTTTAGTAATTCTTTTATTTGGTACTGTTTAAAACCAACTGAAAGTACATAACTGTACACTGTATTTTAAGAGTCAATGTACTTGATTTTACTGTATGTACAACTTAATTGATTGAAGAATAATAATGTACAGCTTGTTTTTCTTCACAGGGTTTATCAAACAATCAACAGCCAAGTCTCCTTGGATGCAGCCACCAAAGTGAAACTCTTGGCAAAGCTGTGGCTGCCCTCCTCAAAAAACACCCCTCTCAGCTGGGCCGCATCTGTGAACAACTCCAAGGACGACCGTTGACTAATTCCCTGAGACACCTGATTTGGTCTACGAACCTACAGAGGAATAATCTAGACAGTGTACACTCCCACGAGGACTTAGATACTGAAATGGAAGAAATCAGATCTCAGTTTGAAGTGACTCTTTCTTGGGGTTTAAAAGAACTGGGTGTGTCAAGCGCAGTTCACTCCCCCATAGCAGGGGTGGTAGAAAATGCTGTCTCTGAGGCATACAAATACAGACATGGTTTTCACAGTGAATTGGTCACTGAGATGCAAATAAAGCTAGCGGTGGAAGCCTTGAATGTGCTGTATGTCTACAATAGGAGTTATGAACCTCAGTATGCCTTGCTTGTGTATCCACTGATTGTTAGTGCTCTGAATGAATACAAAGATGCAGGTGTGATGGATGGTTTGTTGTATAGTTAAATTTGTTCTTCTGAATCAAAGTAAAATACAATTTAATAATGTTATCCACCATAGCCTTAGCAATTTCATCAAGTTAGTGGTTATCATCTCAAAGTAGGCTCACATGGAATGTTGGAACTTCTTTGGTTTAAGAGGCTAAATAGAATTGAGCACATGCACATGTACATGTGGGTTAGAGTCAAATAAGCTCAGCAGCTACTTTTTGACAACCATGTCTGGTTGGTTCCCAGGTTTGCAGGGTTTTAGCAGGGCATCCACATTGTGGATTCAAGTATTACTGTCATCGGTATTCAGTCATTTTGTACCAAGGGTTGATTTTCTTATTTTAATGGCATTTTTAATGGCATATTTCACCTTTTTTTTTCAGGAAATTCATCTCAAGATGTGGCTCACAAGCTTGCAATATCCCTGCACCTTTTGCTCAAAAATTGTTTCCCAACAAGGCTGAAAATCTTCAGCATGGCTGATCATGTCATGCAAAGACTGCAACGTGAAGATGAGGAGCTGTACAATCACCTAACTAGTGAAACACTAAAGAATCTGTCTTCTAACCCAAGAGAATTCCTGGTGAATTTTATTCACACAGAGAAAGAGAAGGCCATGTTGGCCGAAAGACAGGCAGTGGGAAGTTCATTTGAATCATTGCCATCTGATGCTAAGGAGCTGCTGTCCCACCCTGTTATGTTTATAAGAAAATGGATAGCGGAGGTATGTAAGGAATGTCTCGTCTTAACCCTTTGCACCTGGACATCAGTGTACATGTTCTCCATACTGTTTTCTATACATTACCTAAGTTGCTGATAAGGAGAATTGCTTTAACAATCAAGAGCTTCTTTTGTTGGTGATCATTTTTTTTATTCTCATGACCTTAATGTTTGATTCAGGGGTGATACTGTCAGGACAAATTAAATGCTTGTCACTCTTAGGGATCAAAGGGTTATAATATTGATGTACAAGGTTCAAAATGAACAGCATTATAGCACATTGATGCAATATGCATCAAAGATTTTGAAACTTGCTGAAAACTTTTTGAATTTGAATTTTGTGCAGTGTTTATGGTTTTCAAAGCAGGAGAGTATTGTGACAATACTCCTATGTAAATTAAAAATTGCTCAAGCCATCAAAAGGTAGCTGGAGAATACTGTTTAGTAGACATATATTTCTCTGATCTCTGCCGCCTTGAGAACACCTTTTTGATCATTTCTGTAGGGCTTTGTGGGCATTCTAGGAGTCCATGCCGTCATGCTTGTGTGGGATCAGTGCTTCCTGAGTAACTGGAAGCATAATGTGATGGAGAACACATGTCTTGTCATTCTCCAGCTCTTGAGAGTACACATTTTAGAAGCTGAGGGCTACATTGGCATCAGAAAGAGTTTGTTGGATCAACCATCTGAGTTGTTTACTGTAGATGTTCAGAAAGGACTGTCATACCTACACAATGGAGGAGCATTAATTGATGTTGGATCACTCAGACAGTGCGTATGGCTGAGTCATAGCTTTTCCTTTAGGAGTTTGGTTGCTAGGGGACTCAATTACCTGAGTTATAATCAGTGCTTTCACCAAGAGTGCTAGTCAAAGATATCTAGTTGGTGGAGCTTTTTTGATCAGAAAGCTCCAAATTAAGGGAAGAAAACCAGGCTCCAAGCTAAGTTTTCAACTTATTTATTATCCCTATATAATATGAAATGGATAATTGGGATTTAGCAATGGACATCCCAAAAGGTGGCTCTTTTTGTTTGTTGTTTCCAGATTGAATTGGAATTTGAAGTGTTGGTTTTAGGGGAGGGTAGAAAACCAGAGGACCTGGAGAGTGCAAGGATTAGAACCAACAACAAACTTAGCCCATGTGTGACACCAGGTCCAGGAATCAAACCAGAGGTACAGTGGTGGAAGGCAAGCATTCTCACCACTGTGCCATCCTTATATGTGATGTTATATCCCTGAATGAAGATAAGTGATAGAGTGGGAACAAATTAGCCATTCCTTAAACCTTATTTACTTATTTTTGTGAACAGTGTCGAGGGCTTAAAGCTAATTTGGAAAGACATTTATTTAATTAAATCAACCCTTGTATAGAGAACCCCTGAGACCCACTACTTGTATAAAATGGCAGTTTGGGTTAGACCTCGTATAAGTAACTGGCCCTGTATGTTTTTAAAAATGTCTCCTTGTGATGTTTCTGTATTCATAGGCCCACACCTGTCCCGTCACCCTCAGAGCTTGGTGAAACTGTACCCAGCCCAGTGCCATCTGCATCTGAATCTAGTCATTCATCACTAACCAGACCAATCAGTAGACGTTCTACACCCAGGACACCTTTCCAAGCTGATCCTGTGGAATTATGGGTTGAGGCCAACGCGACATCATCACCCATGGAAGAGACTACTAACTATGATTCATTTGATGTGTATATTGATGAAGTGAGGTTTTTACCTGACAATGCTACTATCATAAAGGTGATTGATCTGAGAGAACTCCACCATTACAATAATCTGTTTGATACAGCTTAGAGTACTAGTACTTGGGAGGTAGTAAGTTAAATTGATTCCCCCTAGTATGTTTAAAACTTTGTTCTGGTGACAAATTGCATGAATTCATTGTGTGAAAATTCATGAATTTGCTTGTTAAAATTTACAGAAGTGAATCTGCAGACCTGGTCAAAAGCTTTTGGGACACTTGTACTTTTATGTCCAAATGAAATATGTGACTTATCCATTGTAAAAATTATCCAAGTGAGTGTATATCAAGCTCTGCCCTGCTTCACTCCACCTCCAGTATTGTTGAAAACAACTGCAGCTTTTCTGAATTTTTTTAGGATTCCTACCAACATTGCAGTAGAAGAAAGTGGGGGCGGGGGCACCATTGGCAACTAGTTTTTCAAATGTTCATCATGAACTGTTTTGCTGTTAATGTCCCAAGTAAGGGTTTGTAGGGATTGTTGCCCAAAGAAATGGTTTTTTTGCAGTTTTGATCTTTTACTTTTTGCTGATGTAGGTTACTGGTAGTATTTTAGGACCTTTTTGGAAGACACCTGAGACTTTGGAGATCTCACCCGTTGAGGCATTTCCAGTGCTAGATTCATCAGCAAGATGTCCTAAATTTCATTACAAGTACACTGTAAATGCCCCTGCAAGTGGCATTCCAGAAGAAGTTATGTTGCTGCTGAGAATCTACACACTAGATGTTAACAGTGGAGATTTGATTGTCATTGGAAACAGCATAATCAGGATTTTCACTGAAAAAGACAATGAGGTACTAACAAAAGGAATCAAGACATAAATAGACAAGGGTTGCAGATTGAGAAGAAATACAAAGAAAAAACTCTTATATGCTCCAACTTTAATCTCAGTATTTAAGAACAAGAGAATTTCCATAGAGGTGGATGGGGGGGGGGAGGTTTTGGCACAAATGACTTTTTTAGGGGGGTATACAGATATTTTCTCAAACAACTCACCTGTCTTCTCAGGTTACCAGAAGCAGGATGTTCTTTTTCTCTTACCCCTTTCCCCTTCCCCCCTCCCCCTTATTACACATAACAAGGATGTATGAGGTAATTCCACATGCGCTCTTTTTAATTTTAAAGAGAAACATTTTTTTTTTCAGTGGCATCTTAATGTTGGAGGACATCAGCTCCCCTTGAAACATATTCTTCCATCCACTGTGGCCAGACTTACGGAGGAGTCTTTTGATGGCATAACAAAGGTTCCTGTCTGTTCAGTTCTCATCAGGCTCTTGCCTCATTCAGAGGTTTGTTATATACATATATATAAACATGTTTACCATGTTGTCAATATTTTTTCTGTTGAAAAGTTCTGATCACTGCCATCAAGAAGACCATGAGCTATAACATGATATGTACACAAAGAAAACCATTTACGAGAGCTACATGATGTATATTAATTGGCATCATGTAAAAATGTTTCATTGTATTCTATATTTCAGGTGTTCATTGAGGCCCCTGGTTATGCAAGTGGATTCTATGTCAGTGATCGTTGTAAACCCAATGAATCAGAGAGGTGTATATTCAGAAGGTTCCAAGGCTATCATTCTTATCCTCCAACAGTAAGGGAGGCTGTGCGTGACATCAAAGAAGAGGAAGCAAATCAAGATACAGAAGGTTTATCTTTGTGTGTTATAAATGTGACATTTTTCTTCCTGAGCAAATGAGATCTAATGTATTTAGATCTTGTAGTGGGAGAAGAACTGTGTTAAGTAATAAATTGTAAATTATGCCAAGCTGATTTTTTTTGACGAATTTCACTAAAAAGCATCAAATCCATGAACATTCACTCATCTACATGTTTGAAAAAATTTTGTCAAATCTGCCATTTACGTTACTGTGGGAAAATGTTTACCACACCTGAATAAAAAATCACTAAGGTCTTTGAAATGTTTGTCAACATTTGTCTGTGTGGTATCCAGTGAATTGTTCAATCACTAATGCCTGTTGAACACCCTAAATAAGGTGTTTGAAATCATCTCTTTTTTCAGAGTTTGACCTCGCAAATGATCAAGTTGTCACTCAGTGGTATCAACGAAGGACAAGCAAACACATTTTGATGAGGGAGCCACCCAAGGCAATGGATCTGATCAAAGTTGTGCAATATGACCAGAAACAGGTAAGTTGGTTCAGTTTGCAGATGGATAAAGGGGGTAATTTTATAAAGAGACTGTGGTGCTGCACTGGTGGGAGAGTATAACAGGGTTCTTAAGTATTATCAACTGAGTTGATGACGTAAATTGGCCATTGTAAAGAGTTTTAAGGCTAATGTTCCAAGTGTTAGCCCTTTGTTAGAGCAATTGGAGGAAATGTGGGTTGTGTGTGTGTTTATATGCCGACCATATGTAGTTACGCTATTGGTGGGAATGTAGATGATTCTCAAAATCTGAGAATTATAGTGATCATGTCTATTTAACAAATAGATTCCAAGTTGCTGTGTGTCTGTTCAGTAATAGATCACAGATGATGTCAAAATGTGGTCAGAACAAAAAAGTGGCACACAAGGCGTAGCTGAGTGTGTCACTGATGTTCTTGCCACATTTTGACGTCCTCTGTTATTTATTACTGAACAGACACACAGCAACTTGGAATCTATTTGTTTTATATAATAAAGAATTAAAAAAAGTTTTAATGATGACATCATCTATGCGTCTGTCCAATAGATCATCAGTGAGAACCAATCAGAATGTGTGCATAACTGAGCTTATTATATAAAGTGCTATAGACATAATCAGACAGTCACATTTGTAGGTTGCTAGAACTCTCTAAACAATTTGTGGCTTTTTTAATTTTCAGGGTCTATCCATAATGATTGAACAGGCATTTGGCCTTCCAAACACACACTTTGTAAACGCCCTGCTACATGTGTCTCCTGGACATGATGTGCAAGATAAACAAGCAACAGAGGAAGGCCTTGGTGGAGAAGAGAAGGCATTGGTAAAACAACGGGACTTTAACAGCTTCCAGAAATCACCCAAATGGATAGACCCATTTATGGTAAGTATCAAATACTTGTGGCCTTTTATGCTGTGATGACCTCTCAATACAGTTATTAGTCTGCAAGAGTATACCAACATTCTTTTGCAAGACCCTGTGTTGTGAGATCCAATCCCTTAACCCTTTCACATGATTATTCAGATTAATAAACATTACATCTTGTTTCTATACCCTCTGTTAACTATATGTTGTGAGGAGAGAAAGACAACTAATAGAAAGACAACTACTAACTAGTTCTAGTTCCAGCTAGTTCCTGCTCAGTAGTGTTCATAGCTGCGAGGATCGCTTATATCTCATTTCTTCACCGCAGTGCACATATATAATTTTCATATGTTTCCAGTAATTATTTACCACTTGGAAGGTTTATTTGGATCCAACATTATGACCAGCTCCCAGTTGGCTTGTTAGCTCAGTTGGTAGAGCGCTGCACTGGTATCACAGAGGTCATGGGTTCAAATCCTGTACAGGCCTGAATTTTTTTCAGTTCAGTAGTGTTCATAGCTGTGAGGATCACTTATATCTCAGAACCATTTCAGTTACTAACTGAGCAACTTAACTTTCCCTTCAAGAGTAATCCCATAAGAGTGATTGAGTCGCTCGGCTCAAGTTGAGACTTTTTTCACTCACTGGTAAATCTGTCCTCTAAGCCTCATTTTTAATGAACATGAGTTAATATATGTAGTCATATAAAAGATTACTGTAGGAGAATTGTTATTTACAGTGTAGTAATTTATGGTCAATTGATAGCATGTGATCTATTTGTCTCGTCTTCCACAGGTGTTTCACCCTCACTGGGATGAAATGACAGTTTTGATAGTAAGGCTGTACTCACTTGATGCATCATACACCCCTCGTGCTGATGGAGCTGGACCAGGCTCTGTTGCTGATCGAAAAGGAAAGACTTTGACTCTGGTCCCAGCTGGATGGACTGTACTTCAGCTCTTTTCAAAGTACGGCTAGTGAATATAGGCCCAAGATGCATACATGTATGGGGTTTCAAAACAAGCTCGCAACTGCCAGCGACTGCCAGGAACTGCCAGAGTTCTATGGGCCACTTGATAACATGTTGCCAGTTACTTTGGTCAAAATTTATTACTTTTTGGCCCTTAACAAACTTTTCAAAAACATCGACTTTTGCAGAGTCTGACGCCTACTTCAAAACATTTTGAAACCCCTGCATGTACATGTGCAGTTGATATGTAAACATACAACTGTACTGTTGTTATGTTATGTGTTAACAATTTGAAAAATTATGGATTTGTAAGGATTGGTTCAGTTTTTTACTTTTTAGATTCCAGATACATATTACCTTAGGAAAAACTAAGAAATTTAATGTATATAGCCTAATTATCATCACTGTTCACATGAAATTAACCCTTGCACTCACAATTTCACCCAACGAAATCATGTCATTGTGTTGAGGAAATTAAATGTGATTGAAAAAATTGAATTCATCCATGAGGCAATGTTATTTGACTCAACACCAAATTGTCAGGGCTAAGATGATAATTAGAATGAATGGCCATCATTGCGAAAAACTGATATCGAGGTCCTGAGTGTGAAGGCATAAATTAAACTGTACTTGATGATACTATTACTGACACTTTTTTCCAAGAACTGATTGAATTGTTTGTCTTCAATTCACAGGGAGTATGTGAATGCTGGAGTGTACTATTTACCCCTCTTTGAAGGGACTCCAAGTGCAGTAAGTCATCTCCTATATCTTTAATTGCTTAAAGGATTAGAGACAGTTGCTATAGATCACAATCCAGCACTTAGAAGTTTATAATTTTGGCATTGCCCTGGAAGTGATTTGAATACAGTATGTGTTACTATTGGAATTAAGGGTCACTATCTGTCTTTCCAACAACATGTATATACTTGATCAGTGTTAAGAATAACATGACAACTTGGAAAGTAATTGTTGATGTCATGGTACCTTTTTTCTCTCAGACTTTTCTAGAATTTGTATCCAATCATTCAGTGGAGACAAGTTTGCAGGAAGCAATCAAGCAAAATATACACAATTTGTTGGTAGGACACAAAATTTTCTTTTTGTCTCAGCCAACATTGTTAAGTCTAAATTAATAATAATAATAATAATAATAATAATAATAAAATTAATAATAGTACCGGTATATACATTTAATTGGAGAGAGGTGTGGATGATATAAAGGGGAGATATTTGATGTATTACCAATTTATTAACATTGTGAAGAAGATTAAAACAGTGCTGTTTGTTTAGTAGAAGTACTTGATGAAATATTGTAACTTAGTCAATGCTTGTGTTTTGTGTCAGTGGTGCTATCTAGTTTTCATGGCAACAAGAGATAAGTGACTTAGTTCTAGTGGTCGCTGGATAGGGACGTGACAGTGCAAGCTGCAGTGCAAGTCACCAGACAAAAACAGGGATGCTTGGATAATGAGTTTTTTATGCAGACTTTAAGTGATGATGATAACATCGACTATGATGGTATTTAATATTGAAAATCCTTATAAAGAGACCTTTATCTCAGCAAGGCACCTCTTGTGTTGATGATAATAACTTTGACTATGATGATATTTAAGATTGAAAACCCTAATAAAGATACCTTTACCTCAATAGGGTACCTCCTGCGTGGCTGTTCGACTTTGGGATGCACATTACTCCCCAGATGAATGCATTCCTTTACCAGTAAGCAATAACCATAAATCACATGACATGTACACAAACAAGAAAATTTTATTTTATCAACTGAGTTCATAATATAAATTGGCCACTATGAAGAGTTTTTTAATTGATGTTTTGAGTGTTAGCCCTTTTTCAGAGCTCTGATAAAGGGCAAACTCTTGAAATGTCAGCTTACAAACTCTCTACATTGGTCAATTTACATTATCAACACAATTGATTAAACCAAATTATCTTGTTTACTCCCCCATCAAGGCAGTACTGCAATTTCTTTTGAAACTTACCCCCTTTATTCATTAGTACACTAACAGTCTGCCTCTGAAGCCTTTTTTAATGCAATATACAAAACTTGAATATTTCAGTTACATTTGTTTGTGCATAGTGTATTACTGACTCATATTGTATTTAGCATCAGTTATGAAACTATTTTTTAATCTGAACTTCAATTGTTGCCCCTTTTTCCTTCCTCTTTTTCGTTACTGAGGTCCAGCAGTTCTCTACAAACATCCCTTCTGTTTGTGAAAATGAATTTACTAGCAGTGCTAAGCAACCCTTTTGCAAACTTTGATGCATTGTACAAGATTCAATGTTACAGTTCTTTTGGTATACTTATGGCCTACAGGTTAAGGAAGAACTTTTATCTCTTGGAAGACGAGACAGATACTGGAGAACAATTCAGACAAGTTCAGGGAAGTTAATATCTGATATGGTATTACAGACTCTCACCCGGCAGGAACGGAAACAAGGTGTGGCAGGGAGTCGGTACATTGCTGAGAAGGAAAACTATGAAGAGGCTATGAACAGTGCATTCAATAACCTTTTGGTAAGGAAGCCTGACTGTGTTCATGAGGTCATTTCTACATTCATTTGGTATCTACTTATGGAGGCTACATGTGAGGATCTGGCAATGTGTAGGGATTTAAATGGGGTACTAACAATAAAATCCTAGACCTGTGAGGTGTAGAGGCCCTTGTTTCTGAGGCTGTGACTTTTTAGTAGAGAATTTCCCATTTTTACCTTTGTTTTACTTAATTGCAATTACTTGAAAACCACATTTAGGTACTCTTTTCTGTACTCCTTCTATCAATATATCAGTTTTTAAATTGAAATATTTCAAAGAACAGCAATCATACCCAGAATGCTTACTCTGAGGTACTCTTGGAGTACCCTAGAGCTGCCTTCTGACAGAGACCAGGGACCAAAAGTAAAAATCCCAGACTTTGAAAACCTTTAACCCTTTAACTCACAGAAGTGATCAACATGAAACTTCTCCTTATAATACCATACATTATTCAGCAAAAAAGTAATGAGAATATTCAAACTTATCATGTAGAAGCTGCTATCTTGATCTAGCACCAAGTTCTCATAACTAATTTACTAGGAATGTTAAGCAGCTGAAGGGGAGAATTAACAATCAGATCTTGGGAGTTAAAGGGTTAAAGAAATACCAGACTTCAAGACCAGAAAAAGTCCCTACAGAACTTGACAGTACCATCCACCTTCCTTTTTCCATTAATGGTTTAGGCTCTTGAGTAGATTACGTGAAACGCTCTTTTGGCTGATAGCAAGTATTAAGGGAGGCTTGGTCAATGCATGCCAATATTTAACATTTAAACTCTAAGAGGGATTAACATGCAGCTTCTCAGGTAGATGTAGTTATCTTGATCTAACACCACATTCTCTTTACTAATTTACAAGGAAATGTGTTGCAGCTTAACTGGGAGTAGTTAATTAGTTTTAATCAAGTTTTATTCCAGCTTTAATTCCAGACCATTCTGTAATGTTTTTGTTAAATTATAGGTTGATGTTCTTCTGCAGAGTGGCCTGGGGCCATTGACATGATGGTGAAAGGGGGTCTGAGTTTTTCAGTGATGATAATTAAAGTTGGTTTGACATAATGGAGAGAATGTAGTCCATCTTGCAGTTCTAGATTTTTTCTTCATTATTTATTTTTTGAACTCTGTACAAAGCACTGGTATACTAAATGAGAATTGTTTTTGTACATAAGACTACCTGAAGATAGATAAGCAAAAAATTGTACAGACTTGGTGATAACTTTTATTTTTTTAATTTAATACTAAGCAATAAAATTGCTGGTGAATCCAGAGTCATTGAGTGAGTTTCTTCAATTGTCAAGCTCTCAGAAGCTTTTTTTTTTCACTCTGGCAAAGATCCCCTGAACTCTGCTCCACAAAAATGCAGTGTGTCTAAATTTCTTCTTCCCAATCAACTTCAGTTTTCATGAAGTGTTTGGTTCTTTCATACAAAGGAGAAGAAATTTGTCTCTTGATGAGACTGATTTAAATGTTGAGCTCAAAGTCGTTTATTTGAAGTCCATCAGGTAAAGTTTGTGATTTTGGAATTGTGTTGTATCTTTTTGTCTATGTGTTGTATTACAGGTGATCTTTTAAAATTCATTTGTCCCCAAGACCAAGGTTTGCTTGGAAAAATGCACCATCACCTTGAGTCGCAGTCTGAAATCACACAACAAAAACAAGAGCAGATTTTAATGTGGAGCATATCTTGGTTATTTATTAGCTAACAATTACCTGTTTACCCTGAGCCCATAAGATTTTCAAAGACAATTTACCTTGTTTATTGCTTTATGTCTCTCTCTACTGACAATCTCTTCTAAAACCTCACCAGTCCCTTTGATTAGCCTGTGCAAAAGGAAAAAAAAAACTTTTTTGCAGTGTTTTATCATGCAATAAAAGTTACCATTCATGAGATAATTACCTTTGTCACACATGCAGCAAAACAATTCTAAACAAAATTGGCATATCTTGATTTAAAGACAGCGCTCCACAGAGGCAAATGGTGTCATTTGATTGGGAGAAATTTCCCTGTGAATGATTCATATAGAACGGTAGTTATAGATGAGCAAAGTCTCTCATATGTCTTGTCTGTCTGTCTCTCTGTCTGTCATTCTGTCTGCCTTTCAGTCTGTCAGTCTATCTGTCAGTCAGTCTGGCTGTCTGTCAGTCTGTCTGTCTGGCTGCCAATCTGCCTCAACATAAATTTGTTTTCAACAACACTGCAAGTAACAGATGTGTAAACCTATTACAGTAGATTCCATTTTGGGAAGTCAGCTGTTTTGCAGTCTTTATATTAAACACTAAACTAATATTTTGAAATTATCTGTAGAATATCTTTACCTGTGACGACCTGTTTCTGGGTCATAAACCCTCCTAACTTGGGCCTGTTGTTTTTCATACTCCTCTTTTGTCATAGGGACCATGGATCTTTCAGAAAAATCAAATAGAAGATAAAATGAGTTTTTATTGCCAAAAAAAAAAATCCTTACTCCTTACATAATAAATTAATTGTGAATGTAAAGCTCTCTAAATCTTACAGACTACCAAGTTTAAAAAAATGACACCAATTTATGACCACAAATGTCTACAACAGTAACAACAGTGAACTTAAAATTCAGTTAGTATGTGCTCTAATGGATTTTGTTAGTTTGTGCAGTTTGCAATCAGGGTTATCTAGGAAGTTTTTTTTAGCAAAAGAAAAGAAGACATTATTGCTGCTAAGGTACATTTGGAAATAAAAATCACCTGAACACTTGTTCTATAAATTCCTTAGTTCTCATCTAAATTTAAGAAGACCCTTCTTTCCTCACAAATAATGCTCAACTACTGAGTTAGTGAGAGAAAACTATAAATATTTTTCTGGGTATGGGAAGGTGAGGGCCAAAACCACTACAATCAGGTGGATTAAAAAAAAATGACCCTATCAACACTTTTTCCAGTGATTGCAATAGCCACCAACCTCTTCTTTGGTGCTGTCACTGCCCTAGGGTTATTTGATGGTGGACTTGAGGATTTTTCACCTGCTTTGTGTCAACAGAAATCAGAAAAAAAACATCAACAAACAAATTGGTTGTATGCTTAATAACTTCTAATTAGTTTAAATTTGAATCATGAAAAACAATTTTTGCCTGTATAACCTTGAATTTTTTTTTATAACTGTCTCTTGGTATTCAAGAACTCGTCACTTGAATTTGTATTTTCACGTTTATGTTGGGTCCAAATGTTTCACTTCATGTCCACAATACCTCGTGTTCCATCGGTGTTTGCCAGGGTTGTATCTTTTTCGACTCTTCTGACATCAGTCTTTTCCTTCTCTGATTCCTTTCTTCTTTTTCTCCTCTTCTCTTTCTTTTCACGTTTCTTTTTTCTTTTCTCCTCCTTTCTTCTTTGTTTGTTCTTTCGATCTGTTTCTTTCCCTTTCTTTCTCTTCCTTTTGTGATCACTGCTATCAGAGATGTCACTTCCACTTGTCGATCCACTGTCACTCTTATTCGGTTGTTCATGCTTTGATTTCTTTTTCTCTCTTTTTTCTCATTTAGTTGTGTTTTTGAACTTTTTCTGGCAATTTTTCGAGACTTTGGTTCACCTTCTGAACTCGTGCTATTAGACTCGCTGTCATGTCTTCGTTTTCTATTTTTCTTCTCGTTCATGTCCCTCTTTACATTGGAAATTTTACAATCACTTCTTAAGAATTTAATATATCGATTATTGCAGAAAAAAGGAAATCGGTCGAAAATTTCCAGCAAAATTATCAGAAACAGGTTCCCTGAAGACAAGGCTACCAAGGAACGCCATCTTGCTGTCAACGTAAGGAGAGGGGCTGGGGGCTAGTACTTAGTCTTTCACGTATCTGCTTCTATTGAAGGATGATGCTGGATGGGGAAGAAACACGAAGAAAATTGTAGAAAAACGAATTAAAAAACGAATTAAACTTTTACTGATCTGAGGGATATCCGAGGTCATAGCAGATCATCGGAAAATAGAAGGCTCAAAATTCAAACCTATCTCAAAGATGACCGTGAAACTGATAGCTTTAGTATCAAATATGCTTTCAAGAGGTTTTCAAATGTAGACAAGAGTTGAAACAGAAAATGAGAATGAACCTAACAATGTAAATAATTTAAGATTTCTTTATTATTTGAGAATAGGAATGTTTTCTTTTAAAATACTACTTGGTCCTATCTCGTTATATTTTCGAGTTTGTATGTACATGGTTGAAGGGTTTGCCCTTCGATTCGTTTTCGAATGATCAGTAAACTTGGTGAAGAAATTTCTGCTCCTATCAGTTTCTAGTTTCCATTCAGTTGGTCACGATTATAAAGCAGAAGTTGATAAACGTAGCCCGGCATATTGTTACGAAACATAACAACTTAAATTCACCCCCCAAGCATTACTGATACTGTAGGTGTAGTTGTTAGTTCTTTGAAATTGATTCACTGTACATTTTTCAGAGACCATTTTGCGCAATTTGGGAGGCGTAGACGTGTGTCTTGTCCCCACAATATTTTTCAATTAATTTGCAGAAGTATACTTTTTGTTCAGTGCTTGTCGATGTCAGTCCATCTCACACAAACATCTTTTATAGCTGGTCTAGTCTACATTGGCATTGGAAAATGATGACCAGCGGTGTTTCCCATCGACTTCCTTCGCATCAAGTAACTCTTTTCCCAAGGCAATACGTTTCACATGTTTGAAGCCAACTTTTTCCATACCAGTCCCTTACGGTTCTCGTCGATCAAATTGTCCGCTCTTCTTCATTTTCCGTCATCGGCGTCACCTGTACCTGTTGTACAGTCACTTGGCGCCCTTTTCGTTTCGAACAAGGAAAACCGTATTGCCTTACGAAAAGAAAAAAATCCACAATGAACAGGATCGACGATATGAATCCAAACATCTGAAAAGAGAAAATGGCCATCAGCTCACACCTGATAGAAATTTCGAGCTCATTTTCATTTGCATTTTGTGGCTTTTAGGTGCGGTAGAAAATGATATTTGTTCCACAAGAGAGCTTTTTGGTGCGAGATATTTGCTGTTATGATTAAAAGAAAGACAGCTCGATATTGTAACGTACCGAGGCGATGTTAATCTTGCTGCATGTGACACATTTTGGCTGGAGTGGCTTTTCATGAAATGAGTCGCCCAATTTAATAGCCTCGTTTGCAAGAAAGCTAGACAACACCAACAACAGGACAGCGGTTACTGATGTAAACATGACAATCTGTGTATATGAGAAAAAGAGAAGTATCAGTTTCTGGTGACGTTTGTAAAGCATGGAGGCAATAAACCCCTACTTACAAAGGCATTCCAGAATTTCAAATTTTTCTTCTGAAAATCGAAGACTTTTACGAGGAAGATGATCAGTGTCACAAAATACGCCACTCCTGAAGTCGTGAAAAACAAAGTGTCAGCAACTGTTTTCATGGAAACTAACGTGACGTAATGCTGCAATGCGCCAAAGCTAGTTGCCAGGCCGACCTGTCAAAGGAATAGTCAAAACATGAATAGGAAATTTTTAAATCAAAACAATAATGTTCTTGCAAAGAGCAAAGTTGAATGCAATGTGTGATGGGCTTTTGCCTATGATTTATCAGATTTAGGACGCACTGGTGACGTTAAACAAAGATACAACCTCGTCCCCGGGGTCCTTTCCTCTTCTTCTCTTTCTTATGGAGGGAAGAAGAGAAGAACCCTGGGAACGAGGATGACAAAGTTATGTCATCCTTTGAATCCAACATGGCCCCCAGTTGTGAAAACGTGTGCAAAATTTTCCAAATTTGGGAAGTAAAAGTTTAGACATAGAAATGGCCAACAGCTATTTATGAGCAAGAAGAAAATACTAGGGACAATGCTCTGAATTTTACCCGGATTGATCAGTAGGTTCTTCCACAGGAAATGAAATTTAAACTGGAGTTAGGCTACGCTTAGTAAATGCGCTGAAAAAAATTTCATACGTACCATTTCTGCTATATGTATAATTCCTGAGTATGATCTTAAAAATTCCCTGTTGATGCTTTGCCTGAAAATCCAGTTGTGCTTTTGCAGTGAGAGAGATGGCGATTTCCCTTCCATACCTTTTGACAATGATGAGACAGTTATCGACTATTCTCCTCAAAAATTAAACCTAACTGAGTTTCCCTGAAATATTTAAAGGATAGGGAGAGACTTCCGTGTTATTTCACATATTTTAAACTCTTTTTAGGGCCGTTTTTCTTAATGACTTTCCCATTCAATTTTTGATGATGAGTCAGAAATAATAATTACTTCGTGATATAAATTCTGTTATTGGTCAGTGACGAATAAAGATGCTCTAAAGTGCATCGCATGATCTTCTTTAATCACTCTCTTGAATTTAAGGTTTTTAATTATACAAAAAAATACGTTAAATTTAAAAGTATTTCGGAAACTAATCCCTCTAGGTTTGTCTATCAAAATGATTGTGGTAAGTGACGAATTAAAAGAAAATACGAGCATGTTCCCAACCATTGAAACTTTTTCGGAGTAAGGTAAAAAGAGTACCTAAAAAGTAGCGTCGATAAATGATTTTGCTGAATATATGATGAGCAGAAATTAGTGACCTTAGGGTACGAGTAAAAATTTAAAGTGTTTTTGTGATCGTAAATGCCGTGAGTGGGTGTATTTAGAATATTTTGTGTATCGAGAAATAATCACTGGAAGGTCCAGAGACACCGGAAAAACGTTCAGTTTTTCCCGAGGCGCGACAAGGTACATGTTGATCGAAAGATATACCAATGTTGTAAAATTTAATTGGTTACCATATGCGGCTACATTCTGTTATATTTTGACTTGTTTTGTAAAAGTGAAGCTAATGACGCACTTGGAGTTGAAAATGGGCAAAGGAAGTTTCTTAGGGACCACTTATTATTTACCCACATGCCTTTCAGGGGGGACGAAGGGGGATTAGTCTTCTTTAACAGAGTATGAAGGGGATACTATGGAAAATTGAATGCCAATGAGGGAGGATTGTTAGAATTCTTCAGAGCTGTAGGGGATCAAGTAAATTTCATTGTGACATAACAAAAATCCTCCACCGCTCCCCTCCCCCCTTCCCAGCCGACATATATATAATGATCAGTCTTGTTGGCGTCAAATGCTGAGATGAACGTTTTCGTGGAAAATTAATGAAAAGATTATACAAAGTGTTTCAGGAAAATACCACACGTACCTTCGATCCTTTTTCTCTTTTAAAAACGTCATGTCCAACGTAGAATATCTTTCATTGTCCTGTTTGCTTGGGGGTTGCCTATTCTTTGAGTAAGTCAAATCAGAGTGAATTAAGAGGATACCTCAGTTTCTACTCGTAATATTACGTAATATTGACTCGTGTGTCGCGCGATTCTCGCGCGAGGGTCTCGTGACTGTGGCAGCTGTGGTCACTTCGTACCGATGCAATGAATTCACGGTAGGACTAATTAAATTATTTATGGCTTCACAGGCTGAATCTAAATTGAAAGCTATTTGGGTTATTGCTTCAGTTTCAGAATCGCAAAAATAATTCATTGGAGAAAGGGTAAATTTGTGCACCTTTGAATTGATAAGCTAATAGCGCTGCGTGTTGGTGAACCTTCACCGAACACTCGCCTTACTTGAAGAAGACCATTAGCAAACAATTAAGTAGTCGGGAAAATGAGAAGGACGTCTATAAAAAGTCTAGAATCGAAATTAAGTTGTCCCCTACCGATGAAACATTATAATGTTCTTAGAGCAAAAGTCTCTTTGTAAGTTTACAATATTCTTTTTGGTTTGTGGTTTTCTGTTTCGAAATAAATCCTGCCTGTTTGATGCTGCAATTACATAATCAGAAATTTTCATCACAGAAGAATAAATGCATATCTTTTTTAATTCTGGCACCATAGCGAATAAAATCATGAATATTCCCGTTTGAATTGATTTGCCGGCTGAAATTGCTTCTAAAAAAATATAAATACGTCGGCAATCGTAACAAACAAGAAGTTACGGCAACACTAACCACAAACATTGAAATTTTCGAAGAGCGATAACAGAAAAAAATCATTAGTCGGTTTGCTCTGCCGGCATCAGAGCAGAAAATTCAAAAACTGATATGAATCAACAAATTTCGTACGTGGGTACGATGCACTTAAATCATATATTGAAATATAAAACATTTGAAATAGCCTTTGAGTGGGTTTATTTTACAAAGAAAAAATGAGAGAAGAATATATCTTACCGCAAATTTGCCTCAAGGAGATGACTAAAAAGAAAATTCTTCACTTTTATCGCAAACTAAATCTCCTGCTAAGATCAGCCTTCCAGAAATGGTGCTTTCCACCTGGCGGTTTCCATGTTTACCAACTTGCATAGACTTAAACAGAAGAGACAATTGGCCATAGGCTTATGTCAAAATATGAAAGGAAAAAGTAATTTACGTAAGCGTCTGACTTCAATTGAAAAGCGAACACAGGGAGTCTTATGTTGTGAATTTTCAAAGTAATTTCGCAGTCATAGCCAACGGCACTTTGATTGTAAAGTCGCTTACGGTTAGCGAATACAGCGAGCATCTAGAGTGCCGTTGAATTTATTGTAAACAACAATGGAGACTTGTACAAACAACTAGCTGGCGACAAAATTAATACTTGAATATAGAACCAACTATAACGTACAAGAGCAAAAACAGACAGAAAAATAAATAAATAAATTTGAAAAGCAGTGTTTGAATTTTTCAGTGTCCTGTGAGATTTGCCTTTCATACTTATATTGTAATTTGAAACTATGCATGTTTTCTACCAAATGCATCTAAAATGTATTTTTTTTAAACAATGTCAGTCAGTCGTAAATAAAATAGGTGAGTAAATTTGCCTGAAATTGCCTACCAGTCAGTAAGGTAAGTACTGTTTCACAAAGAAAAAGCAGAACAAACAAACTCTTTTCTTAAATCAATTTGAAGATTAATTATCCGAAGATTTGAGTATTACGCGATAAACTTACACAACTTATGTTACGTGATAGCGTGCGCGTGCGTGCTGTAGGCTAGAGTGCAAAAGACTCGTGATATCGAGGTTTCGTTTCGCCATGTTTCCCTCCTATAAACAAGTTAGCTTTTGAAATTAACTTTAAAAGTCTGGAACTGTCATGGCTTTATTGCAGGTCGCGAATCCTGACGAACAATTGATTTATTGAAATTCTTTGGAGAAGAAGTAGAGAGTTTGAGAGATAAGCTTCCTCTTTTGCGGGGTCGGAACAGAACGTGATAACGTCAAATAAGTCTCACGTCCTTCCCTTTTCTCACGCCTGTATTTTATGAGGTACTTTTTTTAGAACAAAGCTTCGATGTACTCAAAAAATTTTTATATTGTTTGGCTGCCTAGTTTTGGCCTCCTCGAGAGTTCTCGCTTCACATAACAAAGATGATTTTCTTAACGAGTTCAATGTTATTCAAAAGATTAACTGTTACCTCCCTGAAGTGTTGGTACTCAGGGAATATTCCTTTTCACAAATAACACGCTAAGGAAAATGCCTCTGTGAGTAACTAACAAGCAACTTTAATTCAGTATTTGTCTTACAAGTATAGAACAACAAGAAAACGAATCTTGGACTTGAGGCGTCAGCAAGGAATAGCTCATCTGTTTCGAGCTAAAACACGATTATATTTCAGACAAAGTAGCTGCTTTCGATCACGGTTCATCCCCGATGCACCCATGATGCAGATTGCAAGATTTTTTACTGTCAAACGTGTTATCATTTTAGTCTGTAGAGAGGAGGATAATCCAATACGCGGCGCGTGATGTTAGTTGTCGTTTTAATTGATCCTTACGATTCAAATTGTACCTTTAAGTTCGCCCCTATATCGTGCTAATAACCTGCTTTGCGCTTTTGTTGCTCCCGAAATATCTATTACGACGCCCTTGAAGGGTGGAACTTTTGTTCTCTGACACTGTTGGAAGTACCGTTCTCCAAGCGGGGAGATAGTAAAATTTCGACGATTCTTTTTCCACTTCAATGAAACAATGAGGTTATTATTTTAACCTTGGAATCTTTCTTCTTCGTAATTTTTTTAGTGTTTAAGTTGAATTGGATCAATAGAGAGTGTGAATTTACATGCATCTCGTTCTTAGAAACGCAAATTAGGTACGGTTGTCCATTGTTCCGCTGGCACTATTTTGAGCATGATAGTAAGGCAAAAGAATCAAGCATTATACTGGAATGAGAGTACAAAAAATTAAACGAATAAACAAGAAATGAGCGAAAATATAGAATGATCATTTATTTGACTCTAGGTTTTAGAAAAACTTTGCAAAAAAACATAAGGTTTCCTAATGGGAAACCAGCTCTTACCGATGCAGCTCTCATCCGCTGCTTCTAAGAGAGTGTTTTCATCGTTGGAGAACTCATGTAAGGACGACCAAGCAAGGGAAACGTAATGCTACGATGCAATAAGTGTTAGATTCGTTTATGATACGACTTTAGTATGCACTGTTTTTTTCCTGTTTTCATTTACGCCTGTATTAAACAAAATAATCCCCCTTACTGTGATCTATTCCTTTATTTTGTTTATTCATTAGGATAATTATAATGGTGAATAAAATGATAAAATAATAGAGGTAGAGAATAATAATGATGCTTGTTCTTCATTGATACAGTGAAGAAAGGGGTGGTCTAAAAGCTTTCTACTTTATCTGTCGTTTTCTCGCCCAAACAAGCACGATTTAGTTCTCTCAGATTGAGGGACGTGCACTGGTTTTGAAAATGCACAGCGAGAATATGTTTGTCAGCGATTAGCGCGGATTTGCCTTCATTCCCCTTCACAAAGATTTCCCATGGCGATCTTAGGGGGGCGGGACATTTTTTTCTATCAATAAATCTTCTTTTTTTGTTCCAGCAGTTTCGCCTTAGTGTTCCAAGTGACATCTACTGTTTCGCGAAAACCACAAAAATGCCTTACAAGGACCTTATAACAGCGATCCACTTTCTACTAGATTCATTCGCTGGTTAAGATCAGTGGGTAAGGTTGTCGCATTTTCGAAGTGAGAGAGACGAGAAACGGCATTTTTTGCAAGGTAAGATATTAATTATTTTAAAACTGGTGAGTTATCACAGGTTAAAACGAGCGAGATTTTGTGGTGTGGGGAACAAAACTTCATGGTTTTATTTTGTGTATACGTTTTGAACTCTCTCCGTAGAGGTGGCTTGAACAGTTCTCAGCAATGTGTTTGTACAAATAAGAGAAGATTGACTGAGCGCTTGATATCACAAAACCTCGGAGTTTACTCAATGAGAATGTATTCGTGAGGTTAAAAAAAAAAAAAATTAAAAAATCTAAAAATTCTGATGGTACATGTTTAGTAAGACGAGTCTGTTCGAGCAGTATCATGCTTCACTGCCACCAATAGCGTTAAGAAAGTAAAACTTCATACATCGATGGATCAGTGATATCCACCTTGGAGTGATAATTTCAAATGCTTACAGAAATCATTGCATTAACAATCGTACGCGCTGATTCTTTACCCTCAATTTACCCAGTGACGCAGATGAATTCCACAATGAAGCGTTCTAACATCTTGGGCGGTGCTTTCGCCAACCAAGCTGGACTTGCAATAACCTCAAGTCAGCCCGAGTTAAGTCATTCGTACTCTCTGATGAAAGACACTTGAACGGCCAAGTTCCATCACTCTCGCACTCAATTTAAATTTAATCTTGCTTCGCTGTATCTGTTGAGCGATCAATCGTATAATCTCTCCTATCAAGGTTTCTCCACCTGAGTGATCTTTCGCACCTTTTTAGATGCATGGAATTAGAAGCATTTAACTCTTTCACCCTTAAGACTGACTTGCATCTAATTCATCTTCACAATACCATCCCTGAATCATTAAGTCACGAGAATAAAGGAATTGATCACCAACTAAAGAAGCTCTTGACTGTTAAACAAAGTCTCATTGTCAGCACCTTAAAAAACGTCTAGAAGACCATATGAAAGCAGTATGGAGAATATGCGTACTAAGTCATGATGTAAGGACTTCAAACAGTTTCTAATTGACTGGGTAACGAAGCAATTAAAAACGGTTTAGCTTTATTAGTTGGTCTAATATCAGTAAAATACAAAAGACTATAGTTGCATCGAAGATTCCTGCTTTAGGCAGAGCAGGATCTTTATTTCTACATGTTCAAAATAAAACAGAAAAGAAAGGATAAATTTTCAGAGTATGACAAAGCTTATCTATTCACATAATTCTGTTTCACAACTTCAAGTCAAAAGCTTATCAAATTTCGTTCTCAACAGCTTTTGTTAAACAAACAATAGAGTTACGCTCGTGAAATTTTCAATCAACACACAAATCTATCGTGTGTTGCTAAGTTGTTTCAACAACTTACCGTGCTCCGCTAATATGAAAAACTGGGAGTAGGAGTAAAAAGAGTCTGTGAATTAAGTTTTTTGGCTCGCTAACCGGTGTATCTGACTTGTTCACCAAGGCCTAATACATCAAGTGAAACGGGTTAAGTGCACGAAAGAGGATTTCTAAATCCAACCTCATGTGGGGGTTTCGACTATGTGTTATTTAAAGATCGCGGTTTGAATTAAAATTTAGACATTTACATTTGAATGGCTGAATATAACAAAATAGCTCATTAACCAGCTTTCATCGATTTCCTTTGGTCAAAGATTTCTTAAAATAGACTTCATCATTCAAATATTTTCGAAGAGTTTTACTTTACGTAATCTTCTTGCAGGTTCTAACAAAAAAGGAAAATTGGTTTTAAGAAGGGAGTAGCAAAGAATAACCCCTGAAAATTGAGTATTCAAAAATGTTCAGTTAGAGACGGTTGTAAATTTGTTTCTACTCGATTTTCTTCACTTACAAAGTTTTTAAAAGACAAGAAAACCTGATGAACTATTAATCAAAATTCTTGTAGCGGTAAAACATTTTAATTCCTTGAGGGTCCATTCCGCTGGCACGCAACTTATGTGAAAGAGGAATGCAATCACATTCGTCAACCAAATGACCCCATTATCATATTTCAGATTTTTTTCTTCCAAATTAATTGCAGTTTATTTTCAAGTCACAGTTTGAATCCATTACCGTAAATACTTTTTACTTACATCAATTAGGGGCTATGCATAGCCACAAATTATGAGACACTGTTCTCAACAGGTCTTTAACAATCGCATTGTAGTTCGTTGAATCTGTCGCGCCTTCGCACATATTTCTCGCCAAAATTAACAATGCTCTTTGCGTGCCTTGTTGATCAAGTTTGAGGCCATTCAGCTTTTTGTAAACAAACTGCCCTGAGAACAGAACAATCTGATATTTCCTTGACACTGATCAAATCGATAAGTATGTTGTACATCAAATAAAACAATAGTCAGGGCATATTGGAAATATTCAAGGAAATATGTACTCCGGAATTTGATGTCTTCAAGCTAAATTTCCATATATGGTTTAGTCCCTTTGTTTAAGTGTCAAATAAAGTGTTTTATTTAGCCCAAGTGAATTAGGACATTTCGCCACGATGCAATAATAGTTCTTTTCAAATATGAAATGCGCGGTTTGAACAATTAATTTACAATTGACTTGAAGCCTTTTTTTCCCTTGACTTACGGACACCACAGAGTCATTTGAACGGTTATGCCTCGTTGCGGCTTTACAAAGCTTCCAAGAGGGCGAGAGTAAAAACTTTCCACTGGCAAATATTGATATATGAATATGCTGTAAAAGCAAATTTTGATTGGCATATACTGTCATATACAACTGGAGTGGCTAGCCATTAGCTGGGATCCTCTCTAAGTCAATTCGTTCTACAAAAGTCATCAGAGAAGACGGTTGTAGAGCTTATAAAGAGAAAATTTTTTCAAAGTGTTGTTGAACAGGTTTCTTCAGTAGGAAAAATTATAGGAAAACCACACTTAAAAAGTGACACGGAGGTGAGCTTTTTATACATATCATTCCATGTTCAAGACCTGCCGTTTCAAACTTTGCTTTGAAGGAAAGTGAGCATCTTTTGTCCTTAGTATTACATCATTGGGAACCATGACTAAGTACATCAATACATTGATGAAAAATAAAACGCTTTAAGATATAGGCCCTCAAATATTTTTTGAAATATGGCTTACTTTTTTCAAATCTCAAAGTATCAGGGAAATAAGATTAAACAACTTGAAGGTAAAATAAATCATTGCGCGCTCAAAATAGGGCTCCCGCCAAAAGTGAAACTACACGTTCATGAAAGCTAATAAACATCAAGAGCCAAACAAACAGGAAGATGACGAACTGCGTGAAATTAACTCTAACAGGTAACGGAAAATTACTCGAGCTTTTAAAACATTTAAAACAACAAATTAACGAGCTGAAGTCTAAGTGCATAGTAATTTATACTTCCTAAGAATAAATTTGATAACAGATTACTGTTTCCTTTTTTTTTTCATTTTTCAGTCCTCAGTCCACAGAGAAGATGTTAATTTCAGTTCTTGTCTTGTCCCTCGTCTTTAACCTCTGCGATGCCGCCCCAGGACGAGTTGGCTTTCCATTGAATCGTTTTCCAGGCGCGCATAAACTGCAAATAAAGAAGCGCGGCTCAGGTAGAGTTTAATAAAAAATTTTTATAAACTACTGACTTACGATCCCTATGACTCATTCTCTGCCACTCTTAAGAAGGATTTGATTGGATCTCGCAACATCAAGAAAAAAACAGAGCTGATTCTGACACAACTGCTGGAGAGGAATCATCGGAAGAGGAGACTATTGAGCGGTAGACCTATATATTCAAATTGAAACTTTCACTTTCTGCGCCATTTAGGTTAAGACAGACCAAATTTCTTTGATATTTTGTTTGTTTATGTTGTCGTTTCGAAACACATATGGTTTTACCATGAAAATGATTAAATACCTTTTTTTTTTTCATTTGAACCTAGTGAAAGGGTTTGAGAGCATTTTATCTTGATTGGACTCTTTAATTTTGGGCTTCACTTTGGTAGATTTTTTTCCTTTAATTCAGTTTTTTTTCCTTTAATTCAATAATTTTTTAATATATTTTTGCATACGTGATTTGAAGTGGATTCAAGCGCATGTCTGGATGCCCATAATACCAAGCGCGCTCTACATAGCGCATCGCCGCTAACGTGGGATGACGAACTGGCTCGCAAAGCTCAACGCTGGGCAAATCACCTGGCTAGTATTGGATCTCTGAAGCACGATCCGAATGCTAAAGCGGGAGAAAACCTATACTTTTCATACAGCTCAGTGCCTCAAGAAACTTCATGCCAAGACGCGGTTAACGCCTGGTAAGAGGCAGCACAGGACAACCATCCAAATAGACATATCAAATGATAAGGTCCTCGATAAACTCTCAAAGACTGGGGATGTTGTAGTACCTGGGTGTAATCTCAATTTATTCTGACTGAATTTGATGGACAACAACGAAATTTTCATATTCCATGACTTAATAGGGCCACTTTAATGATGATAACGAAAATTGGCCTCCGTAAAGAGATTCCAAAGCTGAAGTATTGAGCGTTAGCTATTTGTTAGAACGAATCGGGACATTTGGTTTGTGGGTCCACAATCTACAATTTCTCGATTTACATTATCAAATCAGTCGATAAACAAGATTATCTTGTAATACTTGCTACCGATGCAGCATCACAGTTTCGTTAGGAACTTGCTTCCTTTATCCATGTCGATATCAAGGGCGCTGTAAATCAGTATTTTTTCATTTTTAGGTACGCTGAAATAAAGGATTATGATTTCAATAATCCTCATTTTTCCCATAAAACTGGTCATTTTACGCAGGTAAGCACACTTTTGTCGAGCGGCGATTGGAACGGGGTAGTGTTCAAGCTATTTCATCTGCGGTGTTTATTTCTGTAATAGTTGTTGAGTGTTTCCAGTCAAGCATGAATACCTGGCAGTAATGAATACATCAAAAGGAGTCTTAACACTCACAGAAAGAAAATCTTGTTGAGAAATCTGTCCATTAGAGAACGTTCTCCGCTTTGGTATCAGCCTCGTTCCCAGGGTCCTCTATCTTCCTCCCTCGAGAAGGTAAGGGAGAGAGAGGACCTGTGAACGAAGTTGCTTTAGTGAATCCACGTGACTGTTGTTGCGTCATTTAAACGCTGCTTAGCAACTTCATGCTCATAAAGCAATCATCTGTTTGAAAGTGAGGATAAGTGAAAAGCTTTTGATATAAAAATAAGTTTTCTTTCATTCGCTTCAAAGAAAAAAAACTCACATTCACCTGGAAGATTCTTTTGGCATGGTTTTGAAGGGCAGCCTATTGCAATTGCCTTCTAGTAGAAAGCTCAGTTATAATATTTCTAACACACCACCTTTCTACGAAATTACATTTTTGCTCCTTTAAGCGTTGAAGATAAAAGGAAGTAGGTTACCTACAAAATATTTGGAAGAATCTAGCAGAAAAATTTATAAGAACAAAGATCTTTAGAAGTTGAAGTAGTTACGAAATGATAAACGTATATCTTTCAGATGACAGTTCATAGTTCGTGTTTGGAAAGAACTACTTTCTTTTTGTTGCAATCTGTAGGTTGTGTGGCAAGCAACAACTAAACTTGGGGTGGCTAAAGCGACAACAGTTCGAGGGCAGGGTTATGTAACCTACATTGTCGCTCGATATGCTCCACCAGGAAACTATCTAGGGCAGTTTGCTGAAAACGTTTCGAAAAACTGATCAAGGTAGGTAATAAATTGGTGATTCAAATGGAGGTGATTCTGAGTCTTGCGAAACTAGTTTATTTCTTAGCAAGGCTGTACAGACCCAAGTGATGGAATGTACACGTACAATGTTAGGGGTAAACAATCTATCAAGGAAGAAAAACACATTGAGGTGAAAAAAAAAAAGCTTTATGTTATCCCCCAATCAAATTAAGTGTTAGCCCTAGGTCCTTCAGGTCATGGCATGAGATCGATGAAGAATGTAATGGCTTACGCTGTCTTCTTTCCTAGATGACGCCGGTCTCTGGATTCTGTTGATGTATTCTATTGGACCCGTCGTATGCACCACAAAGACAATTGCACTCAGGAACAAGATCATTAATTTTAGTTATGTTAGACCAATATTATATCATTCACAACATTGTGACTAGAGCGCTGGTAGGAGCTTGTAAATGTGACAATTCTTCTAAATAGAATACAGAATAAAGCATTAAAAATGGTATTTGTGAAGGTTTTTTAGGACTTACAAATGGCTGAATGTTTATGGCTGAGATTTTGGGACCTATAATTCCTCTGGAGATATTTCTTATCAAAAAATATCCTCCCACGACAAAAACCGTGCCCCACCTGAATAAATCAATCAATCACGCGCCTGTATTTTTATTTTTTGACAAAGCTAAGAAAGAAAACAAAAAGAAAAGAAAAACACTGCGTATGCGAAAGTTGAGGAGATGTCATTTAAACGTTGGCTCAAAAGAATTGATTTCAAAAAATATATATTTTTTTTAGTTTCGTGCGCCAGTACTTTTGTTTTTATTAGATAGAATTGATGGGAAAACTTTAGCATTATAAGTTGGAGCTTGGTAATGACTGATTCCTAGTACATAATTTATCAGTCCAGAGGCACTTCAGTCAGAAAAGCTCAAGCATACATAACTGAAGTGGCAAGAGATTTCAAGCCATTTATCACATCTGAAACAAATGATCTCCACATCCTCAGGTGATTACTCGAATTTTTTTTCAAGTCTCATCGCGGGTTCGAGGTGGGAAGGAGATTTGCTAATCTGACTTCGGAAGTACCTCTTAGGGACATATTTCAATCCAAAACTGTACTTTCTAAAACAAAGCATTTGGTGTATTTCCTGCCAGTTCTGCCGTAATGCAATAATCACAAAATCAGTAATGGACTGATCTCATTTCTGTCAATAATAATAGGTTTTGGAAGTGTGTTGCTTCCTTACTCGTGATCTTTCATTCCTGCTAGCAGAAATTATTGGAGAACATAGAAGTACCGGCAATTTAGGGGGAAAAACTTCCGTTCAGGAATAATTGTTAGACTGAATTTATTTTTGAGTTGATGGAACATTTGATAATATTCTCATTACACTCAAGGCAGGAACTTTCCTGAATATTAAGAAAAACTCATATCTATAAAGGTTCATCTCAGCAGCACGTCACCAACTACTTCAAAATGTTGAAAACAGAATGGAGAGCATTTCCTTCGCTCTAGTCATGCAATATTTGCAAACGAAAGTAAAAAGGCCAAATTTACAACAGCGACATTGAACTCAACTAGGGCGCATGCTCAAACTCCTACTTTCGAACATCGGTATAATTTTTCAAACCACTTAAAGATATCAGAAGCAGAATTGGAAATGTAAACACCGAGGGTGGTTTTTATTTTCTTGCCCACTAATTCATACCTTCATTTGGTTATTGGCTTGCGTGTATAGCACAACCAAAACATTCCTCACCAAAGTCGATCAACTTTACATCAAGATTCTTTTTTTCAAGGCGTTTTGATCTGGAAAGAGAAGGTATGTATGTCACAGGCCTCATGGTGATCTCACGAAAGGATCTATTATAATAAGCAGCCTCTCAGACCGTAAAGTAACAAGGTCATTGTTTCTTCCGAAAAACGTAAAATGGAACGTTCCTTTGAGTCAAAGGTGTGGCTTTTAAAATCTTATTTGAAGTGTCTTATAGAGAAATTCTTTGAGAATAATTAAGTCATTGTAAGGTTACTTCTGGTAATAGGAAAAAAGTTTCGCCTTAAATGTTGGCATTCTGTTCTGTAGAAAGCGTAATCAGACAACGGAAACAAATGCGCATATATTAAGATTTTTGAACGAATAAAAATCGTGAAAGAAGAACTTTTCTCGCTGCACGGGAGAAAAAAGAGAATGGAATGATGGATCATTCTAGATCATAGTCTTAGGAGCTCATTTCCTGCTTTTTTCCTCCTTAAAAATTACGTCTGTAAGGGTTTTCCATTTTTTTTTAACGGATGTTTTATAGTGCAAGCTTATGGAACAACATAATGGTTGCAGATGAAAATATCGCCAAATTTTTTTCAATTTGAATCTGAAAATGAATATTTATTTCACATTTGAAGAAATATACGCATTTTTATTTTTGGCTTCTGGAGAAAAGCAGGTGTTTGAGGCTGTTTCGGGTTGTCATTGAAATAACAACCTTAAGCTGATTTCATAATCAGTTGTGGTCTGACTGTGATCATATAATCACTGATTGAGGGTGTTTCGAAAGTTTACATGGGAATGCGAGACAAATTGAAACAATTTCCTATTTCTTTTTGCAATTACAGAACTACAAAGTTTGGGCAGTAATCTGCATTAAGATCCAGAGTCTGTGTTCTTATGTGAGATAAAATTGAAATTTTTTTTTTCTCCTTTTATTTTCCCTAAAAAAATGTTAAACTGGATTTTATCAGCAGACTCGAAGGCGCTGTAAGTTTATTTTGTTTTTCTTGTGACAGGAGATACATGAGTGACTGGAAGAATGGAAAATTAAAAATATTTTTATATTTCATATATAGAAACAGGGTGTGCTTTCTATCAATGTGGAACTGCAGGAAAAAGGTTTAAAAAGGATTTACGCTGCTACAAAGTGGTTTGACGGTGTTTCAACTTGTGTAATTCGACGACCTCATCAAGACACTGTTAAATATTTTTTTTCATCTTTTTCGTCTTCTTTTAACACATATATGATGTGAAATGAAATATCTGCTGAAACTCATTTATTCATGTATGTTTATGCTTTTCTTTTTTATCGATTGGAAGGAATCTTGGCAAAATTAAGAAAACTGAAATTATGTGGTTGACGATGTGTCACAAGTTGTACCCAAGGTTCGACATATCATCTTCGTTCTTTCTTTCAAAACTTACCACAAAACCACAACTCCCATTAAGCTGAAATATGCTTCCTCTCTTATCTGGTCAGTCCACAGCAGCTATTTAAGTGAAATTGCAAGTATAGTAGTACTTCTGTCATAAAAGCAACCACTCGCTTCAAGTGGACCATTTAGTTTTAATCCATGCAGGGAAACATTCTTGCACTAAAGCAGGCATCTTTGTCTAAAGGTAGGGAAATTTTTAAGAAGGTAAAAAGTCTGTGGTGAAATTTCTGTGAAGAGGTCATAAATTCGCTACTATGTAACAAATATTTCTTAACAGGCAGCCAGGTTTTCACCTTTTCCTAAAGTGATACTCTTGTCACTTTTCTTTTCTTTTTTTTATTTGCTAAATTACATGCACTTACTTAATTAAACGACCACGATTTCTTTAATTCTACTGTACTGTTTTTCTCCCTTTATTTCTTGTTCTCTCGTCATGTCCAGTAAGCGCGTCAGTTTTCATTTACCTACGTGATTTCACCTGCATTTTATTTTGAAGTTACAATTTATTACAATGTGCCGCTGTCGTATTTTGAGCTATTACTATTTGACTCCTTACTTTGCTCTCAAAAGAGTAAAACAGACAAAGAAGATTTAAAAAAAAATCCTTTTAGAAGGGTAAATAAGATGAGAGGCATAAATTGTATTATAGAACTTTTTAAAGAGTTACAGTCATCTGAGTTATGGGCTTGATGTATTCTGGCGTGGTGTTATTTTTTAATTTATCCGCATTATTGCATGAAGTTTCATGAAGGTTTACTCCAAAGAGAAGATCAAGGGAACACTTTCTTATATCAATCACTTCACGTAAAAATTAAAAAATTTTTTAACCGTTTGTTGTAAAAAAAGTTAATTGTATTTTTTTTCTTTTAATCGCAAGGGAAATAAATAAACTGTTAGCCGTAAAATGACCATATTTTTAAACGTTTGCGGTAAAAGCCTCTCACCCTTTGAGACCTGCTGAAACCTTATCCATCATCCAGTTTGCACTAGCTAACAACGAGCCTATTGAAAAAGGTAAAGGTTGTTCTTCATCAAGTCTTTTTTTTTTCTTTGTTTATTTTTTGATTAAGATAGCGTGCAAATTTCCGCAATATGGCAGTCGGGTTTGTTTGATTTTGTTTATACTTTGTTTCTTATCTTATCGTATCTCCAAAAGTTAAACCAACTTGAAAGCAGATAGCCATCTACTTAATTAAAGTAATTCGTCGGTCATCATAATATTTCAAACTCCAGCATCCAATTAGAATGCTTATAGTTATCGCAGCACTTTTTTGTCTGTGGTTAATTTCTTTATTAAAAACATCACTGCCACCTTATCGTTTGTACTTAAACTCTCTGTAGCAGCTTCGAAGTTAAACATTTGCAAGAGAAAACCAATTGTACAGCAATATGTGAAAAACTGAGAGGCAATCGTAAAATCGTAAAGATAATTTACACTAACAGCAACAAAAGAAAAAAAAGAACAAAGCTAAAATAACTTATTCTCCTTTTTATTTAGGCATTCACCTCATTAAGCATGTTACCTTTGCCAAATTTTTTTGCCACTCGTTCCGGTCCGGCTAATGTAACTGGTCGATTATTTTATGATAATGGAACATTTATTAAGACTTATCAAAAACGCATCGCTGAACAGAAAACTGGAGGGTCATGACATGAGTGACACTATGCTCCAACAGCAAAGGTCGAATTAGGAGCTATACGACCTAATATGACCAGCTGTTTCTACCGATGAGGTTTTGGAAAACAGACCAAGTGCAGCTTTCGAGTTTCGGAATGTGCACAATCATTTCAAAGTTTGCATCTCATCATTTTGGAAATTCCCGCCAAAAACTAAGGGAGAGCGAATTGATTACAAGAGGGGCCTACCAAAAAGTTAGTGGAATGGCTTTCCTAAGCCTACGTAGCCAAACAGAAACATTTTGTGTGCGTGTACCCTGCAGTGATTGACAAACTATTCAATGGAAGCGAGCGAGTAAAAAGTGTAGTGTAGGTCACGTGTTTAACTGTTGCGCGACATTGATCAAATATAATGCGTATTTCTTTGAGATGTGTGTAAATCAAGAAGTGTCTTACAAGGATTATGGGTGACCTTCTCCATGTTGCCAGGCTTTTGCGTGAACGAACAGAGAATTCGTCTTTAAACCAGATAAAACACATACAATTCAGTGCGAGCAAATGAGCTTAATGGTAAAGCCCATATTTATTCGTAGGCTTGGCTAAAAGATTGACCACAGGTTAAAAAAAAATAATGACAAATACTTTAGTACAGCTCTAATGTATGACTGAAACATACTTACCACCCACGATGCTAAAAAAGATATTACGAACCTTGCTTTGCTTTTAAAGTTACAGGGAAAAAGTGGTGTGTGTTACTTTTAAAATTAAATAACCTTAACTCGAATTTCTGAATTTTAAGCAATTGAGATGAATTCTGACATTAGAAACGCATTTTATTGGGACGAAATCAAACAAACAAGTCATTTAGCATTCTCTCTTTGGAGCCGAACTTCACGGTACATGTTTCCTTAAATTTATTGCGTAAATATTCATTATTTTGCCTTGGTGAAACTTACATCGCTTACATAAAAGTTGCAAGGTATTCTGAATCGTGTATAGTGTGGCGTCGCAGTCTGAAGTTTTCTTTCGTTATCGTTTCATGCCTCTGAATTAATTATAGCTTACAAGGGGAGGGCGAGGGGAGGAATTATTTGTAACTATTTATCATCCATGGCCGAAATACGATTAATTTTACCCATTTGTTGTGAATATATAGATTCATGGCGACCAATCTGCTCTCTTTCCCTGAGAGATTGAACGACTTGAAGAGCATAAACGAATTTTTAAACTGGGCAGAAATTTCTGTGTCCGTGTATTATTGCATAATAACAAAGGAGAGAAAAGTACATTGTTACTCAGAAAATGGGCTAAACGCGGTGGTTGTGCTTCAGAGCAAGAGACACTTTATCTTTTCTTGTGTAAAGTCAAAGTTCTTTTTTACTAAGTGAGCTGGTATCGTGAAGGCTGATAAAGGTGGAAAAAAGTGTCGGTTGGAAAAAACCAAAAATTGCTAATCCATTTTTTTTTATTTCCATTTAAGTTATGTCGCACGAGAAGACCTCACAGACAGATCTCTTGCTATCAAGTTCTTTATCTATTTCAAAAACGAAAATTACTAGCACAAAGTAATTTATTGAATAAAACATGACATGTCAGCTCTCTGCTCGGATATCATTTAAAACGTGGGAGTTAAACATATCTTCAAGTGTGGATTAAAAACGTATACTTTTACGCTTTTTTGTTTAATATTGAAAGCTCACAAAAAAATTCCTTAATTTTTCACACCATTGTTCTGAATTTCACAGTTCATTTCTATGTCTACGTGAACAAGAAAGAGACCAAAGTCTATAAATTATTCACGATCTGATTAAGAATTTAATCACGACTATCTAAATTTCCAACTCTTAATCAAGGGCTTTAAAGGAATCAAGACAGATTATAGAAATTATCTCCGCGAATGATATAAAATTCCGACTGCAGGTAATTACTGGCGTCTCACTCTGGCTTAAAGCTGAAAAACAAGGAGGTTTCACAAGTGAGCTGAAAATAATTTTACATTCTCCCATTTCTTATTTTCACAGATGGCTTCGATGACGATGATAACGGTGGCGTTCTTGCTTGTGTTAATGTTGGTCTTGAGCGAATGTCGGCATCGCAAGCTTGGTAGACCTGCCAGACCCCCGCGTCACCGCTATGCCATTGCAAAGAAAGGCCGTAAGTAATGTTACAATCTTGTCTCAAAATGGTTTTAATCTTTGAAAAGGTGAATATTTCGATCTTGAGTTACCCATGATCATGTGACTTAGGCAAGTGTACCCGGTAGCTATCTGTTTTAAGGTACATGTATACATTTCGTTAAATCTCAGAAAAAAGCAATTTCATCTTTTTTTTTTTTTGCCTTTTCATAATTTCATGAGATAATTTTTTTCGCATTTTAAACAGTTTTTATCACAAGGTTTAGTAAGTACCTTCCCCAAGGCCCAGAAAAGTCATCTAAAAAGTCGGAAAGGTTTCTTTGGTGGTTTCCCAGTTCAGAGAATACCTACGCAAAATTTAGAAATTTTAGCGAGCATAAATCATGACCTGAATTGAACTAACAAATTTCCCCTCTTAAGAACCTGCGCTTTAATTTATCAAATCCATCATATCTTATGACAAAAATATTGTAACAATCAAATCTCCTAACATTGTGGGACTATATTGATAATCTCCATTACATAGTCTCGCACAGAAACCGCTTTGGCAGTCAACAATACCCTTGATTCCGTAATTGGTTGCTTAAGACTAACATGATGATGTGCATGTCTTATTACAGAATTACGATTAGCTGATCGCGATACAATTATTAGAAATTTAAAAAAATTATGTTTAGCCACTTTATATTTGAACTTGCACATAGGCTTAAGTTTAAGTCACCATAGTAACATCTCAAAGGCGAGTGATCGTCATAACTCGTTCCCCCAAAGATGTTAGATTAATTCTGTTACGCCAATTAACAATTCTATCGAATTTATTTTAAGGACCTGTAGTAATTCATTCAAGCAAGGTGCAGTCAATGCTGATAATATTTGGTTTTAATCATTTCCTTAGTTATCTGGGAACTTTTGAAACAGAGATATATGAGCAATAATTTTTTCAACGGTTTCTTGTGCGATATCTTCTCCAGTGAATCTTATGTGGATTTGAATGTTTTCAACGACTTTCTTTTCATCTTTTAGTATGCCCCATGGGAGGAGGAGATAAAAAAACCGGATGTAACCATTGGGAAAAGCAAGGATACTGTAATCAAGGGCACCTCTACTATGATTTTGTGTCGACCAACTGTCCTGCCTCCTGCGGCATTTGTCAAGGTTTGTATGGGGATCATTTTAACAGAGCTAATTTTTATTAGATAAAGCCAATTTTAAATGTGTGTCGTAGCAACCAATCAAAAGAAGTCGGCCTATCGAAAGAGAAAAAAAATATCCTAGTATGCATATTCTCCATAGTGTTCTCTGTATATTTCCTAAGGTGCTGACAATGAGATTTGTTTTTACAATCAATAGCTGCTTTTGTTGCTGATCGTTCTCTTTATTCTCATGACCTTAATGTTTGAATCAGGAGTGATGCTGTAAGGAGAAAATAGATGCTACTCACTCTTAGAGGTTAAAGGGTCTTCTTCTAGGCTATCTTAAGCTCAAGAATTAATGCTATAGGGAGCTGTTCATCCAAGTTTAGAGTGATTTAAGACCTGAATAATGATCGCTTTGGTAAGTTAGTGAATACGTGTTTCACAAACCAACACAAAAATTGAAGAAGAAGAAGAAAAAAAAAAAATGGAAGACAAGTAGTGGTTGTAGTAGGAAAAATAACAGTAGAAGTAAATAAGAACATTTCTGTGTTTTAAAATAAAATAAAATAAAAATATAAGCTTGTCTTGTTCATAAGGTTCGTACAATTGGTGGAAATTTAAACTGAAATTATTTGATTGTTCTGTTCTGTCCGGATTTTCAGGCGTGACAGTTGATTCAGGCTCCACCCTCATCAACTATCACGCAATAGAACTGTCGATCACTCAATAAAGTTTGCATAATCTTTATCATCTTTTTTCTCATTTCAGCTCGTCCTACTCCACCTCCAAGGCCCCGACCTGTGAGAGGTAGTGATCAAATAATGTTTTTCAATGATTATTTCAGTTTACTCTTTGGTTAAAAACCTATTCGATCCTTCCATCTTCATCAACAGTGAACCTCAAAGAGTGTCTGGAAGCCCATAACTTGGCACGTGCTCTGCACGGGGCTAGACCGCTGACATGGAACAGGACACTGGCCCGGAGTGCTCAAGCTTGGGCCCTGGACCTTGCAAAGCGGAATAAATTCGAGCATTCGCGTGTAAGAGGAGAGGGAGAAAACCTTTACTACTCAATGGGTAGCAGCGAAAAGACAGCAACATGCAAAGACGCTCTTGATGCCTGGTAACCTATTTAATTCAAATTAGTATGAGGAATTGAGGAAATGTTTTTACTTATTACTAAAACAGAATGTAGAACTTGCCCATGACACATTGTACAAATTCTGCAAATTTAGAGACGCTGGTTCACGCAAGCAGTATGGTAATATGGTGATGTATTCTTTTAAATTGGCACATGCGCACTATCTGTAATATGTATACATGCCTGGGTTGACTTACGTTGCAAGACCGTCTTTTGTCTTGAAAGATAATTTCTGTCAATTTTTGATCTCTGCATTAATGTTTTCATTCCTGTATTTTTATTTCCTAGGTATGGAGAAGTTTCTGATTATCCTTTCTCAAATCCCCCGAAATCTATTTTTGACGTACCTGGTGTTCAAATTGGACATTTTACACAGGTGTGGATCATTGAATTTTTCCTGACTTAAAAAGTTGCCATAGCAACGACGTAACCTATTTGTTAAGAGCTTTAATTTTTTGTTACTAGTCAACCCTTTACACCCCAACATTGCTATACATATTCTCCATTCTGTTCTCTATACATCTCCTAAGGAGCTGATAAGGAGAATTTGTTTAACAATCAAGAGCTTCTTTAGTTGATGATTATTTCCATTATTCTCGTGACCTTAACGTGTGATTCAGGGTGATATTGTAAGGAGAAATTAGATGTTAGTCACTCTTAGGAATCAAAGGGTTAAGAGATGAATAAAGAGAGGAATATTATGAACATAAATCATAACTAGAGAATAGAGAATATAGTAAGGGGGGTTTAGAATGTTCAAGTCTGCTACCAGGGGCAACAGTTCGCAGACCGCTTTAGCTTGTACTTTCTAAACCCCAAACCACTTTCGTTTGGGATATTCCTACACATTCGCAAAAAAACTTTGGGACGTAAACCGTAGATACATGCGAAAGTATCGCCAACTAAGCCTTCATAAGGAGCGTAAACCGCAAGAAAATTTTGGACTCTTACATCAATCCTTTACATTCTGACATCAGTATGCATATTCTCCATACTGTTCTCTATACATTACCTTTGGTACTGACGAGAAGAATTTGTTCAACAATCAAAGCTTCTTGGGTTGGTGATCATTTCCTTTATTCTCGTGATCTTAGTCAATGATCCAGCTGTATCATTTTAAAGAGAAATTACATGCTGGTCACTCTTAGAGTTCTTAAGGGTTAACAAGAAAAGCACGGTTTGTTCCCAACAGGTGGTATGGAAGTCTACTAGGCAGCTGGGTGTCGGCATTGCCACTATAAAGCGCGGATTCTGGACTAAGACCTACGTTGTGGCTCGTTACACGCCCCCAGGAAACTATTGGGGAAGGTTCAAGCAAGAAGTGGGGGATATCACTGTTTTGTAGTGAGAGGGTAAGAGAAAGTTACTTAAAAGAGATCCTCCTAAGAATTTTGAGCTCTCGGCTGTGATAGTGCACCTGGCCTGAGGTGTCAAGTAAAGCATGACACCTGATTTTGGAATGTGGTGTCCTGACAGTTAACACGTGGGACCCTGATCAAGTCGCTCGGCAGTTTCATTAGGGCCTGGTATTGTTACTGAGTTGTTCCTCAGGACAAGACACTTTTCAGTTGAAATTTGCACCGGGCAACTGAAAAATGTGCCAGAAGAAAAGGGAGGAGGGGGTTGGAAGAGACGGGTTTTAGCGTGTTATGGAATTTTAGTTTCCTTCTGTTAGTGGAGGTAGCAGGTGGACACTCCATGACCCTTCTTTCACTTTTTTTTCTCCCTTTAGAAACACCTGTTATACAGTCTGGTGAAAACTGCAGCATGTAATGCACCAGGGATTTTCATCAATAAAAAATTTAATTTTCCAGATTAAATTCAAAACAGCTACACAAGTTCTGTCACGTGAACCTTCGCAGCTAGATCGATCGATAGATAAACTAGCCGCAAACTCTGTACAAGAAGAAAACGCAACGCAGGAAAAAGTTGCTTTTGGCATTGACGAGTATCTCTAGTCGCTCAATTAGAAAAGGATGCTTTAAAAATCAACGCTCATTATATTTAAATTTCTTTACTTCTGGTTTCTTGCAGAGTGTTGTTGTGTTCCATGTTACTCAGAAGCTACTCAATGGTGAACGCGAAGGCATTTAACATGATTGATGTAAAGGCCCAACAGAACAAGTGTATTATGCTATTCTATGCTTTAACTTTTAGATCGCTTGACTCCAACGTTCTTCTGAAATCTTCTCAGAACATTTCCCGTAGGATTGTAACGAGCAACAATAAAAATTTCTTTTGAGAAGCCCGAGCCTCTAGAAGATTGTGCCACTCCAACCGCTGTAGTCGCCTTCCACACAACCTGAACAAATAATACATATAGTGTTTGAGTGACATTTAGTGTTGCGTTGTAGACATCATTATTCGAGGGGAAAAGGGTCATTTATTGCGTTTTAAAGGCGAGGGACACCAACTGCGAAGGGCAAGTTTCGTGCGAGAGGCGGAGTACCCCTTCCTCGCGCGTGCCTCGCCCTTCGCACCCGCCTCTCACTTATCTCCGCTCTCCTGAAATACGCAAAAGATAGCGTCTGTCTTAGAGACATCACGAAGATGTATCCCTTGAATTTTAGCGCTATATTCTGTTCTCAAAGGACTAGATCTGTAATATTCTATTCTTCACCATCAAGCATAGCCATAATCGGAAAACGCCTCTGGATTTCGATAGCTAAGTATTCCTTTCAAATAAATGGTCTCCTATGTATGCCAATTTTTTGTCGGTCACTCCACCTTGATAAGGAAATTAACTTCTATAACCTACGCATACAACGATTTCTGCGAACTCCGTTTATTGAGTGACTAATATAGGCCTTTCTAATTTACCTGAGAAAAATGACCTGTTTCGGGAGAAAATCCAGGTTTCGCATAATCATACATTGGCTCCTCACGATCGTACCTCAAGAGGAGAAAAAGAACAAGAAAATTAATGTAAGTCTCATTCATTCTCTTACTATGCAAGCTGGCAGAAAACTTTTTTGAGAAATAAACTGTTTACAAAACTTAAGTGCCACTAACCATCCTACTAAAGCATCTTCACAGTCTGCAGTTTTGTGACCTTTAAACCAGGCTATGTTTTCTCCTTCGCCGTCTCGGTTTGGATCATGACGAATTTTACCAGTCTCAGCCAGGTGATCAGCCCAGACCTGCGCATGCTCTACCAATGTGTCATCCCAGACCAATGGACTTGCTCCATGAAGCGCGCGCCTTTCGTTGTGTGCTTTTAAGCAAGCTTTTGCTATGAAATAAAAAAGATGATAAAAGATCAGTTATAGGGCTGAAAAAAAAAACACAAAGCGATATGAAAATGCACTACCGGAAAGCATTTTTGAAATATCTCATTGTAGCTTAGGCTGCCTTTTAACGAAGGGAGTAGCATTGAAATTATGACTGAATATAATGTCCCCAACCTTTTGCGACCGAACATCAATATGCGTAGTTTCCATACCGTTCTCTATACATTTCTTTAGCTTATGAGAAGGAAAATCTTTTTGAACAAGCAAGAGCTTCTTTAGATCATTTCCTTTATTCTTGTGACCTTATTGTTTAATTTAGGGATGATATTGTACGGAGAAATTAGATGCTGGTCACTCTTTAAGGGTCTAAGAATTAAGTAATAAGACTACTTTCCTACGAAATCAGAATGACCTTATGCAAGTTGATCGTTCAAACGTCGTCCAGGTGCTATGATGGAAGAAGAAGGGGATTCAGTCTAAATTTGCGTAGCTCAATCGTTTTCTTACCTTCTGCTGTAAGAGATGTGGCGGGCACTGAAGGTTGAATTGTTGTCACTGCTTTCTTGGTAACTAAGGTTTCAGGTGTAGTTCTGAGGCCGCCGGCGGATGAACGGTTCCAACTAGGCGTGGTGTTTGGTTGATTTCTTTTCTCCCCCACATTTTTTCTAAATCTTCTCAAAACGTTTCCCGAAGGACTATAACGAGCTACGATAAAGATCTCTTTCGAAAAGCCAGAACCTCTAAAAGCTTGAGCGACTCCTACAGCCGTGGAAGCCTTCCATACAACCTAAAAACATTTCAAGGGTGTTCAAACTGTTATATTTTCGATCCAGTGTATCTATTTCTTAATTTGGATTAATAAACTGAGTTGCTAATGTAAATTGGCCCCATAAGGCTAACATTTGGAGCGTTTGTCTTTCGTCAGAGCAAATGGCGAAGAGCTAACGCTCGAAACGTCAGCTTCAGAAATTCTTTGCGGTGGCCAATTTACATTATGAACCCAGTTGATGAAATGAAACTATCTTGTCATACTCCCCTATTGACGTAGCACCACAGTTTCTTTAGAAACTTGTTCCCTTTATTTCGTTTGAGTTGATTGTGAGAAGATTCCTTTACGGGACGAAGAACCCTCTAAAAGCTGCCTGGATTTGTCAATGAGACTTATAATAGCGGCTAAGTAGTATTTAGTCGGCTCGTTCAAATCCCGTTGAAGTGTGACTTTCTAGGCTTCGTGATTTTTTTGGTCTTTAACCGCAGCTGACCTGCGAGAATCATTTCTTCGTTTCCATAAACTGAATCCAAAACGTTTCGTTGCTTTTTTTGGCTTCTGGTTTTACCAGATCCTCTTTGATAAATACTCTTGGTTTCATCTTGTCTGTTAGGTAATAGAACGCTTTTCGTTTAAGTGACGTAAAATTCAAACAAGAGTTCTCTCACCGGCCCATCAGAACAAAGAAAATAGCACTGGAAAATTAAGAATACGGCTTGTGGCGCGCGTAAACGCGGACGATCAACAAACAATTAGTCTTGCATCTGATTGTTCAAGACGGTGGCGCGAGTTTTTTTTAGTCCAATCACAAGGCGAGATAAAGTAAAACCAAGACAATCCCAGATTCCCTTCGAACCTCAGTTAAAATCCGTCATATATTGTACTATTTGTGTAAGATTCAGGAAATTACCTGTGTAAAATGGCCCGTTCCGGGAGAAAATTCAGGCTTTTCATAATTGTACAAAGGTTCCTCTCTGTCGTACCTTGCAAGGAGAGAGAGAGAGAGATGGAAGGTATCATAGCTTGGAGTCAACTGATAAGATTAGATAATCTTATATGAGGTACCATGCGAAGAAGATTCATTTAGTATTCATTCAGTGGAAGAAATTGCTGTAGTAGTGAGCTGTTAACTAGAAAAGTTTACTGGATGCATTAATCTAGAAATGAAAAGTTTCGTGATGGACATTGTGTACAACCCTTTTAAAATTTCGAAAGGGACTGAAATTTAATGGATAAAGGACGTTAGGCTTACCAGCCTACCAAAGCATCTTCACAGTCTGCAGTTTTGTATCCTTTAAACCAAGCTATGTTCTCTCCTTCGCCGTCTCGGTTTGGGTCATGATGAATTTTACCAGTCGCAGCCAGGTGATCTGCCCAGACCTGCGCATGCTCTACAAGCGTTTCATCCCAGACCAGCGGACTCGCTCCATGAAGTGCGCGCCTTTCGTTGTGTGCTTTTAAGCAAGCGTTTACTGTTAAATAATATATAAATATCACACAAATCAGCTATAATTATTCTAAAAATGATAAGTTTTCCACCTCAGGAGGTTCAGTTCGACACGACAGGACAGTATGAAAAATGCTCTTGGTAATTGAAACGCTATATTCGTATCTCGTTTCAGCTGAGGTTGCTTTTTAGCAAGGAGGATGAATTTTTCATTTATTTGGAACGTATATGTCACTTATCGTGCTAATATCTCACGAAATCAGAATGAAATCAGAATGACATTTGTAAATAGTTTGTAAATTGCATATAGGGTTGTATTGCTATTACCAATATATGTTACATTTTCATACATTATCCTTTTATAGTCCAATATTATTGCATTTTATAATGTAGACTTCTTACTTTTTTTTGTTTTTGTTTTTTTTGTAGTATATTGCAATTTTTCATTTTATATTGTAGTTTTTAACAGGTGAAGAGCCCCTAGGTGGATACACTGTTAATAAACCATTATTATTATTATTATGACATGATTTGAAGCGTTCAAACGTCTTTCAGATGCTCAGATGGGAGAAGAAAGGAGAGTCGGTTTAAAGAGGTCGAAGTATGGTTTGCAGTTTAATAAATAGATTTCATGTTGCCGTGCGTCTGTACAGTAACAGAACACAGAGATCAAAGCGTGGTAAGAACACAAGAAAGTGGCACACAAAGCGCAGCCGAGTGTATCACTGATGTTCTTACCACATTTTGGCGTCTTCTGTGATTTATCACTGCACGGCAGACCCCCAGCAACATAAAATCTATTTTTTTTTGTGATAAAAAGAGCAAAATATCGTTCGCGGTGATGTCATCTATGCGTCAGTCCTCCAATCGATCATAGGAAAGAATCAATCAATACGCGCGTATAATTCAACGTATGATATAATCAACGTTTCGTAACCGTCTTACCTTCAGCTGTAAGAGATGTGGTAGGGGCCGAAGGCTGTATTGATGTTACTGCTTTCCTGGTGACTAAGGTGTCAGGTGTTGCCTTTGAGCCTCTGGTGGATGAACGTTTCCAGCTAAGCGTGGTATTTGGCTGGTTTCGTCTCTCGACCACATTTTCTTTAAACCTTCTCAAAATGAAGTTTCCTGAAGGACTGTAACGAGCCACGATAAAGATCTGTTTTGAAAAACCTGAACCTCTGGCGGCTTGAGCGACTCCTACTGCTCTGGTGTCCTTCCATACAACCTATGACAGGGGTTTTTAAAACATTCGCATTAGTAATCCAGTGGTTTTATTTTTGATAGTTATGATTAGAATGTATTACAGGAACGAAGAACAATCTAAAACATTTGCTTCTATTTCAAATTGTGGTTTTGTTGTATAGTTGGTAGTCGCGCTCACTCAGTATGCGGGCTTGGGGGTGGGGGTTGGGGGGTACGAGTTTACATTCTGTCGAAACATGAATTCGTCTCAGGCTTCTTTATTGCATTTTCTCTGATTTTAGCTTAACATTTTTATCAGCATGAATAATACAAAAGGATTACTGGCCCTTTCTGTTGCTGATTGTCGCTAAATCCTTGTTATTCAATCTTTTCAGTGCAAACTTATTAGTGATTGGATGGAGCGCTTTTCCTTTGGCTGTCGTAAATCAAAACCAATAACATGTGTGACCTCGACTCGAAGTAAATTCGAGCAAACTGCCTGGAACGCTGAAAACACGAAGGACTAAGTGGCGATTACTAAGGTAATAGGAAACTTGGACAAAATTTGAGAAAGCAACTAGAGATCGGTGATACGTTTTCATAAAAACCAATAGATAACTCTGCACTGCAAAATGTGCAAAAGCAGCGCACGCACCGTCCTGTGCTATCACACTGTCCAATTACAAGCATGACGCGTACACTATCCTATTAGTGCTTAAATTGGGCTGGTGATAACCAATCACATTCGAGAATTTTGTTATAAGTTTGATTAATTCTGGTTTTGCATCTGATTGATTGAGAAGGTAGCAGAAATATTTAGACCAATCAAAATACAGGTTACCTTCGACAATCAATTCAAATCTGGTTTCTATAGTGACCTGTTTGTAAGATTAATTTCAATTACCTGGGTAAAATGGCCCGTTTCAGGAGAAAATCCAGGATTCTTATAATCATACTTTGGTTCCTCTCTGTCGTACCTTTCAAGGAGAGAGAGAAAGCGAGGGAACAAATCACAGAACAGAGTCAAATTTTAACTTGAAACATTGTTTTGCTTTGTGGAACCATGCAAAGACATTTCTTAAGCATTCTTTTAGTGAAGGTAACTGCCGTGGAAGTGAGTTGTTAAAAAAGCAGAAGAGTACTTCACGCATAAATGTAAAAAATGATAAACTCGAGAAGTCAATCGAGTACGAAATGTTTTGAATTTACACTTACGTCGAGGGGGATTGAAATTTAATCGATACAGGACTTAATAGACAGCCTACCATTCCATCAGTGCATCTTCACAGTCTGCAGTTCTGTATCCTTTAAACCAAGCCATGTTTTCTCCTTCCTCGTCTCGGTCTGGGTCATGACGAATTTTGCCAGTCTCAGCCAGGTGATCGGCCCAAGCCTGCGCATGCTCTCTCAGTGTATCATCCCAGACCAGCGGACTTGCACCATGAAGCGCACGCCTTTCGTTGTGTGCTTTTAAGCAAGCATTAACTGTAAATAAACCATTAAAATGATTTTAATTCGAGATTTCCGTAAAAAAAGAGCAATGTGTAAGAAGAATGGCAATTTTTGTGATATCTTCAGCTGTCATAGCAGTGGTAGTATTTAATGACGAAGTAGATTGTTCACCTGTGGTTGAAACATCAGACGTCGTAGATGGTGCACCAGCGGTCGAAAGACCAGACTTCGTAGATGGTGCATCTGTGGTTGAAGGACTAGATGTCGTAGATGGTGCACCTGTGGTTGAAGGACTAGACGTCGTGGATGGTACACCTGTAGTTGAAGGACTAGGCGTTGTAGATGGTTCAGCGGTCGTTGACGAAGCAGGCGTTGTAGACGTTGTTGGTTCAGTCTTTGACGATCCTAAAAACAAGATTTAAAAGAGAAAGGAAACATAACACACATAATTGTCACGACTTATTGTTGTAGATAAATTGAACATCGCAGGTATGTTGATGCTGCTTTAAGAAAGGCCTACAAACATAACAGTCTGTTTCGTCGTTTTTGATCAAAGGAGAAATAACACATTTAAGATAACTTTATATCCCACATTTCCTTTTGATTATTTTTACGAAGCAGTTCATTCGTTAGTAAGGGCTTCAGCCTGCTTAGAGGTTAAAGAAAGTCGCCTCGAAAGACCGACCGTGGTATTTTCATATGTACGCAACAGACTAAGGCTATCAACACCAGCATAAGAAAATCAAGTACTTTTTGAGCTTAATTACACTTCACCTCGTTATTTCTCTGAGTCGTTTTAAATTTTAACCTCCTCATTAACTTACCGGGACAGAAACCGCAGGAATGTTGACAGTTTTTCATCATATAGCCATAGAATCGATGTTTAGGGTTACAATAACCGGCTTTCGTTAAGAAAGCGCAGGATGGATCATTATTTGGCTCAGGAACGCAACCTATTAGTGTAGTAAATTACAAAACACTGATGCATTTGTCAAATAGAATATTAAAAAAAATCAAATAGACTAGGAGCATTCTCTTCGGAAAAGTCCGTCGCGGCACGCTAATATCAATTTTTTTTTTAACTATTTACTTTGACATGCGCCACGGACTTCGCAGAAAATGGGCGACTATTCATAGAGTAAAACCAAAAGAAAGAGACCGAAACTATAATCAACAAAACCTAAAACCAAATAGTAAACAAGCTGGTCTCAGAGCCGATATTAAAATTAATTTGTTCAATAACACAAAATAACTTCGAGAAGCCTGATGGAAAGCCTAATGTTAGACAGTAAATGTTTCAAGGTTAATGCACGATGGTGTTGCTGAAAATTAAATGAAACAGTCGCATGCATGGGAAGGTAAGGCCCTTACGAGTCGATGCCATTATTTTCAATATCCCTTGGCTATTACAGTATTTCTCAGTCTTGCTTTGATATTCGTTCGTTCTAACTGTAAGTTAGTTCAAAACTGACCCTCGTTAAAATTAGACGTTAACCCTTTAACTCCCAAGATCTGACTGTTAATTCTCCTCCCTAACTGCTACACATTTCCTTGTAAATAAGTTCGAAGAATTTGTTGCCAGATCAAGACTACCAACCTCTACCTGATAAGTTTGAGTATTCTCATTACCTGTTGGCTGGATAATATGAGGTTGTTATAGGGAGAAGTTACATGTTAAACACTTATGGGAGTTAAAGGGTTTAGGTCAGTAAAACGAAGTGCGACAGTAAATGGTGCGATGGAACGCGTAGGAGTGGAAAAAGCCAGGAGGTCTGGGTCGGGTTGCGTAACACGACCCGAACCTTCGCGTCGCTGATCAATTCGCTTCCTCTTCCAGCGTTACATCAAAACAAAGCATCTCTACATACCACATAGCTCGCAGGTGGCTGGACAGTACGCCTTCATGTAGGAGTAATATGGCCCTCCAGGTCGACAAAAACCTCTCTGTTTCCAGGAATGGCAATGAACATGGTCGGGGCAGTCCTTGTCTGTGAAGAAACAAAAAAGAATGCTTTACACAAATAGCCTGCCTTCCCCCTTTCCTTTTTTTGTATTCCTGTCAATACCTGTTGTGACATGACCAAAAATCAACGAACCCCCTCCAAAGGCAGTATCCGGATAAAATGCACAATGCTACTTATTTTGCATGGGAACGAGGTTAGGAAAAATTAATTATAGAGCGATGACGTAATTATTTGCCTTTTTAAAAACGGATTAAGCAAATTGAGGAGCCTGGCAAATTGTTGACTCGAAACGTGACTCCAAGTCCAGCACGAAATCCATCTCAGTCGAACTCAAACTCGAAGCAAAACTGGAATATGCTTTATTTCAAGTGTTCTGACAATTTCAGGTATCAGGCGATGGCCTCAGTTTGACTCACGCTCCCTGTAGATAAGACTTGTTACATATAAATTGCGCAATTTCCCACAAAACGTATCTTCCGCTCAGCTGCCATCGCGTGGGAGATGCACCCCACAAATCTTGGGCAGAAGTGAGCAGCAAGTAGCAGATCATCACATGAGATGGAAAAATGCTTGCTTTCCTCCTAATTTGAATGATAAACATCGACAAAATTCGGATAAATGTCCTCAACAATTACGCGTGGTGTCAATGATGTTAAACTTTTAAAACTCAGAAAGGTGTGAGATTGAGGTGTTTATTCCAAATGAAAGGGCGATGTGTCGCGGCTATTTAACAAGAAACACTGTAACAGCGCCGAAGAACTTTCTAATAAACCCTATTTTAAAATATTACAAACAAAAAGGAAAGAGATCAGGCACGATTTTCAATGCTTTATTTTTTAACTCACCTCCACACAAGTTACACGCTCCCTTACACTTAAGTACCATCGTCTTGTAAAAGGACTTGCTTGGATTGCAATATCCCAAACCGCTCCAGTACCTGCAGTTCTGGTGATCCGAAGAGGCGCATACTTTATCTGTGGATTTGAACGAAGTGTGGGCTGAACTATAAAAATTACTTCTTCTTTTAATCAGTTAAAAAAAGCATGCAGATAATAAATTATATACATGTCAAATTATTTGATCTCTTGCATCGATGATCTCAACGATATTCATTGGATCGTTTATCAGAACACATTCTTAAGTAAATTTTGGCTGTCATTTTTTCTTTAATTAGCAAGCTATGATTTCTCTCTGTCTTTCTCACTCTCTTGCTTTTGCTCGCAGATGTGAAAACTGTAATATGTACTGGGCAGATCACGGTAAAAGTTTTTTAACGATCACTGCATTCAACTTTCACAACTACCACTGCTTTGTTTCAAGCCAAAGAATGTAATTAACCCCGCCTGCATGTGATTAGGATACTCTCCAGGGGCTTTGAATTCGAGTTGTCTTCTTCTGTAGCGCAGATATTTACGAATGTAAACTTAAAAATACATGATTCACATTCTGGATGTTGTCTAAGTACATCCCTGGCCATGCAATGATCTTATGTCTAACAACTACAGTCGCATCATATAACTCCACTTTGATAATCGCACCCAGCCCGCAATAAGCTCAAAAACGCAACGCATTTCATAACATGACCAACAATATTCTTGCGTTTGATATAGATTAATCTTTTCGAGTACCATGATTGTCTTTAAACTACATTGTTTCAAAAATCATCATAGATTTTTCTACGTTTTTCTTCTGTGTGATCATAAGACATCAAGTAGTGTTTATGCAATATATGTCTACGCTGATTGACGTGCTAGGATCGAAGAGAGAAGATGGATAAAAGGCACAAATGGAAAAGGAGGTCTAACATTTTTTTTTTTTTTTACAGAGTTCCGTGTTATCTGCATTCTGCATTGCCGCTGATAAAATGGAAGACGAACGTACGCCAAACATCACGCTAAAATTAGCAACAGATAACAAAAAACCAAAACATCACCAACCAGTAACAGAACGCTTGTTAACCTTGACGCTTCCTCGACCAGATTTCGTTGTTCGTCGTGTCTTTCCCTTGCATAAAGCAAGAATAGTGAAAAAAGAGTTGTCACGAGGAGTATGAGACGCATGTTGTTCGCGGATATACACTTCACAGAATGATCGTGCCGTGGTTTATTGCGAGTGGTAATATCCACGATACTCAGTCAGGGGTTGGGGTGTGTCGAAACCACGAAATGGTTCGCACATGAAACTTAATTTCTAACACCTTCAGCTTTATTGCGGGGTGAAACATGATGGAAAATTCTAGCCTTTACCTGGCCATTTGTTAAAGAAACCATCGAATAGTCTGTGGACAGAATCTCACCGCTTCTGGTGTACAGGCAGCTCGCGTGCAAAGTACTTCGCAGAAGGTCTTATTAGTCGGCCGGCCGGCGATCTACGAAAGGATATTTCGTGTATGAAGGACCTCCTGAGGGCTTCGCGACATGAAGAAGTTTGCGACATGCTAGTGACGAACAATTAGGGTGGTGAACAATTGTGGCTTCCTGGCGTTTTCCGCTCGCCTCTACCATACGAGAGTCTGACAAGGACTGGAAAAATTCAAGAGTTGCACTTGACTCCCAATTCCTGAACTCCTGGAAAATAATCACGATAACTTGTTTACATATTGGAAAAAATAGGAATATAACAGTATCAAGTTCACAGTATCACTCAAATCAATGTGTATATTGTACGTGTGGGTCTGCTAGCCAAGAAATGTAGAAGAACCCTACTTCTGGCAATGGCTAATCGACCCTAGGAATGTCATATTTTTAGTATAGTAATCGCATGGGGACTAGTAAAATTTCATGTTTTTTTTCACAAGTTGTGCGACGCCAAAGCAATGATATTAGCCCTCAAAAAGAGACTTTCGCCATCGATGAAATTATTATACTTTTAGCAAGATTGAGCCTTTTTACTCTTTTTAATTTCAAGTAATTTTGCTCGTGGGAATTACTGGCATGACGAAAAATGGCAAGGCAGCTTTCGTTCAAGATTATCAACAATAACTTGAGAGCAAACGAAACCCTAAAATGGAAAATGATTTTTGTCGTGAAACGTTTCTACGCTAAAAATTTATTTCCTTGATTTATTATAAATTTGATTGTGTATCAAGTAAGTTGTAATGTTGTTACCGTCAAAGTACAGTGTTACCGTCACAATTAAAGTAGCATGTAAGAAGAAGCGATGTTGGATAATCAAATTAGTTCTGCGAACAGTGACTTATCTAATTAAGTTTTTCCAGGGCGTTAAGCGCGTAGGAACATAGCAGCAGGATTGTTAAGTAAGGCCATGTTTGATTGGAAATTAGTGCACGAATCGTTGTAGAACGTGAGCAAGTCTTGAATTCCACACTGAATTACGTGGATTTCATATGCTAATAAAGGTAGCAAATTTTTTGCAACCTTAAGACAAGATTGTACTATTGATAGCTAGATCGATAGATAGATCGTGGAACTGTACGTGTAATGCTGAATTGTCGACATTAACACCTGAATCAAGTAAAAGTATGCAGTACACGATTACTGAACCAGGGTGTGCGGAATTCTTAGTAACGCAAGTGGAAATTCTGCGAAAACTTTGATCCATTAAAAATTTGTGGTGGGAAATGCAACAATGAGAAAGAAAGTAATAAACAACTTATAACACAACAGGGCCATGCAATCTGTGTTCCTTTGGAGGCCCCATTAAGAACAAATTCTGACGAGTAATTCATTTGCTTTGGTTCAAGAGAAGCGTGTGATTTTCTCCTTGGAAGGTCACTCGACTCGTAGCTGCATCCATTTGAATATTTCCTATGATCAATACTTCATAAAAGGACGAATTTCTTCTTTAAGGTCACTTAGTGATTAACTTGCGAATCGAAACAAGCGTGTTAGAAGGAATTTTTCCTTTACTCTGTACAATTTAAACTACTGCAAGGTAAGTTTAAGGTGTGAAGGTTTAAGATCACCTTCACCTATTCAGTCGTCCTAATGACTGCCCATCTGCACTGTATGTGTGTAACCCGGCTGTTTTACGCCAGTTTTCGTCTTCTAAAAGCCGATACAGACAGTAGAAGTGACTAAAAGAAAGGACCGAAGAAATTTACTCAGTTGCCAACTTTTCGAATTGTGGAGTATAATCTGCTAAATCGAGCTGAAATTTGGTCGAAACAACAGCAAAACAGATATCTCCATCGAATCCAAACTCCCTTAAAAGGAGTTAAGTAATTGAGTTCTGAAAGTGTACAAAGAATGTGATCTAAATGCTGTCTTTATTTCTTTATCCCTTATCTATCGCTTAATAATACAAATTCTATGAGATTGAGTTGTCCAAATTCTAAGTTCATCCCCCTCACTTAGCTACTCTCATTTTTCTTTCCATTGAATTTCATCCCATTGATTGCACTGAGCTGGCGACTCTTTGAGGCCCTGAAAAAAAACAATTTAAAATTTATCTATTAATGAATTTGTAAATAAATCTGTCAATCTGTCAGTGAGTCAGTTAGTCAGTCATTGAGTCTGTCAGTCAGTTAGTCAGTCTGTGAGTCATTCAATTAGTCAGTCATTGAGTCTGTCAGTCTGTCAGTTTGTCAGTTTGTCCGTTTGTCCGTCTGTCAGACTGTCAGTCTGTCAGTCACTCAGTCACTCAGTCTCTCAGTCAATCTGTCAGTCTGTGAGTCAGTCAGTAGGACTGCCAATCAATCAGTGAGTCAGTCAGTTAAATTACCAATAATCGTCATTATATCAATGGCATTATCTTTCAATCGATCCTCAACTTTTTGTTGTATTTTCCTCCACCAGCCGTACATCTTCCCATTCCTCCCTTAATCCATCAGGTTGTCCATTTGTCCGTCCATTAAGCTGCTACCTTATTCTCTAAACTAGGGTGGGTCGATTTATCGAACGATTACCTTCAGGGGGATAGCTTATTCCCCACATTTTCACTGAAGAAACCTTTGACGTTTCCTGCCGGATAATAGCGAGCCACAATGTATATTTTTTTTGACTGTCCCGACCCGGTTGAAGTTTGAGCCACTCCAACGGATGTAGTTGCCTTCCACACGACCTGAGGATGGCAGATACATGCCATTTTAAAACGGAGTTTAAGTTTATCTAGGAAGAACTGAGTAGGTATACACCCCGCGGATTTGGGCTGAAATATCTCGCGAATCGAGTACGTATGGAAAGATTTAAGAGAAATAACTAATTGGAGTGGTATTGTGATCCACAAACTGGATAAAAAATGTTTAGCTCAGATACAGGATTCTGGTTGGTTTGAATGCCGAATCGTTGTCGATTGGGCTAGGTCGGTACGTTAGTATTTATTTTATCAAGACAAGAAAGAGGGAGGGTGGTCGGTTTGCACATCTCGGTTCCAGCCCCCCTGTCTCGATTAGGGTGGAACCTGTTTTATGCGTGTCAGAGGATGCATGTAAGGGTGCTTCGTCCCCTTCAATTTCAAGATTTATAAAATTAGTTTTGCAGGAAAATCTTTCCAGCCTCATACGAAACCCCTCAATTTTTGCTTGTGTTTCTCTCCTTCGAAAGACTATAGGCTCAGTTTACCCTGAAGGTTTGGTGCGTACGTCAAAGTGGAGGGTGTGAAACTTTGACGACGTTATTGAGTGTGCAATGTTAATGTTTGAATGCTGTTATGAGAATCAATATTTTCCTTTCGTCTACTGCTGTAGTCACAATCAGATACGAGTAAATTAGCCAAGCCTTTTAACCGTTATCCCCAAAAAGATCTCAATTCCTTTACCTTTTTCTTTCGTTTCTTAGATTTGGACACTGGTCCTTGTCTTATTAACAAGTACGATTGTTCTGTAGGATTTGCTAAACCCTCAACTATTTCAGAGTAATAGTTGTGTAGACAAACTTTTCATGAGATATCTTGAGATATCTAATGCTACCATTTAGTACTGATTGCCCTTCGTTCGTCGAGAAAAATGATTTCATTCCATTACGGAAGGACTACGTAAAACAAATAAACACAATGATATCTACAGGTAAGCTAAGGAGTTTACCTGCGTAAAGTGACCCGTTTGGGATGTAAATCCAGGGTTGCTATAATCGTAATTGGGTTCTTCATTGTCATACCTTAAGAAGTGGGGAAAATGGTATATTCTAGCTTCAGTCGTCTAGAGGTTTATATTGCTTTTAATGTAATGGTTCTGTAGGTAAGCGTAGATCAGTAAACGTTAACGTTAACAAATCTCATTTCAAAATGTACATATATCTAAAATGTCATATTTCATTTAAGGTACAATAAGTGGCGAAAGTCTTTGCACTCTCTACTGCTTTTTGAAATTTTTTATATGACGCTCATTGTTTCCCCTCTCCCACATTTTAATGTTGCCTATTTTTAGCTAAAACCGTGGCGACCGATATTTTTCCACCTCGCCTGAAAAATTTTCAAAATTTTGCACAATTTAGCCTGTTCCTTTTCGTAAGTCCAGCCAAGCCTATATGGTCATTGGCTCCCGTAATAGCATTTAGTGTTCACTTGTATAACTACCTGAAGAAGTCTACGAGAGTTTGACGAAACGCGTCAGAGAATAGAGAAGTTTTATAACTTCTGTTCGCAGAGTTCCACTCACTAGTTTAGTTTTTTTAAAAAAATGTTAAAAAGTGAATTTCACTTATTTCAGGAAACATTTTTGGGGGAAAGGGAGGACTTGAAACAAGCTTTGACGAATATTTACAACATTTCTCTTTATTAGGCCGAGTGTAGGGTTGTCGACCATCAAGTAAGGGGAAGCACGTCAACTGCTTTTGTCACTCATTGTAGTTTCGGGCTATTGACTCTAAATCGTAATGTTTTGACTATTCTGAAGTGGTCAGCCTTACCAAACTTTTTGCGAAGGTTGTTAATTTACTGCATGTTTCTAACTGATTGGAGCAATCCCTTCTTTTTGAAGACGGGCATGAAGCAACGATTGTTATTAAACACAATATTAGAAGAATTTTTAGGACTTTCTATGTAATGTTAAGTAAATTTGCAAATCAGAATTGCCCTACCATCCA